TTCCCCTCTCAGCGGACTCCTATACGAACGGGGTCCGTCGGACTTGATGCTCGCAAGCTAGTGAACCTTGGGCTATACAGGGATGCAAATCATAAAAAGCGGTATGTACTTCCTCTAATCAACCGCGGCACCGCACAAAGGGGTCTATGTACTCTCCGTCCCGTCCCTGATAACAAAAAGATACCACTAGTAGTTAAGCGCGCCAGGGGTAAAGAAAAACGCCAGTCACGCCATTTACAGCGCCATTCCCGTGGTCTCGGCCGTCAGCCAAGCTAACTCACTCCTGCCCGTGTTGGGGGCAACGATGGGGACACAGCTGGAAAAGCCAAAATCCTCCGGGCTGTCGGGGTACCCATCGATGGGGCCATATCGGTGTTTAATTGTGCTAAATACTAGCGCGAGCAGCGGGACAGCTAAGTAATTATGTACCCTACTTTTGTTTGATTGGAATGGTCCGTCTGCCTGGTGCCGAGATGATCCATGTGCGTGGTGGTACTTCTGCCGGTAGTTAATACGTACGGAGACTTAACCAAATAACTGGGGGAAGGATCTAAAGGGGCGCCACGATCGTGCGCCCAGTCCTGTGGGCGCTGCCACACGGCTCGGCAGATGGATAACTAGATACACCCGGTTAGGGAACAGGAGGGGCGACATATCTTTTATGTTGAAGATGTGTCTGTTGTGAGTTTACGGATCGAGCCGAGTTCCTGAGTTTTGATCTCGCTCGTCTACCCACAATAAATCTCGCAAGGTAGTCCGGATCAGGGCCGACCCTCCCTTCCAGAGCCAGGGCCAGATGCATCGGCCGCAGATGATGCGGTGGCGCCTAAGCTTTGCGGTGGATAAGCAAGATCGAAGAGGACCCCCATCACCACCGTATGGAGTGAATGGCTTCAGCAGGGCCGCTGAGGGTGGTACCCATAAAAGGGGACCAGCTTGCTAAGGGGTCCCAGCGTGGGCCAATCGGGGACCTATGTGTGGCTGGCTTTTGGGTAGGGACCACTTCTCCCCGTGGAGTGGAGTGGAATCGTGGCAACAAACCCTGGCGAACTTAACCAGGCTGGGCATATGGGGTTAGTAGCTCCGGGCTGATTGGCGGTAATGTTCCTTGGTTCGAGCTTGTACTATTTGGCGTCGAACCTAACCCTTCGGCATTTCAAATAATGAAAGTACATCAATCCTGATGCTGAGATCTTGGCCCCATTTTCGGTGTTTTTTTTCCCGCTCAGGAACCAAATTACAAGAGCCTATGTATTGCATGCAAACATAGTACATGCTGGGAGGAGAAGGATCCCGTTCTCCGCTCCGCCCCTGCTTACCTTGTTTTTCTCCGAGACCCTGTTTGTTTGTTTTTTTTTTCTTCCTGCGCCATGACGATCAGAGTGATCTGCCTTGAGCCCTGGGCCGGATCTGGCACCCTATCGAGCCCACCCGGACTTGCTCGGGAAAGCTCTGGCTAACCAGAAGACAGCTTCGACGATAGTCAGGAACTCTCGTCTCCATAGTAGATTTGGGATGCAGATCATAATTTGGACGTGAACCCATCACAGTGAAGACAGCTAACACGGCTATCTCCGGATAAACAAATCATTTTCCATCGAATGAGAGTGCTAGATTGTCCCGAGATTGACTTTTCGACGGGTTTGGTGATGTTGTGGTTTTCCTGTTGTATAGCCCTAAACAACATCATCCAACACGTAGATAGAGCAACATGACGCAGTACAACGCCACGGATGCAGCACCGTTTATCCTGTTGTCTCGAGATCGTTACGTCGTGCATGATTATTACGCTTGACGGGATGGAGATTGTCCCACTCCTCACTGGGCCCTGACGGCGTTAGTCAATAGTTACTTACGATACGAAGTTGACCCGCCCTGCTAGTAACGCAATGGACAAAATCTTGCAGGTGGACAAGACTAAATGGAGCCTGCTGCTCGGTCAGCCCTGGGCGGGCTGTCCATATAAAACCTATTCCCTCGCTCTTGTTTCCTTTTTATTTCTTCTGCCATCTATCCCACACACAGTCACTCTTTTGATCAAACTATTGTCACTCCTTAACTTTCTATATAACCTTATTCACAATGAAGGCCTCTTTCTTCGCCGCCATGGCCGCCATGGCCACTTCGGTCATTGCCGCCCCTGCCGGCCTGCCCAGCCTTGGCTCCATTGGCTCCATCACCAAGGACCTGAACCTGAACAGCATCACCAAGAACCTGCAGATTGGTGACATCACCAAGGAGCTCAACCTGAACAAGCTGCCCGTCATCAGCAGCCTCCAGGACCTGACCGATGCCGCCGAGCAGAAGAAGAACGGCGGCCTGCCCACCGGTCCCACCGGCCACCTCCTCCAGGACCTGGGCCCTGAGCTCAACAACATCCTGATCGTGACCGGCCCCAAGGTCGGCTCCCTCCTGATCCAGCTCAGCCCCGAGGTGACCGCTCTCCTCACCAGCCTGGGTCTCCCCGGCCTCGGTGCCCCTCTGGGTGCCGTCGTTGCCTCCGCCAGCTCTCTGGGCGGTGTTGTCGCCGGCCTGGGCCCCCACGTCGACGGCCTGGTTACCGTCGTCGGTACTGATGTCGGTGCTCTGCTGATCGGTCTGTCCCCCGAGCTTGCCGGTCTCCTCTCTGGCCTTGGTCTCCCCGGCGTTGGTGTCCCCGTCGGCACTGTCGTTGCTACTCTCGGCACCAACCTGAAGCGTGACGGTGCCGGCAACGGCCGTATCCTCGGTGGCCTCGCCCCCCAGGTTAAGGACACCCTCCTGATTGTCGGCCCTGACTCCAAGCACCTCCTCGTCGAGCTCTCCCCCGAGGTCGCCGCCCTGGTCTCCGGTCTTGGCCTGGCCTCCGTCGGTGTTCCCCTCGGCTCCGTTGTTGCCACCGCTGGCAACGGTGTCGGCAAGCTCGTCGATGACCTCGCCACCCCCGTTGAGCACCTCCTCCAGGTCACCGACACCGACGGCAGCCAGCTCCTCGTCAAGCTGTCCCCCGAGGTCGCTGCCCTGGTTGCTGGCCTGGGCCTCCCTGCCCCTGGCGTCTCGGTTGGCGCTGTCGTCGCCACCGTTGGCGAGAACCTGTAAAGGGTGAGTGTGCACTTGTCTGTTGCTCATGATCTACTCTTACTGATTCTTGTCTGGCTAGGCCAACTCCATGATGATATCGCGGCCCACCGACTTCGGGTCGAGTCGTCGTGATGGCTCGACCCCGTGAAACCACTGCTCTATTCGATTTCTGCGGTGGAACAGCGGGACGATGGGCCATCGGGATACCATGTTACATTATTATGGAGGCGTTATTTTTTTCTACATTCTTGGACATTTATCATTAACTTCTTCCTTATTGATCAATGTTACGACCTACATAATGTAATCACCTACCTCTCTTCACCCTTTCCCCAATCCGTAGATGGCGCAATAGGGTTTGGCAGACTAGTGGTTCCCTCCACTTTTCATCAGGTTTGCGCCACCAATCACTGGCCCGCGTCGCACGTTATCTCCGTCTTTCCGCCACCCCTTGTGTGTGCCTTCCCTTTTTGCCTTCTTGCCTCGCACCTTCCCTCCATCCGTCAGGTCCAATTCTTTTTCTTCTCCTTCGCTCTCTGGTTTTCTCTCTCCCTCTTTCTCTTTCTCCCTCTATCTCTCTCCCTCACTCTCTTTTACATCTCTTTTTCCGTCTCTCCCTCCTTCCTCACTCCGATGTGTACTTCGTGAGCCCTGTCCCTCGTCCTCGCTTTCGAGTGCATGCTTGATTCTTCCCCTCTCGGTCTCTCATTCAGCCCGAACTATGCCCTCATGTCCGACGGCAACACATTCGACAGTCCTTTCAGGCTGTCCCCACGTTCCACAGCGGGGCACTTCGCCGAACACACGATCACAGCCTGTCTAATTGGCATCGCTTGGTACAATGCCGTGGAACTTATCGTCCTCTGCTTTGCCACGTTCAAGCGGTATGGCGGGTGCTACTTCTGGTGCCTGCTCATCTCCTCCATCAGCATCATTCCCTTTGCGCTGGGATACCTCTTGATCATCTACAATATCTTTGACAACCTATTCCCCGTGGCGATGGAGCTGATCGCGTGGTGTGGGATGGTCACAGGCCAGTCGCTTGTCCTGTGGTCGCGACTACATCTCGTCGTGCACAACCAAGCCGTCCTCCGATACACTCTTGCCATGATCATCACCTGCGCCATCATCTTCCACATCCCTGCCGCCGTCTTGGAGCTCGGCTCTCACTCCAATAAATCCTATCTGTTCAGCAAAGCGTTCAGCATCTTCGAGCGCATCCAGCTTGTGGGGTTTTCTCTGCAAGAAGTCATTTTGTCCGCCATATATTCCTGGGAGGCAGTCCGTCTGCTCAACCTCCGCCCCCGAGGCCACTACAAGGGCACGTTGATCCAGCTGCTGGTGGTCAACATGATCATGGTCTGCATGGACGCCGCCATCATCGGCGTGCAATACTCCGGTCTTTTCGATATCCATGTCACCCTTAAAGCCATGTGCTATAGCATCAAACTCAAACTCGAATATGCCGTCTTGGGCAAGTTGGTCGTCTTCGCTGAGATGTCCGGCAGCAATTCGGCGCCTACCGACCTGTCGGATTTTGTGGACCTGTCATACCACCATCATAACCCACGCTCTCCCGAGGACGATGATAGCCGCACGAGAAGTGCTGGCGAGAGTCCTGATCGCCATGTGCACATCTCCTCGAAGGGTTCCTCGGTAACCCCGCTGCGTTTTAGCTCCTGTATGGAGGAAGAGACCAGACGGAACGAGATGTAATTACTCCCCTAATAGATAATGAATTATGCAGATAGAGATAGACGTCTATTACATGCCAATAATGAACTATATACACGAATGATTTCCTTCGAATGAGCGGTTTCTCCTCCTCTCGGATCCTGCCGTGATAGAGAAGTCCAGAGGCACGATAAGTATCTGGCAACACCCATCCGAACAAAACATGAATCCTGCCACCACTACATTTCTACTACATTTCCACAAAAATGCTCAACCGAACCCCTCTCACAACCCCCCAACTCACCGCCGCAGCCATGGCAGCCCTAAACCTCCAACAAACCGCCCAAGACACGCACTCCAAACGCCCCTTGGCCGCCCTCCTTCTAGCACCAGACAACTCCACCATCTTATTATCGGCCCTATCCATCTCGCACGTCCGGCATGCCGAAAGTGAACTCGCCCGTAACGCCGCCGACAATTTCGTCTTCGACTACCTGGCCCGCTGCCCCATGGTCTCAACCTGGGAGCCGTGCGCCATGTGCGCGGGGACCATCTACTGGGCACATATTGGGCGCCTGGTGTACCTCAGACGGAGGTCGAGGTTGTTGGGCCGGCGGAGGAGTGAGAGGGGAGGATTGTGCCGGATAGTAGGAGGCATTGGGGGAGGGGGAAGGTGTGATGGAGATGTATATTCTTGGAGAGTGCCGTTCTCTCCGGGTTGCTGGTGTGGATAGCTCTGGTGGGTAGCTCGGAGCAGCTGCATCCCGGTGGAACTACTGTAATTGAGCTTAACAGATGAGATAAGGAGATGTTGATTCCTCTATCAAGCCTAGCGACTCAAATTGAAACGATGAGTGTTATTTGTGCTATAGACTGTAATGGACGAATTCAACAAGGTATCCTTGGTGAACTACATACGCTCAGATACACCATATCGCCACTAGTAGACCGACCCAGCGATAATTTGAAATTATGGGACTTGGGGCTAGCCGTCCGCGCCACACACGGAGTACACCAGCACAGATTCATAGCTCTTTCCCAACCCAGGCCCTTTACTCGGACATCCTCCGCAACCCGATTTGTCAATTAGCACTACTGGCACCGCCTCCCGCCACACTCTGATTGCACAGACAGTGTTTTCCTCGTGGCTATGCAAATCAGGTGACCGGCGATCGACCCGCTGCGTGGACCAACTAGTTCGTCTGGAAAATGCGGTGGACCACCGCACTATTGCCTGACCAGCGTATCATTCTGTGAGCTGCTTCTATGGTTGATCTCGAGTGGATGCGACTAGGGCTATTCCTTTGACGTCAATCTGATGCAGCGAGCTGGGACGGACAACAGGCCCCACCGTATGATGATGGGGCGCGTGTGCCAAGATCGATCTGGCAAGCTCCGTCGATCAGGGATCGCCCCAGTCCCGAGTTTGTTGTGAGGAGTTCTCCGTCTTCTCCGTTCGACTAGTTCGTTGCACGCGAGTTGGGCAACATTCTTGCGATGTTTCTCGAACCATTGGGACGATCCCCGCTGGCGGGCATCGCATTTCCAGTGATCGCGTCAATTCTTGTTTTTGGTCGTGCCGAGATCCTGCTTCAAACTAACAAGGTACAAGGTGACCTGACAAGGTATACGGTGCCACGACACCATGACGTCAACCGATCATCCAAGCTGGGAAGTTCTCAGGAAAGAGATTGTTGTTGTAACTATAGTCTGGCGTGACTAAGGGTGCAACAGCAACACTGCTTCCGGAAGGGATTCACTGACTGACCATGGTGCTCGTCATCCCTTCCCTGCTCTTTTTATTACTTCTCCCTGTCCCCCCTCGCCCTTCCCCCTGTCTCCAGATTTTCCCACCTGACATACCTTCCTTCATTCCAGTGATACCCCCCTTCCTTATTTCAAACCCCCCTAATTTCAACCTCCCTGTCGGTACACACTCTCCCTCCCATTGCTGGGCCTGAGCTAACCCTGCCCAGTTTTGCTCTGTTTCTGTCCCCAATTTTCATCTTTGGTTCCCAAGGATTCCATTGCCATAATGTCTCCCAAGGATGTGAATCGTCCCACGGACACCAAGCAGAAGGAAAAGGTCAGTGGAACCGGTGCAACCAGTGATACTGCCGCGATGGCGCTGACTTTGTTTTTGTTTTGCTTGAGCAGGATATCAACCAGAAGCTGCAATGGTTTGGCATGTACCATGGTAAGCATCCTAGCCTTGAACACACACACAACGGATCAGTTTACTCATCTGTTACCTCGTAGCCTTCAAAAACAGCAAGCTTCCGTCGGTGGGTTGCGATCATAGCTCCTTCAAGGCTGAATTGACCTAACACGTCGCCCTTCAACAGAACAAACAGTGCGATGTCGCCCTGAACAGTGCCCTGACGTCCAAGGCCCTCACCTCCCCGCCGGACGAGCTGTCTGCCGAGGGCAAGGTTCTGGTCAAGGACCTGCGCAATGTCATCGACCAGTCCAAGAAGCTGCTCCTGTCCAAGAACGAGGGTGAGCTGCTGCAGGAGTTCATCTGGCAGTCCCAGCAGATCGGCGCGGGAAATGTGAAGACGTCTGGTCTTCCCGTCGACAAGGAAACTGGCAAGCAGGATGGTCAGAAGACGCTGGAGGGCCTCAAGACCCTGGGAACGCTTCTGATCACCAATGGCGAATTTCGCAAGATCCGTATGCTTGATCATCCCGTTGCGCGGATCTAAATACTGATTGTTTTAGTGAGCGACGCCACCATCCTCCTCAAGGACATCGCGGCGGACGCGTCACAGAAGGCTGCCAATCAGGTCCGGCCGTCGGAAGAGCAGCTTTCGCAGATTGACGAGCCTGCTGAGGAGAACGTCTGGCATGAGAAGCCCAATATCTCCAAGGAGGACATGAAGTCCAAGTTCAAGAAGAAGAAGGGAGTACGTTATGCTTGCCCCCAACTAGCTGCTTGTTTGACCTAACCCCAATCAAGGACAAGTCTGGTGCTGCCTCCACCAATGATGATGAGTCGGTGGCCCAATCCGACATGAGCAAGAACAGTCGTACTCGTGAATACGCCGAGAAGACCAAAAACTACCTGTCCGACAAGGTGCCCAAGGAACGTCGCGAGCAGGTCATCTGGCGTCTGAAGAAGATGGTCATTGAGATCCAGGGTCACGCTGACTACCAGCAAGCCATTGAAACCCTCCTGAGCATGGCGGAGAAATATGCTGGCCACACCAAGAGCGTTGGTCAGCAGAGTACTGGCACCATCAAGGACTTCCGGAGCGCCGACAGTGTGCAGGCCGCTGAGAATTGTCTACGGGTGTGTATCTTGCATCTCCTGACAATATTCAAGTATCAATTGCTGATTACACTTTTCATAGACCCTCATTGAGCGCTTCGCCAATAACACCTCCTTGAGCGATTTCTTCGACTCCTTGAACAAGATCTACTCTGATGCCGACAAGGATCCTGAGCTGCGGGGATGGTTCAAGAACGTCGACAACTACATCAGGTATGTGCAATCCAATCCGCTGGTAAACTGGAATGACTCACATGAAATAGGAAATGCCTGCGTGAGCAAGGGTTCATCATGGAGGACGAGGCCAACCGTCAGTGGAATGAGCTGTATGAGAAGGGCCGCTATCTGCTGCGTGAGCGTTACAGGGGCCACACCGACCGCATTGTGGATGAGATCAAGTTCCTGGCGGAGCAGTTCGAGAAGGACCCTCAGAACAAGGCCCTCGCCGACTCGATCCAGCAGCTCTTCAAGGACCTGGGCCGGAATACGGGCGGCCAAGTGGTATTCAAGCAGGACCTGCTCAAAGATGTGGGCAATGTCATTTTGCCTGGCATTTTTGACAATGTTCGCTACGTCCCAATCCCGCGTATCGAGGTGTCTGATCCGATGGTCGACGTGGTGGTCGAGAACCTGGTCATTGAAAGTGACAACCTGCTGCCCAACGTTGTCGAGTTCGGCAGTGACAACTACTTCCGCTGGGGCCGCAAGAAGATCAGCAACAAGCGGGACAACCAGATCATGATCTCTGCGTCTGGAATCCAAGCAGATCTGCGTGATGTCAGCTACTACATCAAGAAGAAGGAGGGCTTCCCCTCGATCACCGACAAGGGTATCATGGACATCTTCCTCGGTGGCGATGGCGTCAGCTTCAAGATTGCTGCTTCCAACGCCCATAAGAAGGATAAGGAGCACTTTGTCAAGCTGGACAAGGTGTCTGTGACGATCAAGAACATGAACATCAAGCTGAAGAAGTCCAAGCACAAGATCCTCTTCAATACGTTCAAGCCATTGCTCTTCCGCGTGGTCCGTCCCGCTCTGCAGAAGGTCCTGGAGGAGCAGATTCGCAAGGCCTTCAATGACGCCGACGCCTTCGCCTACGAGATTAACACCGAGGCCAAGCGTGCCCAGAACGCCGCCCGCGAGGACCCCGGTAACGCGCCGAGCATCTTCTCCCGCTACGCCGACGCCATCCGGGCCCGCATGCAGGCCAAGGCCAAGGAGGCCGAGCAGGTCGCCCAGCGTGACACCAAGGTCCAGACCGTCATGACCCTTCACGACTCCATATTCCCGGATATCGAGCTGCCAGGCGGCGTTTCCAGCAAGGCCACCGAGTATGCCGACCTCGCTACCAAGGGCGAGCGCTGGGAGTCGCCCATCTTCAGCATTGGCAACGCCGGCGAGTCTACTGACATCCCTACCCAGGAAGCTATCACCCGCAAGGCTCACGCCACCACTGGTACTACTGGCACCACTGGTACCAATGGTACCACGGATGTTGCTGGCGCTGCAGGTGCTTCTGGCATGGCAAACGCGGCCGCCACGAACGGCACGTCCAAGGTGTCTGGATATCCCTCGCGTGGCTTCTCCGATGAAGTTGACCAGGCCTTTGTCAATGACGGTACCAAGAACATTGGCGAGGGTACCAAGACTACCAACGGCACCACGGTCACCAACCCCAAAATCACCAACGGGTCAACCACGGTCAGCTAAGCTGTGCTCTTATATACGCAGCAACGTCTCTCGATGTGACTTGTTCTCTGCTTATGAGTACCCTAATTCGTTTTTTTTTTTGCCGTGCATTTCGTGTTTGTCTCTCTTTGTGGCAAGTTGTATGATTTCCCCCCACCGAGCAACGTGTGGATTTGTACTAGTACTGTTGTTGTTTGAAAATTCTTCCGGTAGCCTAATGAATACATAATGCCGCCGCTGTTCTGCGATTGGTCTATTTATAAGACACGAGTAAGATAGCATGCTAAGTTTGTTAAGAATTAAAGCTATTGGTCTGATAAAGAAGCAAGTCTATTTTAATCGCAATTGCAATAGGACTGGTCAAGCCTCCGATGTACGCCAACATCCAGGAAATGCCCAAGTCATGCGAGCAACATTTTCATCAAGGTTAGTCATTCACTCATACCAGCGCCCGTTTTGACTCCGCAATAGAACTGGTCGACTCCTCATCCGACGCCTGAGAGCCGACCCTCAAGCCCTGACTAGACGAAAAGTCCCTGTTCATGGAGTACGACTTCGTGAAAACACTAGTCAGGAAGCCCAGAGCCGCAACAGTACACATAACAACCCAGATAATGGATAGAGAGTCCGCGTACAGCGACTCAATCAAAAGACGACGCGGGCTGTCCGAGGGCAGAGCCTTGATATACTCCACCAGACTCGACGCATCGCTTGCATACTGATCCGCAGACCGGCCCAGTGACGCGTGATTGTTAAAGTTATCCTTGATGCGGTTCTGAAACACAACACCCCCGATAGCCACGCCGACAGCCTGGCCCAGGACCCGGAAGAACGTCGTCATCGTCACTGTGATGGACTGGTATACCGGGTCGGAGGCGACTTGCACGGCGAGCATGACGGTTGGGTAGAGCATGCCCAGACCGATGCCAGCGACTAGGTTCAGGCAGACCCATTTGGCGGTTGGGGTGTTTTCGTCGAGGAGATACAGCAGGCCTAGCCCCAGCGAGGAGAGCGGCCAGCCCGCCCAGAGGGCCCAACGGTATCGGCCTGCTTTCGCGGCGATGATGCCTGTGATCACGGAAATGGGGGCAACGGTGAATGTCTCCGGGAAGACGGCTACGCCGGACATCACGGGGCTGAAGCCTAGCACGCCCTCGTAGTAGAGGGGCAGGTAGTAGACCAGTGCCCAGAGGATGATGCCGTGGAGGAAGCAGCCCAAGAGGTTGAGTGAAACAGTCCGGTTGTTGAAGATCACCGGCGGGATTAAGGGGTGAGACGGGACGAGACACTCGTACGTGGCGAAGGCGATTAGCCCGGCCGCACCGAGGATCAGAGGGACGAGCGTGTGCCACGAGCTCCAGGCGTACATGACGCCGCCCCAGGTGAGCGGGATGAGGAAGGCCGTGAGGGAAGCGACGAACAAAACGCAGCCGAGATAGTCAACGGTGGCGAGCTTGTCTCGCAGCGAGACTTTATCGTGGTGCAGTTTCAGGAAGACGGGGATGAAAATCAGGCCCAGGCCACAGAAGGGAAGGTTGACCCAGAAGATCCAGCGCCAGCTAGCAGACGACTGTGTGAACCCGCCGCCGATGAGCGGGCCGACGACTGTGCCCAGCGCCCAGGTGCCGGAGCGGATGCTCATCCACTTGCCACGCTCGCGCAGCGGGATGAGGTCTGCGATTAGGATTTCTGTTAGGGCCATGATCCCGCCGCCGCCGATGCCTTGGATGGACCGGCCGGTTAGGAGAAGGGCGAAGTTGTGCGAGACGGCTGAGAGGATGGAGCCGAGTGTGAAGGATGCCACGGCTGCGAGGAGGACGAGTTTACGGCCGAAAATGTCGGATGATAGAGAGAAAACCGGCTGGAAGACGCATGATGCTACCAGGAAGGATGTGCCTGTCCAGAAGGCTTCTGTTGCTGTTCCACCAAGGTCATTGGAGATGGTCTATATAAGATGTTAGCGGTTAGTATTGGAGGCATATACTAAGTATGTATGCATTGGATCGACATGGATCTTACCGGCAGCGAGACTGATACAGAGGTCGCATCGAGTGCAGCCACAAAGTTGAGCAGCCCTACCACGGCGAAGATAGATTTGAGTTGCCAGGTAGGACGAAACGAGGTACCCTGAGGAACAACCACCATTTTTTCTCTGGATGTGATAAGAGAGGAGAGAAAAAAGAGGTCTATAATCTGTTCTAGGAAAAGAAACCAAAAGAGCGGAAAGACTCGCTGTCTTTAAATCCCACCAGGAAAGGGCCATACCCAATGCCAACATACAAACAATGCCTCGAAAGAATATTCCAACCGCCTATATCCGAACATAGCTGCTGCGGTGGACGGGGCTAGCTGAGATCCTATTTACTCTGTTCGGGAGAAGACGAAACGTCATTCGGTGGAAAGTGCACCATCTGAGCGGCTCCCCCGGGGGTTTGAAATAACGACTGCGAAAAGGCACGCGAATGGCCAGATGAACGCGACTGTCAGCTTGCAGGAGCACCAGGATGCACACGTTCGTGGCTCAGTGGCACTAGATCCATTCCACGGCAGCGGGTATGGAACTATCACGGTGTTCTTGTTCGGCGTATACTTAGCCCTGATTGGTGCTCGGGTTTTGTGCCTAACTACAATCGGCGGTGATCTCCGCCAGCCTTACTTCCCATAGTATCTTTGAAGGGATCGGCATCGCCGTAGGCGAACAGATATGCGCGGTAGCAATCTACAAACAAGGAAATATTGGAGACGCAATGACTAGACGCACGTTGCTTGCTCGCTAGCGACTGGGGGTCAAAATTCCCGGCTAATGTTGCGAGATGGGGACGATTCTTGATTCATTCATGATTGCATAATCTCACTGGTTAGGGCAACAAGGGCTCGTGCCTGGCTTTTTAGCACTCTTCCGCGTGTTGGAGTGGGGGTCTGGAGATTGAACCCCCACATTAGATAGTCCGTCTTCGGGCTGTCTAAAATTATTCTTTGATCTAGATCTCATACGCCAAGAGAGTACTTCTTGCGACTCATGTATGGGGCTGTTTTTGGGCCAGAGATGGCTCATTGAAACTATTGCAGTATATTATTAGAAAGGGAAACTCTAGCTGCTCCTTTATCCAGGAACATGTTGCAGTCTGTCGAAGAGGACCTGGCTATCCAGACTGTATCGGATACCCCGATGGCTATCAGCGACGCCATCAACAGGGCGTTTCGCTTGCCAGCTCAGTTCCTCGCGGAATTGCCGTGAAAAGGAAAGTTGGCACCTCAAGCCGACACGGTAACTACGCACATAGGTGATCAGGGCCGAGCGGCTGTTTCTAGGCCGGGCGCTACACTAGTCCGGAAAGGGTTACTAGATACGCTAAGGGTGAACTGTTCGTGGCTCCGTTGACTACAATTTCGGGTAGAAACAATAATCTACAGACAATGGCATCTTAACTGTCCCGGCGATCGGTGAAATCGCGGTCATGTTCATCATGGGAATTCTTGCGTAGGTCGATTGAGTTAGGGTTACGGGGAACTAAAGTGAGTGATCTTTAGATTGGATCAACCAATCAAACATCTAGAAATGGAACAGTCATCTAGATTGCACCCGGCGCAATCACTTATCGATTCCCCATTGTTGAACTCCCGAATACAGTCGGAGTCGAAAACACTTCCCCTTCGTGCACTTACGAAGGGTTTCTCGAACCCTTCGTTAAAACACATGCTAATCTGTGGTTGGTTACTCTAAAAGTAATCCCTGCTTAGTCGTATCGTATCTAATGGTGTCGCTAAATGAACCATTGTAGGGTACTATAAACCTCCACATAATCGCGCATAATGTTTCTGGCAAAAGTACCTCCCGAGCGGAAGATCTGGAGGCCTGGCAAGTCCCGCCAGCCACTCATCCCTCACGCAGTGGGTCATTAACAACTTATTTGGTCAGTCATGCTGTACATAGTAGCTTAACCACTGTCTCATGCACATATTCTGCCGCCCACGATAGGGGAGTCCGTCCGACAGAATCCTGGGAGTCTGGATTGACACCCTTCGTGCTGAGAAGCAGTCTGACTACCGCCTCCTCTCCATTCTGGGCCGCCCATGATAGGGGAGTTCGTCCGACATAATCCCGGGAGTCTGGATCGGTACCCTTCGTGCTGAGAAGCAGCCTGACCACCGTCTCCTCTCCATTATGTGCCGCCCATGATAGGGGCGTCCGCCCGTTAGGATCCTTGCAATCTGGGTTCACACCCTCGGTGGCGAGAAGTAACTTGATCACGGCCTCATGTCCACTTAATGCTGCCCCTAAAAGCGGCGTCTCTCCGTTAATATCCTTGCAATCTGGATTCACACCTTCTGTGGCGAGCAGTATCTTGACGACTGTCTCATGTCCGCTTCGTGCCGCCCGCGATAGGGGCGTCTCTCCGTTAATATCCTTGCAATCTGGATTCACACCTTCTGTGGCGAGCAGTATCTTGACGACTGTCTCGTGTCCGTTTCCTGCCGCTAGCGATATGGGTGACTGTCCGCTCGAAGCTTGGGGGTCTGGGTTGACACCCTCCGCGAGTAGTAGCTTGACTATAGCTTCATGCCCATATTCCCCTGCCCTCGTTAGGGGAGTCCGTCCGATCGAATCCTGGGAGTCTGGATTGACATCCTCTGTGGCGAGTAGTAGCTTGACCACTGTCTCATGACCATTTTCTGCCGCCCATGATAGGGGCGTCCGTCCGTTAGAATCCCGGGAGTCTAGCTTGACATCCTCCGTGGCGAGCAGAAGCTTGACGATTGTCTCATTCCCATTGCGTGCTGCCCACAGAAGCGGCGTTTGATTAAACTGAGCATGAGCTCCTTCTGCTAGGGACTTCTGAGCTGTCGCTTCTTGCCCATATTTTGCAGCCCACAATAATGCCGAACTTCCGTGTTCTTGTACATCGTAACAATAAAGATAGGGATTTAAGAGATGATAAAGTCGGATATTGGTTTGAGCAAAGGCATTTATATGCTCCGCGGATCCCAGGTTCTCCGCGATACACTGCAGCAGTTCATTTGGTAAACAAAGCAACATTTGAAAAGTACTCGACTGCTAGTAAACGGTCTGCAGGAGATAGTAAGGAATCAGCAACCACCCGTAGGCAAACATAAATGACAGGTTGGTTGAGAAACAAAAAGGTGTGGAATTATATTAGATAATTCCTGTACTCGCCCTTGACTCACCGCAATGTCGGCTTCCCGTTCTAGGGTATCTATCGCTCCGATTGGTCCCTGCTCCCGGCGAGTCTGAGCACTAATACATAGGGTAGGCACAACAGTTGCGGTAAAAAGATGTTCCTGTCGAATACAGTATTGTACGCCACTTGGTGAGTGTACAGTGGCATTGCTAAAGTCTGAAAACCCCTAAAGTACCTTTCTTTACCGCCTTTTACAAGGGACATACCGCCCATCAATAGTAGTCGTTGAGTGGCGCGGACGCTTAATACCGGCAGAATGTCAGCAGGGGAATCTGCTTTCGACTTCGACTGTACTCACACACCCCAATCAACATGTCCAGATACGAAACAGCCCTCCGTCGCATTGACGAAGCGCATGCCTGCGACCCACGGCAAACGCATGACCCGTCATCGCAGGGCCAGATTCCATATGAGCTACACTACGCCAACAAAATGACCTCTTATCTCACGCTCGTGGAACCCTCGGCCTCAGAATTGCTACAGCTCGCCATCCGCGCCCAACACCTGCGCCGGTGGGAACTCCCGCGCAGCGAGTACCCAGCCACGAAGATTGGGTACCACTCCTGGCGTGCGGAGCTGCAGCGGCGCCAGGCCACACTGGCGGAGCAGATCTGTACGGAGAGCGGGTATAGCGCCGAGGAGGCGGCGCGTGTAGCGGCACTGGTGCGCAAGGCAGATCTGAAGAAGGGGGACCCTGAGACGCAAACTCTGGAGGATGTGGCGTGCCTTGTGTTTCTGGATGATCAGTTTGACAAGTTTGAGACGGAGCTCGGGGATGAGGACAAGATGGTGGATATTCTGCGCAAGACTTGGGGGAAGATGTCGGAGAAGGGGAGGGAGGAGGCTTTGAAGATCGACTTGTCGGAGCGTGGGAAGCTTTTGGTCGAGAAGGCGCTGCAAGGATGATATGAGCTTGATACATAAACGAAGGCGATCATGTGTTGCAATAGAGAGACTTCACCAGGGGAAAAAAAAAAAAAAAAAAAAGGTCGTGTCGCCCCGGGCTGGATTCTCCAGAGACACTCAAGGGGACCAAGTGATGGCTTAGAAGAAGGCGCGAGCACGCACACACACTTTGGGGGGGGCCGACTAGGTAGGAGCATAATGTCTACCCGTCATTCATGCGTCCAAACCCTTGCACCACCAGAAGGTGCTAGGGGAATGCGGGAATTGATGTATAAGGGAGCCTCGCAGTCGGATACCTAAGACTTAATATCGAACAAGGCAGGGGATTTCGTCTCTCTCAGCTCAGCCAGAGCAGTGAAGCTAAATTGTAGCCTGGAGACTCTCTAGATCAAATAACCATGACGAGTCAATACTTTCAATAGAATATAGGCTCATCTGCTTTGCCTATTTCCTTGCACTATTCTGATACCCATGCCAGAGCTCGGATCAGTTATATCCCCCGTCTAGAGTATTCTAAGGCTCAACTGACGCGTCCGTCTTTGAGGATTATAGTGAGCAGCTTCTCTAGCACTATGGGAAATGGCCCGAGCCGAAGTCCGTGTTAGTCATAGACAACGCATCCTTTCAGTCACTCGGACCAAATAGAACAGATATGCTTAGGAGAACCCCTCCCAAAACGTACACCCATGGACGCCCTAATCCATCTTTGTTTGTTGTTCGAAATACCCCCTCCTTTGTGATACTATATCATCTTGAAATCCATAAAGCAACGCAAATATTAAAAATACCGATTACCAGCGCACTACAGTCGCGCTTAGGTCTTAGAGAGGCTCGAGTTGTTTGGCATATACCGTGAAGTAGCACTGGGACATATGCTATCCAAGACATTAGGACAATAATGATAAGGAGGCTAGCCGTCATAAGAGTCACTTACGGGTTGAATGACCCCAGAGTAGTCGTATACCGTTAAACCAAACAAGTACCAAAAAAGTCACGAAGTTACCTACTATTATAAAGGGGTCAATATAATATTAAGGCTGTCTCATAAGCAACTTACAGGAGAGTAAGACTCCTATAGATGACCGCCTCCAAGCATCATCTCTATCCTCATAGACACTTTGGAAAAGACACATGCCCACGTCTACCCCAAATAGCTGTTGGAAATATTCCAACTTAGCATCATGAAGTTCAGAGCCGCGCACTAATCGCCATAAGCGAGCAGTTTCTTCTGCGAAGTCACGCTTTGCATTGTGCTTGAATATAAGAACCTGAACAATGTAAATTCGAACCTCTTGTGGGCTTGCCGATCGATCGGGAATTTGGTCCATTTGAGCCGGACACGAAAGATTAACTAAAAAGAACCTGCGACTGTCGTCTGACCAAAGAGCTGCGGAGGGAATATGGTTGTATTAAGGAAATGATGCAGTGCGCTGGAGCAGACACGGATTTATCTATTTTTCCGGCAAATCCCAAATGTCCAGGCGGGCTGATCCAAAACATAACCAATAGTTACCAAATCGAACATTACCTATACGCTTTGTGGTGTAACTACCACAGTATGGACTAATGGCTTTCCTTTCTAGCCTGATTTTTCACTTTGTTTTCAGCCCCCCGCGGCTCTAGCTCATGATACAGAAGTTTTGTCATTGGTCTAGAGGTTCATGGTGGAGTACTACTCAGCCGCAAACATAATCTAAGGTAATAATACAATCGGATACGAGGGATTTTTCGAAAGAAACGTGTCCTCTTAATGAGTTCTTGTCCCTCTGGGAATTGCGGACGTAGCCTCTTTGATCCATGCTAGCGAATCTATTCACAAACACCGACTTCCATAACTGACTAAATTCAACAATTAGTTTTCTGGACGTAATGTCTCTGGGATCCCTACCACGATGGCAATCTGCTATCTTCAGTGTTGCTCAGTTCGCCAGCGCTGCGTCGCATCTTGAGTCGGATATACCAATGAGCGTGATCATCACAACACTAATAAGCTCCATTGTTTACTTCCAAGTAATCTTACCAAGACCCCGGCTCTCTTTGTTCGATATTAGACGTGAAACTAATTTCTTGCTTTTTTTTTCTTAGTTTCAATACATAGATGGAAGTGTAATAGCGGCGCTCGCCGTCTTGGAAACCCCAAATCGCATAAATACCGGTCATCCTCAAAAAAAGGGTATTTCAGAACCTGAATTGGGCAAAAGCGACCCTACAGAGCAGACTAGTGTTTATTCGGAATGTGCGCTAGAAGAAAAGAAGCTGTTTCTTCGGAACGCAAGACAGCAGCTCCTCTGGCGTGTTCTTACTTATCTCGGTGGTGGCATCCTCGGCTCGACTCTGATATGCATGTTAGACAACACTAGCGCGCCGCCGTTTGCCATTTACCTGAAAAGCATATCTTTCACATTACCTTGGTCTTTAATCTGGGGAGCTATGACTATTGGTTTCTATGACACATCTAGCTCTGGTGCTATTACTACTAAACGAAGCGTTGCTCGCCGACACTTACACAACCAAGGAGGATTATGGTCTAATTATCTTGGGCTAAATTTCTTCGCCGTATATATGATTTTGGCAATTTCGATCACGGCCCTGGCAACGCGCTTTGTTGCAAACGACAGACTCAACTTTCCTACGCTGGTTTTGACTAAACTACTTGTGGGGCTGCTTCTAACGAATCTACACACGGCTTGGGTTCATGCTGTTATTTCGAAGCCTAACAAGAAATCGGCCTGGCAGAGAATTCCTGGCTGGCGAGAGTGGATTGAAATCATTCCTGCAGCATCACTGGACCTAGCCTCGCCAAGTTTTGCGTATTACTTGACGAAGAAACTTCTGGCATTCGTGCGTGAAAGTTTTTTCGCTACAGTGGATAATCGCCTTTATGAAGAACCTTATTCCGTGCTTTCAATATTCGAACAATTTGCAATCTACATGCCTACTGTGTTGGAATTCTTGATCTCGATTTTGACACGAGCCATATACATCAGAGTTGCGGCTTCAATGCTACCCGACGATGATGAACCCGTTATACCATTCGATCCTAGTTTCGGAGGGCGAGCCAGAAACAACGAGACACATTGTCTCAGCATCCTTGATGCCGTCAAGACTATGGGATTGCAGAACTGGCATAATTATCGAAAGATTGTTCGGGAAGTGCTTCAATATGAGATTCCCTGCATTTGTCTATTCGTCATTGCTATCGCTTTGGAGTTTTATTTGGAAGAGCCATGCACTGCTGGGGATTTACTCGAATTGTTTGCGTCAATGTTTCTGGTGGAATGATCAGCTCCATCTGTTGAACACACAACTCTTTTTTACTGTACAGTACACATTATGCGCACTCATCCCCTCTACCAATAGTCGCCGAGTAGTATGATAAGTAGGCTCATAAGTAGTCTACGTGTAAGGAAGGTAATGTAAGTCACTATTTGCAACGCCTGGTACCGAGTAACCTCCCAGACTGTCACTTGGACATAGGAATTGGCAGAGGAAAGTAACCCACTCCTACTATAAACTAGTGGGTCTAGGCATTAAGGTTCGAGGTGGCATCGGTTTCGAGACGCACTGTATGACTGGTAGGTATAATCGTACCTCCGGGAGATGAGTGCCTAGAGCGAGTGTAGTCGCTATCCGCTGAGTATTGACCATAGGATAATTACGGCGCTCTTCCACTGAGCCAATATGCTTCGTGGCAGAGCTATTTGTCCTTTGCAATATGATATCCCATGCAGTGAGTGACTCGCCATTGTTCTCATTGTTGCTTCCCATAGGAGAGCGCGAGTGAAGATCTGGATCCTTCGTCGATTACGATCCATCGCGATATCTATTGCAAAGATGCTTCTGGAGCGCAATGTGCGAGTTATGGGCGTCTGTACTCTGTTTGAGCTTTTTTGATGTATGCAAACGACTTTGGTTAGAGAAATGTTCATGAACTTCTTGACCTGAATCCATTTTATAGATTACAAGATTGATTTCGACATCTGTGGTACGTAGTGGAGTATTCACCGGGAGCAGTGGAGATACCAATGAAGGCGAGGCACCAGTTCGCCGTTCAGGAAGATTAGAAACGTCCCAGTGGTGGTCATATCATGTCATGTCATTTCATTGATCCAACGCCACTCGCTAATGATGAGAGAATATCTAACTGGCTACAAAAATGCAATACCCTCGACTCTATGCAGATTGTGAGGGGAAAACATCACCGCGCTCCACCAGTATCTATCAAACGAACCAGTCCAATCGCCGCACCAGCCGCAACACCACCGACGAAACACATCTGCACGCCACCCCACACACCAGCCAGAATGTTATCGCGACCAGTCCAGCCGCGCACAATGCAAGTCTTAGCATATCCAAACGCTAGCAGAGTCACGGCCATGACGCCGATACTCCAGTACAGCGCGACGATGACACGCTCGGCGATGAAGTACGGGATGAGTGGGATGAAGCCGCCAACGAAATAGCCAATTGCCAGCGTCACCGCCGAGACCCAGGCTTGGTTGCAGGCTGGCGCGGACTGGCAGTGGTGGAAGGCCAGTAGGAAGTCGCGCAGCCGCTCGCTCGACGCGTGCAGGTCGGATGTGATGTCGTTTATGGCGGCGGAGGAGAGGCCGTAGGGCGCAAAGGTATCGTGCACGATGGCGCGGGTTTGGTGCGGGTCGTTGTCAATTAATTCTTGTGTCTCGCGGACTGTGGCATCGTAGGATTCGCTAGACATAGGTCAGAGCACGGATCTAACCATGTAAATGGGAAAAAGACCTACGCTTCACTCTTGGCTCCCACGTACCCGCCCAGCCCCATCGAGATCGCACCAGCTGCCAGCTCGGCCAGGCCACCCAGGACAACGACCTTGGTGTTACCCAGCGCGGACAGACCTGCACTCAAGGCAAAGGGCACCGTCAGGCCATCCGACAGCCCGAGAATGGCATCCGACACGATGCGTGGGTTGATACGCGCGCGCGTGCTGACGCTGCTGCCACCAGTGCTGCTGGAAGAATCGTGGCTGGTGCACCGTCCGAAGGTCGCGTAGGAGCGACCCGACTCAATGTCCTGATCCGAGTCTCCGCGGAGTGTATCATCGTCGTCGATGCGGGCGAGGAGTGGTTTCCCTGGTTTCTGTCAATGATCTGATCTGTACGGCGCGTCACACCACGGATGGATCTACTTACCGGAGACCTGGGACTCCTGCTGGGGAAAGAGTTTCTGTTTGAGGAAGAGGAATGCCATGTTGGGTGCAACACGGCTACGATGGGCAGCTGTGCGAGCTCGTGCCGCTAAGCTAGGAAGCTGTGGCGGTGGCTGACGTCAAAGGCGACGCGAAGTACGATTGACAAGAAGGGATGCACAATTGGAAAGAAGGGAGGGAACAATCTAAGACAGCACTCGAAATAGTGTACAGAAAAGAAGACGGCGCGTCCCCTTTTTAACTTATGCAGCATCCATTTTTCCTCTCACCGATGCCTCCAGAACACCAAAACGGGACCATGTTTTCATCCACGCAGGGGCAAGGCACCAATCAGGGCAATAGGAAAGGTCAGCGCTGAAGAACAAGGCAAATGAAGGTGATTGGGGGTGATGACGACGATGACCATTAGAGCGAAGATCATTGGGTGGCGCGGTGGATCCGGATCTGCAACGAATGAGGTAAGTTACTCGGCCCGGACTACTTCTTCCATAGGTTCATCCTACTATCTCCGAGCCCTATTCGAGAACAGGTTGAGTCGCGCAGTGGATCACTCCTCCGGCCAAGGGCAGCGCCGTAACATGCACGGGCTGGACCACCCGGTCCGGACAGAGAGTCTGCATCGTCTCCAGCGCGGCTCGATCACGCTGCAAGTCTCCGAATTGCGGCAGAATGAGACCCCCGTTCACAAAATAAAAGTTCACATAGTTGGTGGCTGGGTCGTTGGATGCCGAATCCCCCAGACTCGAAGGGTCGGGCTCGTCCACAATGTGGATCTCGAACCGACGCCCCTTCGCATCGACCGACTGGCCCAGAATCTCCCGAATCGCCTCATGCACTTCCTGCCATGGCCGAGGCACACTGGCATGCGGCCGTGAGAGAACCACGACCCCCGGCCGGACAAAGTTGACTTCCGCATCGGCATGCACATCCGTCACATCCAGGTCCTTCCGACCAGGAAACCAAATGATTTTCTCAACGCCCAGCACGCGCTGCAACTCGGCTTCAATCTCCGTCCGCGACAGGCCCGGATTGCGGTTCTCATTGAGAATACTGCTCTCCGTCGCCAGCAGCGTCCCATCACCATCGACCACCAGCGCCCCGCCTTCCAGACAGATCTTCGATTCCACGACCGTCACCGCAGACGGAGACACGTCCGATTCGATGACTCTGCGCGCAAAGGTCGCATTCTCCTGTAGTTCCTCGGCGTTCATAACGGGCCACTCGAGCCCATCAGCAGCGCGCTCATGGTCTCCGATCTGGTCTCGTTTGCCCCATTCACTGAATCGAAAGTTGACCGCGAACCGGCCGCTCCCCTCGCTGCCGCGGACGTAGACTGGGCCTGTATCTCGCACCCAGAGGTGGTTCGTGCGGAATGGGATAAGTGATATATTTGACGCCTTGCCGGGGTATGCGGTGGCCGCTCGACTGACCAATGACTGTGCCTTCGTCACATCCTCGGGTCGTGTGTATAAGCGGACCGGTTCGAAGCCTGAGATGGCAGAGGCGAGGTTCGCAATGTCTGTGCACGCGTTTTCGTAGTAGGCCGTTGCTATGGAAGCTTTGGAGGGGAAGCCGAGGATCGTTGCTGCGTGGCGGGAGGTTTCCGCTGGGTAGAGGTATCTCCCTGCACTTTTGATCAAAGTGGATGCCATTATTTATTCTTTCCTGGAGAAGATGATACGGTCAGTAAGACACTTGGTAATGTTCATGACGTATCACGGACTCGCTCACTGGATTGATCTAGCTCGTGTGTCTTTTCGACTCGGCTATCAATTCTTCGACTGTTTGGCTGTCTTAGCTCCAGTTCTGCGGGGAGAAGAGGGATTAAGTAGTTAGATAAGGGTTCCTGTCTTTAAAGGTCAATGCACCCGTGCGGTGGGGTTGGCGGACAATCGTCCGCTCTCTAGGCTCGGCGCAGGATCTAGCTACCTTAACGAATGACCAAATACAATATATATCAGTTAAGCACTTCATCTTGTACTTATAGAAACGTGCCTGCAAAAATTGACTTGCGCCTGGTTTCTCATTGCCTTTACTCCAAACCCTAACGCCAAGGCCAAGCCAACCGGACATAGATCTCAAAATTCTCTTGTCACTACTGTAACATGCGAACCGTGAGATACAGAACAACAATATGACAACACATGATCGTTGGTACCTCGATGCCCTTCTTTCGTCCAACGGTTCGGTGTAAAGGAAAAGAGACTTGGGATAGGAAAAGAAAGACGGCAACCAAATAAACTCCCCAAAACCATCAAGCCTAGCAGCGAGGACAATGCTCAACGCTACCATTATGTACCATGTGTGTATGAAACGTTCGCACGTGTATGCTAAGGTGGTCTTTTCGATTAAGAGATCGCTTGCAGTGCTGGTCAGGACACTTGTAGATTTTCAGAGAGACATGTTTGGTTCTGATATGTCGGAACAGAGATGATTCGCTGGAGAATGGGTGGGTGTAATCGCAGCCTTGCCAGCCACAAATAAGTGAGCTAGGGAGGTTCCTACCAATGATAGTGATTTAGACACTAGACAATAAAGTAGAGCAGAGGAAGCTTAAGGACGTACTCGGCATTTGTTGCTTGGAATTGACTAGGGCTCTGAACCTCGGAAGTAACAGTATCTTTGACCCTGTTGGCTAGCAACTGCTCCGTGGAGCTCAGAGAAAAGAAACCTGATGGCATGTTGTTGATCGCAGGTAGACCATCTTGATTTGTTTGTTGTAAACCTTCAGCGTGATTTGTTAGGCCAGGCCAAGGATTCATAGAGCTGTCATTCATCGTCAAGATACTAGGACCTTGAGTCAACAGGGAAGGAGCCATGGTGTCCAGGCCCAATATTTCTGGCGGGAATTGGATGTACTGATTGTGTAGGCTATCATCCATAACTGAAAATGTATTCGCAGGCATGAACGAAGTGGACGTAGCATTCACAACAAAACCGTCGTTATGCAAAGAATACCTAGGCCCTGGGTCGAGCTTGTCAGGCCCAAAATTCATAGAATTCAAGTGCAAATTCGTGTTCTGCGAAGACGGAGGCATCGTACAAGCAATTTGGTATGAAAAGTAGCTCTTCGCTATAGGAGTAGAAGAATGTTGATTGTGTTGCAATTATTCATGGTGGAGAGTGAAATGCTTCTTTTTATATTTGAGAAATGGGAGTGTTGTATGGCTGACGATCAGTCTTTTGTTTCAGTGGTTTATTGAATTTATTACCTACCCGTCATAAGGTCCACTCACCCCATTGGCGCATCGGATTATTGGGACACATTGCCATTGCTTAGCCCCGAACACTGGCCGAACTTTTCCGAAATTGGTTGGTTCGCTATACCTTGAAACTCCCAAAGCCCCTCCTAGCGACGGGAAGGAAGAGGATTAGGTCGAAATTGGATCCTCGCGAATTCCAAGTTTGCGCAATAGCACAACGCCCCAAACTTTCGGAAGGGATCCCTATGAGGCTCAGATTATCCACACGTACCGAGGCACTACCTCTGGCATCTGGCCCTAGATAGTTTGAATACTTAACAGTTCTCAGCTATGTCAAAACACATATTCAATTTAGTAACGAAGCTTCCACCATCAGCACTGTGCTGATCTCTAATATAGTGGTGTAGTCCACCACGAGCTATTGTAGTATGAATGTATGCTACTCACTTATAGTAAAGGCAGCTAACGGAGTACGCATCCAGAATTGCAACACTACAACATCTACATGTTTAATTTTAGGGAAAGTATTCACAGATTCGTCGGCATTAACTATGCACTCATAAACAGTCTCATTCGTGATCAAAACTTTCTGTGGCGTAGACAGAGGGCATTAAAAGATTCTAATTACATAGCAGACCAACTCCAGCGGCTCAAGATGACACTAATCAAGACAAGCGGAAAACACAATTCCCTCATGAATCCATGGCACACATTGCACCATTCTCACAGCGCAAGCATGAAACCCAGCAGACCGGCCGCACCGGCGAAGCTGGCGGCGACGTGGGCCGTGGGAGCAGTAGCGCCGTTAGTCGTTGTGGGCTTGGTGCCCGAAGCCGTGGTCGAGGCCGAGGTCGAAGTCGAAGTCGAGTCAGAGCCGGAGCCCGATCCAGAGCCACCGTTGCCAGTCGCCGTGGCAAGAGGGGTAGAAGAGCCAGCAGTGGGAGAGGCGGCAGAGTTCCCGGGGATGAGCATGCTAGGCGCGGCGGATGCCATGGCGATCTCAGAGGTGAGGATAGCCAAGTCGCTAGCGGGCAGACGGTCCTGCCAAGCGGTGTTGTGCATGAACTCGCTCATGACGTACTTGTCGATGCTCTCGATCTCTGCAATGTTGCTATGCATGTAGGCGCTGCTGAGCTCCTCCTTGACCGACTGCGGAATCGCGCTGGCAACGGCCTCCGCGGCCGACATTATGGCGGGCGGCGGCTCGGTCATGACGGGCATGCCCACGCCCGCGGACTCCTCGGTGAAGGCGGGAGCGGCCATGGCTAGGCTGGAGAGGAAGAGGGCGGCTGCGACCTTGGAGTGCATTTTGGCGTTTGTGATGAAAGAAAGAGGTAAGATATAGAGAGATATTGGAGAGGTGGGTTGGGTTTGGGATTGGAGAAGTAAAATGAACGCAGGGCAGCGATGGTCTTAAGTATTTTTCCAGGGGGCTATAATTAGCCTGCTTCGACCCTGTTGAGGCTCTGTTACGCCCCCTAATTATGGTGGCGAGGCTGGACGACGAGACTACTACTAGTGCTAGTTACGGCGACGCCAATAATAATGGCACCATGTTTTTCGCCCCAAAATCCACTGGGTGGGTACACAGCCCTAAAAAAGTTCGTCCCCCGGCCTTAGCCCGACGGGTGAATAGAACAGGGAGGGCTGTGTGCTCAGCGTTTACATATGTTGACAGAGCCGGTGCGGCCCCAAGAGTGTTGGGGCCGTACCCCTGTCATCGTCGTCACCCGTCCGCTTAGGGTTATGGAGGGATGCCAATAAAAAGCTCTCAGGCCACCACTCCGTACCCAGGTTCAATACGTACAGGCCCGCGGGGCGCCAAGCCAGCCGGCAGAACCGGCAGCTTAGCCTTGTCCATAAAGAGAAAGCCAAGGGAATATCCTCCAACGGGACTAGCGAGAGGATTGCCTCTAAGCTCAGCCTCGCGCTATGTTTACTACTTCACTGCCAAGAAATTCCCAGGTTGCTATTACGCAATGCCTCTTTCTGTCGATGTCATTGATCTAATACGTAATATTCTGATGCTTATGCATTTTTTTTTTTTGCATTCAAACAACGCGGAGAGCGGGTTTGCGGGGATTATTTGCCACAGCATAGCCATCCAACACCGACTATCGGCCCTCCGCACGCTCCACTAGGCGATCCTCCAATCCCATCGGCTCCCATATATCTTTGGCCTTCTTGTTCTGCACCCAGACCACGTCGCCCTGCAGGAAGGCCACGACTCCGCCCTTGCCCGTCGCACTGGCGGTGATGCGGAATAGAGGCTGTCCGTTTTGCGGGTGTGCCTCACGCAGAGGCAGCATAATAAGCCCTTGCTCGGAGCACCAGCCTTCCAAAATGTCCTTGAAAGCAATTTCTTCGGCGACTGGGGCCTTTGGCCGCGGTGCCGGCACGCTGGCAGCAGCCGCAGCTTCGGCAACGGCTTCGTCACGGGTCGGGAGAGATGGCCGTGTAGTGGTGGTCGGCGGTGGCAGTTCGGCCGCGGCACGATCTCCAAGCTGCAAGGCAAGATCCATTGTCTGTAAGCCTTTCTTCCACTCGTCGTCGATGAGCGTAAGCTCGTTGACACTCTCCGGGATCTGGGATCGCCACCAAGAAAACCACGTGCCGACCTCTTCGTAGTTGGGATCGTTGGTGAGCCAGATATGTAGAATCTCATGCCACTTGGGGAAGAACTCAGAGACCAGTAGGAGGCCCATCACGTTGGGCTGGAAGAAGTCCCTCCAGCGGAGAACGTCTTCCAAGGCAGTCAGATCTTGGTCCTGCGGGTTCACGACGAAGTCTTCGCGGAGGTGACGGGCCAGACGTGGGAGCAGGTGGTTGCGCAGACACACGTCAAACTCCGAGCCCAGTGCATCCCGCCAGAGCTCGATGCCGTTGATCAGGCCCTTGCGTACGCTCCACGAGTCCAACACCACGCGGAACTTTCTCTTTGCATCCGACATAAGACCGGTCGGCTGCTTGGGATTGGTATGTCGTTCATCCAGATGTTGCAGCCACGTAAACAGCCACCATGGGAACTGCCCATCGTGCTCGGACGGGTGCCGGCGACTGCTCCGTGGCTTCCAGTTCTTGAGGGCTCCACTGAGCTTAGGAACAACCAGCTGATCCAGAACATTTGCATAAACAAAAGGTGGGACAATTGGCTTCCACGCAAGCACTAGAGATGTCGCAACAGACGGGTCGTATACATCCCAATCATTTAAGAGCGCAGACCGCATCCGTGGGAGCCAGAGAGTGTAGATCATTGTTTCGTATGGGGATGTGGAATGCCGCTGTTGGGACTCTTCACCATCGGTCCTGCGAGAGAGAAGAGGCTGAAGCCGGGTGAGGTTGGACACGAGGAATGTCGGATCTTGGAGAGGCTCCCACTCTTCCATTGCTTGTCGGAACAATGGATGTATGGCAGCGACCGCCGTCTCTGGCAGCCGATATGCATCAACGGCGTCTTGATATGTAGAGTACATGGCCTCGAGTTTGCCCGTCATCTCTTCAAATTTCGCTGCAGTGCTTTCGTCATGTTCGAAAATGTCCAGCTCTTCCACCGCAGCGATCAATCCGGTCAGATGGTTGACCTGGGATTGGTATGCATCCAATTCCTCCACCACCTGGGCCTCTTCGAGTTCGATGAATTTCTTGCGTTCGGTCAGGCCTTTCCACTCATCTGCAAAGGCCTCCAGGTCGTGCCGGGCTCGTCGAGCAATCTTCATAGCTTCGCCTTCATCCTGGCTGACGAATTCTTGTGGCGTCATCAGTCCAGCGGTCGAGGTCAGGACGCGCTGTTCCTTGCCCGTAGCGTCGATTAACGATTTGAGCACGTTCGGAACCTCAAGACCTTCCATATCTGCCTCCATCTCGCGGGCGGTACGGAACTGGGGTTTGGCGCGCGCCACAGGTGTACCCGTCCCACTGCGACTCTCTGTCTTGCGCCCCTCTTTCTTCTTCCGCCGCCGCTGTCGTTCTTCGTCCGAGCTGTCTTCGAGCACTTCGCCTCGGTGTCGGGCCGCCCGTTTCTCCTCCTCGCGAGCTTGCTTGGTCTTCTCGCGTACTGCACCAAGACCAGCCCCCTGCGGTCGCGCCTGCGCTTCAATCGGATTGATGATACCCTGGCCAGTGGATCCGAGACCTTGTCCCTCCTGGTAGCCCATCTTGGCCATCATGCGCGCGGCGAACGAGTTTCCTCCTCCCGCGCTGTTTCCACCTCGAGAGGATCGGCCGCCCCGGGGAGGCGCTGCGGCGATTGTGTTGGCCATGTTGCCCCCGGGATTACGAGCTGCACTGCCCAAACCACCCATGGAGGGAGGTGACTCGGAGCGGCGCGACGCCCTCGCAAAGCCCCGAAAGCCCGGACGGGGCTCCTCATCGTCGCTGGAGCTCATTTCAGCAACCTTGCGCTTCTGGCCCGCGAAGCCAGACGAAGGCGACTCCATGCCGGTGGTGTGGCAGAGAAGGTAAGTGACAACTTGCAATTAGCTATCGATAACTGAAATTCACGTGGAGCTCCGGCACCCGGATGAACCCTAGTCCGGGCGAAAACAAGATGACGTTATTCGGTTACTTCATGCTTTCCCTTCTGTCCTGTTCGGCTTCTCCTTGTCCTGAACACTCATTTTCTTTCCAATTTACTCCAATTTTAGTCCTTACTTCCCGGCCTAACTTTGTGTGCTCGCAATGGCTGCTCTCCTCTCCAACTCGGCCCGCGTGGCCCTCCGCTCGGGAGCTTCGGCTACTCCTAAAGCTGCTGGCGTTGCGGGTTTGACCTTTGCCCGCGGCAAGGCCACCCTGCCGGACCTGTCCTGTAAGTTGAAACTTGTGCTTTGGCCTTGTACAGGTCAATTTCCCCTGTAGCTGACCAAATACAGACGACTATGGTGCCCTGGAGCCGTCCATCAGCGGCAAGATCATGGAGCTGCACCACAAGAACCACCATAACACCTATGTGACCAGCTACAACAATGCCATGGAGCAGCTCCAGGAAGCCCAGGCCAAGAACGACATCTCGGCCCAGATTGCCCTCAAGCCCGCCGTCAACTTCCACGGCGGCGGTCACCTGAACCACTCCTTGTTCTGGGAGAACCTGGCCCCGAAGAACGCTGGCGGTGGTGAGCCTCCTTCTGGGGCTCTGTCCAAGGCCATTGACAGCACCTACGGCAGCCTCGGCGAGTTCCAGAACAAGATGAACACCGCCCTGGCCGGCATCCAGGGTAGCGGCTGGGCGTGGCTGGTCAAGGACAAGCAGACCGGCCAGATTGGCATCCGCACCTATGCTGTAAGTGGTGCTAGCTCCATGGCCACAATTCGTTTGCTAATTCCACCTACAGAACCAGGATCCTGTCGTCGGTCAGTTCGTCCCTCTGCTCGGCATTGACGCTTGGGAGCACGCCTACTAGTAAGAGCCCTGTGATGCTTTCTCCCGGAATCTACTAACCATCACCCCAGCCTGCAGTACCAAAACCGCAAGGCCGAGTACTTCAAGGCCATCTGGGAGGTCATCAACTGGAAGGCGGTGGAGAAGCGCTTCTCGTAGACCATTCCATCAGTGTAATCTCTTGGACTGTAACATTCTCCATATCAATCCATCAATCTACCCATGGCAATCGTTTCTCAATAATTTTATGCACTTCTGGTTGTATTGTAAAGTGAGAAGCTGTAAACTCTCTATTCTGGGGTTTCCAAATGATGTACTGTTATTCTGGTTTCGCTAAGCAGGGATCCGGCGTTAATATGGGGCTCGATCTTAAAAGCATAATTTGCTACTTAAATCCGTTCCATGACCTTTCCAATTGCCAACTTCACCTGCTGTTGAATATCTTTCATCAGCTGGTCTATAGAGACCACTGTGTCGATAACTCCAACGCTCGCACCTCTATGGAAAAGTTTGTCAGTGGATACAGCATATCAAATGAGCACGATTAGACTCACGCCCAAATCGTTCGCCTGTGATTCTCTCCTTGCTTGATAGCATCGTTATACCGCCGAGTGACTTCCTCATTGCTGACTCCACTCTGTGAATCGTTCCAACTGAGGCTAATCACAGCCCTGCCGTCATATTGCTTAGGGAAAACATCGGTAGATTGGAAGACATCATGCAGGGTCGACTTGATGGTCGAGACGGCGCCGTCGCTGGCCGATAGGATTGATTGTTTTATAAATGACGGAGCTGGACACTCCGAGGTAGCAATAAACTTAAGCCCGATCAGCAAATCTACTAGTGAAATTGATTTGGTATTCTTACCCTTGTGCCCATGACGATCCCATCGGCACCTGGTCGAAGTATTCAGTACACCATAGCCAGTCACAATTTGAAAAATAGAATAGTCCACTTACCAAGCCCCAAAGCAGCAACACATCCTCTCCCGTCTACAATCCCACCAGCAGCCACGATCGCCGTGTCCTGTTTATTCGAATCCCCCGCCACCGAGTCTCGCACCTCGGGTAGAAGTGACATGAGACTAGCTCCTTGAGCCCATTGATGACCTCCAGCATCGGTACCCTGCACCACAACAACATCTGCACCCTGTTCAACAGCATGTCGGGCTGCTTGCACGGTCCCAACCTGCACAAATATTTTGACGACCCAATCACCTTTCGCCTGGACTTTGTGAATGGCCTCTATAAGAGGCAGGTGGTCTGCATCTGACTCGGGGAAAGAAAGCCATACCGCGGCAACCCGATGCTTCTCGAGAATGGGGATCGCGTTCACTTCGAACCCTGCTGGGTTGAACGTGATGAAACCCACGCCAATAGGCAGATCCCTCGCCGACGAACTGATCCCGAGTTCAGAGCGAGATTTTGCCAGTTGAGTGTCTAGTCTGGCAAGCTGGGCCGATTCTGGTCCAAAATCAAAGCCTCCACCAATGAAACCTGTAGTACATGAGTCAGTGGGGGCGATTGAGATTTAAAAACTAGCAGGATAGCATGGGCCCGTGTGCGGCCATGGCAGAAATGATTAACGTACCCAACCCCCCGGATCTTGTCACTGTAGCTGCCAAGTGGGAATCTGTGAACCCGAGCATCGGCGCATTGGCAACGAATGGAGTTGTCGTATGGGGAAACCACCGCTTGAGGAGCCCTTCTTGGATCTCAGAAGACGCCATATCTGCGAATTCAATGCCTTTCTCCAACAAAGAGCTTTTCGAATGTTTTGGTCAAGTCTAGACGCAAATGAGGAGAGAGGACAGCGGGTTGAAATGAGCGATGTTTAGTAATTCCATGAAAACAAGAGGATTGGTGCTTCTTTGTATTTATGGCGGGTCGTGGAGGAACGCTTGCGGCCGCTAGCGGCCTGATACCCACCATACTACTAGCCTTACGTGGGCTGAAGATATCCGGCACGAGGTGGTTTCATTGCCGTTTGGTAACGCTTGATTCATCCAATAGAAGAGAAACGTCTTGCTATCCAACCAATGCCATTGAATACCAGGATATGACAAATCCACTAAGCCCCAACAGGGTTAGGGTGGAGTATCAGACTAGCATAGTAAAACTCTCAGCTCTATGGTGTTTCCGCCCCTTCTGTCCATTTAAGTTCTACCGGCTCCCGCTACCCGCTTCCTTGGACTCCTCAACTCCTCCCAACAGAGATTCTTACCCTTTTTGGCATCCAGTTCGTAAACTTGGCCCTATGGTCTACAGAGGGCAACCCAGTCTAGCCTGCGCCTTATGTCGGACTCGGCGCCTCAAGGTATGGCGACACTACCCCACTTGGATCAGCCGCTAACTCGAGTAGTGCGACCAGCGACGACCGTCTTGCTCGCAGTGCATCCGAATAAAACGGGAATGCCCCGGGTATCGAGACCCCACGACCATACGATTCCATGACCAAAGCGAGGAGGTGATCCGGAAGGCCCAGAAACAGCGACCCCCACAGAAGCCGTCAAAGCCCTCAAACTACTCGGATTTTTGTTCTATAGAGGAGTCGATCTCGTTGATACCCGCGCCTATTTCGGTTCCGACTGATGATTGTGCCACGTCGTTTATGCTCAAGTACTATGTTGGCACCACACTAATGGGGGGTATGTTTCCGTATATCCGGCATCTTTTAGGCACGGACCCTAGCCCCGCACTACAGGCTGCAATCAAGGCCATAGGGCTGGCAAGCATGTCAAACACACGCATGTCGGCGGAGTTGATGCGCGCTGCACGACAAGAGTATAGCACGGCTTTACTAGCCACTAACCGCGCGCTACAAGATCGGATCCAATTTAAATCAGACTCCACTTTGGCCGCGGTGATGCTACTTAGCATGTACGAGGTGAGACAATCTTGTTTCTAGCCATGTCTAACTCCGTCTGATGGATCTAGTAGACAATTACCTGTCGCAGCCCGGACCTAATGGGTCGATGGATGAGTCATGTACAAGGGGCGACGAAGCTCATTGAGATGCGAGGTGCTCAGCAACTGCAGACTCCAACTGGCCTACAGTTGTTCTCCCAGATCCGCATACAGATCGTAAGAGATATTTATTGAACTTGTTCCACCGACACTAACTATCTAGACCTTGGGTCACATATTTTATAAACAATACGCACCGCCTGTCGTTGTCCAATTGTCAAAGGAGGCGGCTGCCCACCGCGACAGCGGACTCGAAAAAATTGAAGATTTCTTCGACATCCTAGTGCAAGTCAGCAACCTCTCCGCAGAAATCCGTGCGAACGCCAGCAGGGGTTCGTCGTTCGGCAACCCCGCACCCTTCATTCAAAAGGCCCTCCAGCTAGATATAGCCCTAGTATCATGGGCCACGTCCATCAATCCTGCCTGTCCATACACCACTGTCAGTGCCCTCTATACCAAAAAGCACGACTATGATTACCGCTCGGTGTACGGCGAAAGCTACCATGTATATCCAAACGTCGAGATCGCATCTCTGTGGAACAACTACCGCCTCACGCGCATCATCATCCACGAGATTATAGGCAGCATCTACGTCAGACTACTGAAACCGGGTGGTCCGCCAGAGGACCGCCTGATGGCGTTGCGGAGTATAGCGATCAGTAGGCAGATGGCGGAGGATATATGCTCCAGCGTGCCTTATCACTTCAACTCCGGGGATGTGGCCATAGGGAGCGCGTTCCGGCTTATCTGGCCATTGTATGTTGCGTCAGATTGTGTGGGGTCAGCGCCCACGATGAAGCAGTGGATTGTGCGGACTCTAGAGAAGATTGGACAAGCAACGGGCGTCCAGCAGGCCCTCACTATGTCGCAGCTTGTGAAAAGAGAGACAGAGTTGCAATGGTTGTCTAGAGAGTTGGATAAAATGGAGGGGAATATAGAATCCGTCTAGCCATAGATATATTAAAGACTTGATGTTTCATGGCGTCTACTTGTAAATAATATCTACGGCTCATACATACGTCGTTACTGTGGCAGCTCCAGCCACAGTGGCGCAGGCTCCGGCCCGAAAACGTCAGTGTAGCAACACTTCTCATTGTCTAACTCCCACCGCACACCATGTCCGCTGAGAGTCCGGGGCAGAAGCAGGGCGTCAAAGCCTTCTTCGCCAATGCCCTGCGTCCGAAGAAATCCCGCCAGACCCTGCGCAAGAATGCCTCCACCACCGACCTGCGGCTGGCCGCTCGTCCTAGCGCCAATGAACCACCTCCGCCAATGCCGGCGCTCGCGCCCTTGGCGGCGCACCAGCTTAAGTACAAGCAGGCGCATGCGCAGCTAGATACGCAACTCGGCGAGCGCCGTGATTATACAACAATGATCCATACGCTGGGTGTGCTGGAGTCCATGGACGCCTACGTCCCCATGGTCGACGACGACAACCGCCCCCCCGGGGAAGGCGATATTGCCAGTCTGACATCTGAATTGTGGAAGAACATAGCTCAATACCTGACTCCTGCAGAAGCTGCCAGTCTCGCATTCGCCAGTATCACGCTCTACCGCCGTCTGGGACCCCAGTTCTTCACGGCCCTGCGTGACCCACGCAACTACAACTACAGGATCGAGTTCCTGGCCGGACTCGACCGCTCGCTCCCACACTATCTCCTATGTTTCCCATGCGCCAAATTCCACCGACGTACACAAGAAGGAAGGGAGCGTCTCAAGCCCGCTCACGTGGTGAACCCGCTCTTCGAGTGTCCCAATGCCCTGAACGCGCTCAATCCGCCCCCACGCACGCGCATCACACACGGACGCATGATGCCCTTCTCGTTCGTCCAGCTAGTGATGCGCGCGCACCGCTTTGGGCCCAGCTACGGCCTCGCCCCGGATTCGCTTGGCCGCCGCTGGACGCGCGATGACTGGTCATTCCACTCGCGCTTCCATGTCCACGAGGGCCGGCTTCTGATGCGTGTGAAGTGCCAGACCTTTGCTCCACCTGGCCTGACACCGTCGCAACAGCGACTTCTGTTGTATTCCCGCGAGGACTACTGGCCATATTTCTCACCATGCCCGCACTGGCGCGACGGCGAGCTAATGCCCGCTTGCAAGTGTGCATTAGACCATATCCCCAAACCGCGCCAGTCAGGCGGACTGCAGGGTATCGAGCACAAAGTCAAAGACCGCTGGGCGGGGCGGGTGCACGACCCGAACTCGCTGGTCACCCTCTGTAACTTCTGCCGGCCTATGCGGCGGTGTCCCGAGTGTCCGACGGAGTATCTGATCGAGATCAAGCTCGCAGAGGACCACAGCGATCCACACGGCGTGCAGTTCAAGCAGGCAATCGTCGTCACGAGGTGGAGCGATCTGGGCGATGGTACCACACCTGCGGGCAAGGAGTGGGGTGCTATCTCCGGAACGCGAGACGATTATGACTCCTTCAAGCATTATGAGAAGCGCGGCATCGCGAGTATCTTTGAGGCGGCATTCACTGCTGATACGCTGCCCGGCCAGCGTGTCATCTCTATGAATCCTAAGAAGAAGAAGCTGGGTGAAAGTGGTGATGACTGGTACTAAAATTCTTTTTTTTATATACTTTATTTTCACCTGTGTTACTTGGATTCTTTCAGCTGCGGCGCTTTTCCAAGGCAGAGCTTTTTATTGGGATGTGGCGTTCCAGGAGCATGGGATTGTGGAAGATCAAAAAAGGAGTTTATCTTTGAATGGCTAATGAAACTCTCTCAATTTTTGAATATGTTGTGATCCAATGAGATAGAGAAAGCTTTACATGAACTCTTTGTTGGTCAGCTATTGAGGCCTCAAGAGACAGAGGAGCACTACCTAAGCTGCCTAGTCTACGATCCAAGGCTACTATGAACCTCATTTCGACGCCTGCTGAGAAAAGGTGATTGACAGGCAGCATGAGTACGAGAGGAGGAAGGAATGGTGGGTTTCAAGCTGTACCTTGGACGACTTATTGCATTTCTTTTGACAACAGGGAGTTGAGAGACTTGAATTCAAGAAACTATTAACGAACCGAGAAAGCCATTTTACATTAATTGCCGGTAAGAGTCGCCACAAGGTGAGCAGGGTCCTCAGGCAGCTTGGCAGCTCGCCAAGCTATATGCAGATCGGGTCGGACCAGGAGCAAGTCGTTGCCGTAGACGGCAATGGCTTCTGTGGTGTCCGGCCGAACGACTCGCAACGAGGCACCGATACGCCGGAACTCCTTTTCCAACAAGTCTAGGTGCGGGGGTTCGTTTTGGTTCACAATGAGCACGTACTCATCACCAATGACATCTTGGATAGATCTGCCATCGCTCATCCAGGTGTTCGGTAGGCGATAGCCGACCTGGACAATTGGTCGGTATATGAATCCCGATTCAACGTCGGTCATGTTGCTTTCTTCGCCATCCTCCATGAGGATCGGCGAGTTGGTATATTGATACCCGAGCTCGATACCATACAGATCATTGCTCCAGCGCTGCTCCCGCTCAGCCACCGTGATGACTTGGCTCCTTACAGCCTCGCCCGCAGGGCTGTCTTCGGCGATCTCCGGGCGCCATTGCTGGCGCCATGCGCGCCGACCTTTGGCCGCTCGCCTTGAGGCCGCAATGTTACGGGCACCGATGGGCCGCCGCTCCGCCGCGTAGGAGTCCAGCAGTGCAGGCCCACCCCAACCACGCAGGACTGCCGCCAGCTTCCAAGACAGATCAACGGCATCGCCGTGTCCGGTGTTCATACCGAGCCCACCTGTCGGGATAACGAGGTGAGCTGAATCGCCAGCAAGGAATACGCGGCGGTCACGGTATTGATCGGCCAGCATGAGACGTTGCTGCCACCCGCCAACGTACAGCTGCTCGTACTTGATCGGGAAGCCGACAATCCGCTCAAACAGCGGTGCCATCTTCTCGTCACTGTCTACAGTGGCATGCAGCGAGAAGTGTTTCTTGTCATCCTGCACGATCAGGAACGAGTTCGTGTCGTCAGCGATATGATAGTGTCGACCGACTCCCATCGGGATACGCTCAAGAAGGTCCTCGGAGTAGAACAGTGCTTGCCGCATCTTGAGCAGCGATTCGCCTTCAAGCACAAAGCCGAGTCGTTCACGAACAGTGCTCGAGGCACCGTCGCAGCCAACGAGATAGTCTGTGCGAGCTTCGGTGACAGTGCCGTCGGGAAGGCGCAGTCGAGCGGTGACGCCCGTGTCGTCCTGAGTGAAGTCAACGAGCTCGTGGCCAAAGATGATCTGGACGCTGTCGTAGCGTTTGGCAAGGTCGCGCAGGAGAGGCTCGAGCGTGTACTGCGAGATGAGCTGATATGGCTCCGCTGCTGTCGAGCCATCGGTGGTCGCATGGTACTCAGCGCATAGGGCGCTCACCGATGCGTAGGTATGGTGTACGAGTGGTGGGTTGGCGAGGTTCTCCAGGCAGATGAAGACGTCCATGGGCATGTCATTGTCGAGGCCGGCAGCGCGAATCGGGGCGGATATGCCCATGCGGCGGAAGTTCTCCATTGTCCGCGCGTTGCAGCGCTCCATCTTGGGTAGCTTGCCGAATCCTGATCGCTTGTCGACGAGCAGCACGCTTATGTTCCGTCTGCCGAGCTCGATCGCCATCGTGAGGCCAACCGGCCCGGCACCGATAATCAAGACCTGGCTGTCCATGAATGCCAAATGTAGGGAGGTAGACACAGAAAACAGTCGATCGATGAATTAGGGCAGTTCTTCTAATTAGATATAATTCAATCAGACCAAACCCTGCGCGCAGAGTCCCCAGTCGCCCAGATCAAGGACCTCACTAGAACTCTTCTAGCTACTCTTATGCACAGTTCGGGATGTACAATAGTAGCCGAGGAAATTCTCCTTCGGCATCACTTGCCGGAGCTAGGTGTGTAGCGGATCAAAAATTGAATAACTCTTCTTCCTGGGCAACCGCAGAGTACGGGGCGTTAACTTAACTCCCCGCACACTAGTCATATGTTCCCCGGATTCCCCAGCTTCCCCAGTCTTCCCCATTAAGTTAGAACAGTTCCAGTATCTCCGGTCTTTGGCATATTTATCCTCTTCCTCAGCCGTAGTTCATTTATGTCACTGCGACGATCTTTCAATACTATTCCTCCTCGCTCCGCAAAATGTCAGAACGAACTACGCATTCCGACTCTCCCGCGGTGGATAAGTCTGGCCAGGGCTTTGAAGAGGTGGCACATGTCGAAAAAGGTGGTCTTGGAGAGCATCTCCAGTTAGACAAGCACGGCCTTCCCCTTAATCCCCAGCCATCAAAGTACAAAGATGATCCTCTTGTGAGTGCGCTATCTTTATACCTTACCGTGTACAGATAGATATTGACCAGGCTCGTAGAACTGGAGTGCCGGATTTAAATTTATGGTTCTCCTACAAGTCAGTTGGCTAGCTTTTCTAGGACCTCTGGGCTCCGGCGTAGCCAACCCAGCTTTTGTGCCCATGAGCGAGACTTTCCACCAAAGCATTCCAGTGACGTCCTACGAGCTGACTGTTTACGTCTTGTTTTCTGGTGTTGGCCCCCTATTCATCGCGCCGCTCTCCAACGTCTACGGCCGCCGTCCGATTTACCTCGCGGGAAATGCTCTTGCTGGTCTAACGAATGTCATTGCGGGCAACACAGACAAATGGAATACCATTCTGATCACACGCGTCTTCAACGGCCTTGGTGCAGGAAGCACTGTCGCCATCGGCGCGGCGACTATCTGTGATATGTACTTCATGCATGAGCGTGGCGTCTATATGGGCATATACGCTTTCTTCCTAACAAACGGACCGCACTTGGCCTCGTTGATAGGCGGATTCATTGCGCAGAGTCTCAGCTGGGAGTGGTGCTTTTCGGTACCAGTAAGTGATATTGAATTTACACCGGAGTAATGAAAACCTAATAAAATTCCTAACTGCCTTTCAGGGCTACATCCAGCTTGGAACTTTCGCTATTACGTTGTTCCTTCTCCCCGAAACTCTGTATCACAGGCATCAAAATTCCGAGGCGGACGAGTACAAGGAGAGGTCAACTCTAGATCTCTTTCTCTTCCGACTGCAAAAGGCTGGGCCCAGACTCACGGCCAGCGACTTTATTAAACCGCTATACATGCTGCGGTATATCTCTGTCTTGCTTCCCGGTCTATATTATATGACTGCCTTCGGCTACGGCACTATTATTTTTTCGCTCACTGGCGCCTCGCTTTTTAGCGAGTTTTATGACTTCAATGTGGCCCAGACGGGACTAATCCTCAGCATCCCGCTTATAATTGGCTGCTTGATTGGTGAGTTAAATGCCGGGTGGTTGACGGACTGGATGGTGCGTCGATACGCTTTGCGCAACGACGGGCATGTTAAGCCTGAGGCACGCCTCAATGCCATGTGGGGAGGCCTTCTAATTCCGGTTGGCCTTATTCTTGAGGGTGTCTTCTTATCTCACTTCAAGACTGTGAGCTGGGTTGGGCCTGCCTTTGCCATGGGTATTGCCTCTCTTGGACTGCAAATTGCCACCACTGTTGTGTACACTTATACAACGGATGTGAGTGGCCTTGTGATGAGTTAACAATGTCTTCATGAGCTTCTGACTGATTTTTTTTGTCAAGTGTTATAAACCCCAGAGTACAGAGATTGCCTCGCTTCTTAACGTCTTCCGCCAGGTATTTGGGGCTTTGGTCAGCTTTTACGCGTAAGCTTTTATATCTTTTCCATCCTATGTGCCCGTTCTTGGGTCCTATTGTGGGCTAACACATTTCCGTTACAGCCTTCCTCTCGGTGCAAAAATCCAGTTCGAGTATGCGTGGTTGGTGTTGGCCTGTATCAATATCTTTTTCTTCATCCCTATGATATTTGTTCGCTTGTATGGAGAGAAATGGCGCAAAGCACGCTGGCAAAGCCCACCTGCGTTCCATAATGATATTTAGATTATATCGGAGATGAGAATCCTGCTATACCTCAATAATTGTACAAGCCAATGATCCCTAATTGAAGGTTATGCTTCCTAAGATAATCCACTATTAGCGAACGCTACTATTAAACCCCCATATGATGTTTTATACCTTTCACTTGGCCACCTGGCGAGCACGTGCCGTCATCGCCCGAAGTACGGCAAAAATGATTGGTTTCAACGATTCGAGCTCTTTGCCGCTCTCGGCTGCCGGAACCCGAACGCACCCTCTACATATGTGTGGGGAAACACTATACCCCACACCACGTGGACCTCCCTTGCTGTGGACTTACTTCCCTGTACATTCATGCACACCATCCTATTCCACTTTGACGGGTAACCAACACAATCGAGATGGACAACCTCTCTCCTGCGCAACCTGACCAGCTCAATAATGCTGTTTATCAGGGTCACTCTGCCACCGGACCGAAAAAGCGCCGCCGAGCTCCCATTGCATGCCGCGACTGTCGTTCACGGAAAACAAAATGCGACCACATTGACTCTTCAACTGCTCCAGATGAGATGCTTCGAGGAATTAAGAAGCCCGCTCAGATGTAAGTAGTCCGTAGGTTTCCTATATATATGTGTGCGTGGATATGTGTGTTGAACACCCTTGTTCATGTTCAATTGTTAGATACATTCGCTCTCTGGAGCGACGACTCCGCAACTTCGAGGATAAGCAGCGCGAATGTCCGAGAACTACGGAGTATCCCAGCTTTCCAATGTTGATGCCGGGTACTACGTCCAACAACCGCCAAGAGCCAACCGAATATGGGCAGCTGGGAGTTTTAACGGATGGTCAGCAACGCCAGACTATCATCTCGGCAAGCCCTGAGATATTCATGGGCGGTAAGACCGGCGAATCCTTTACACAGCTTATTTTAAATGCTTTGAACTGGGGATCAGCGAAACTAGAAACTCGCACCTTTTCGTCACCGCGAGAGAGTATTAAAGAACTTAAAGAATCGGATCTTTTCGCCATACCCTCAACCGCTCGGGGGTTGATCAAAGTCTTCTTTGATTTCCACCACGCCTTGACTCCCATTTTCCATGCCCCCTCCATCCTAGCGGAATTTGACCAGATGTTATCTTGTGACTGCTCACATCTCCGGGACCGCATATACACCTTGGCCCTCATGAACATGATCTGTGCTATTGCTGCGGCGCACGACCTGTTGGGTCATGGTGGATCCGAATCTGTCGCTCGGAAGTATTATGACACAGCAATGCGCCTAGTACTGCCGACCATTCTTTCCGATTGGAGCATCGAAAAAGTCCAGATCCTGTTGCTGGGGGCGCGATATCTTCAGACTGCCAGTTCTCCAGATGAGTGTTGGAATGTGTTGGGTCTCGCCGTGCGGATTGCCTACGGCTTGGAACTTCACCGACCACCCTCCGAAGGCCTCGACTGTCTCTCTAAAGAGGTCCACAAGCGCGTATGGTATACATGCTATGTACTCGACCAACTGCTCAGCATGATCTATGGACGTCCCACAGCGACATCGACGGCGACGTCCACTACTCCGCTCCCGGAAGATTTGGATGATGACTTAATACAACCAAACAGATTATTACACCCTTCAGTAAAGACCCCATCGTCTATGTCCTTTTTCATCCAAGTCTCGAAGCTGTATCGCCTACTTGAGTCGGCGTCTTCACTCAGCGACCCGACTCTTGAACACCTAGCCAAACTAGACGAAGAGTTTGAATCGTGGTGCTCGGGGGTACCTGCTAGCCTCAAGGTCCAAGATGGCATGAGGGCAAAAGATGATAAACCTATTATTCTCGCTCTGCGGGCGAACATGGTGCGAATCCTGATTCATCGTCAGTCACTAGTACCAGCTCTCAGTGCCTTGTCCACGATCGAAGATCCCCCAGGCCTTTCAGGGTGTCTGCGAGTCGGTATGCTACAGAAGAGCCGGCAAATATGCGTGAGTACGGCGGAGGAAACAATACAATTGGTTGGCCTTAGACATGACCAGACCATGAATGCAATGGGCCCCAGCTGGTTCAACCTGTATTATCGTGCGTTACGCGGATTCTTTTGCCAGCTTAGTGAGAGTGTAGGGGTTGCTGATCATTCGCTAGTGTTCAACGCAATTCTGATCATTGTCTCCCATGTTGTTGATCCGGAGTACCAGGAGGATCAGAGCGCCTTAACTTATCTGGAACAGGCGATGCATATGATCCGGCAGATGTCCGCCAACCATTTCTGTGCCCAGAGTGCCTATACGTTCCTGCAACAACTTCTAGGACTTCTCGACAAAACGTTGCCACATGATCGACAGCGAATCCGTACACGAACTGAGCGAAACAGCATACCCCCCTCAACGAGAGAGTCTGTAATGGCCGATAGTAATCCTCCAGAGGAGCTAAATACTGATTTGTGGTCCTTCTGGGGAGCTACTCAGGACTTGACGATGGACTTGGGCTCACAGTTGGACCTACATTCAGACCTGGGACCAGCAATGTGGTCTTGGGACGTACCGCATTCGGGTTCACTGGGCGTCGGGGAATGAAAAAGAAAATATCATCAGAAGGTGTTTTCTGCAAATGGAGCATCGTACTCTGAACAGTGTCAAAGGAGAATTAGTGCGGAATAACTACAGAGACACGGTAATGAAACCATCTCCGAAGACCTATTCTAGGCCGCAGAAGGAGATTCTAATGGCTCAATATCTTCTGTAAGAGAGAATCAAGGCCAGTAAGAAAATCCCTCAAGTCCACTATATGGGGTGCGTATAATATGTGGCCATCATGTGAGAAAAACTTTTTAGGAAAGAAAAACAAGCAGAGTGAATACAATTGTTGATCAGCGCCTATACCACATCCTCGTTACTTGCGTCCTCCGCATCTTCTTTTGGAGAAGAAAAATACCCTGCAGAAGAGCCTCTGCAGTTGGTGGACACCCAGGCACATAAATATCGACAGGCACAATACGGTCCACACCGCGTACAACATTGTAGCTGTAGTGGTAATATCCTCCGCCATTGGCACAACTGCCCATGCCAATCACCCACCGAGGTTCGGGCATCTGATCATAGAGTAGCCTCAATGCTGGTGCCATCTTGTTGACTACTGTACCGGCCACAATCATGACATCTGCCTGGCGTGGCGAGGCACGGAAAATAATGCCCAGTCGGTCTTGATCGTAACGCGGCATTGATGTATGCATCATTTCAATTCCACAACAGGCGAGACCGAATGATAAAGGCCAAACGGATCCTTGTCTTCCCCAGTTAACCAACTCGTCCGCCTTTGTTCTGAGTAGCACAAGAAAGTCAGAACTGAATAAATCGGATTGCAAGTTATCCCGCAATTCAATATCAAACATACAGAAGATACCCAGCGGCTCCAGTTTTCTGATTTTCAAATGGCACGGGCGTAGATGTAGAGCTGCTATATTTTGAAGACGTGCGCATGTATCGCGTCACTGCGACCTTTGTGGGGGAAGAGATACACTGTGACCATTGCTTTGGATATGAGCCACGGAGCATGTTTCGAGAGGGTGTATTAAGAAGCATGTTGACCAGCAACATGAAAATCTTGCCGGCACGAGTAGTCAGTGTAAAGAGTAGAATCAGCTAACTTCTCACCCTTAGGAGAAATTTCATAGTTATTTCCAAACAGCTGGCTTTAAACATCCAATGAGAGGGAGATATCCATATTCCATCCAATCAGCTGTACCCGAATTCGGCGACTTGGTGGGTACGAATTTCACCAACTTCGCCGAAATTAGGACGCCGAACTTACAACAATCAAACAACTGCCTTTCACAAGCACTAAATGCCGCGCGGCAGTCCGGCAGTCAAAGTCGCCTGCTGTCTGTGTCATGACCGGCGGGTCAAATGCGACCGCAGTGAAGGTGTCGCTTGTTCCAATTGCCGGAACGCCCGGCGCGAGTGTGAGCCAATTATTTCTCGCCGTGGACGGTAGGACTCAAAAGACGAAGCCATTATATTAGTACTAATTCAAATCCAGGAGACGTAAGCTTCCGATCTTACGCACTGGAGCAGGCCCGAGCAGGAATCTTTCAGAGACTCCTCACAATGTGCCGTATGAAGGAGTGACGACTTCAAACCAACCCCTGGCCACTCACCATACTCAAGGGGATAGAGATAAGCGACACCAAGAGCCCTACTTCCCAGCTCTTGGGCCCAGTGGCAAAACGCTGTATGTTGGAGATTCTTCTAATCTCAACTACTTGATCCAACAGTTTGGAAATCCCTTCGGGGGTACGACAGATGTTCGTCCTCTTCAGGACCACCTCCAAGGGGCAATGCTGGCTCGGTTGGGTAGGCCGACAACGCAAGAAATTGAAAGGATTCACGTATCTACTATTGAACACCTTCAAAGGCAAGGGGCATTTGACCTGCCATCACAAGAGACAAGCCAGGCCCTTCTCAACGCTTACTTCCATTACTCACTTGCTGCACTGCCTATTCTTGATAGATCGAGATTCCTTCTCACTCTCGAAGAGGGCACATTTTCACACTTACTCTTAAATGCTATTTATCTCGCTGCCACTATCTATTGTTCAGATTCCGTCATTGCTGATGCCGGATTTGGATCCCGGTACGCCGCAAGCCTCACCTTTTACCGGAGAGCCAAATTTCTTTATGACGCTGGATATGAAACCGATGCTATCGCAACAATTCAAGCTACATTTCTTATCTGCCATTGGTGGAGTGGCCTTCTAGAGTACAAAGACCCTTGGTACTGGCTTGGGATCTCAGCAGGAATGGCACTCGCATTAGGAATGCATCATGCGTGGGTCTACTCATCCCTCTAAGGTGGACTGAGGGTACTAAGAAATATTCTAGGAAGTCATACATTCGCCTCGAAGAGAAAGATCGAAAATTATGGCGAAGATTGTGGTGGATGGTATATGTCAGTTAAAAAAAGAATCAGATCTATGACTGGCCTAACTTTCTAGGCTAGGCCATGGACGTCAACCTGTCTATGCTCCTCGATCGTCCGCCACACGTACAAGGAAGACTTTGCAATGTTCCCCCTCTATCAGAATCGGATTTTGAACAAGACAATGGGTCCATAGAGGCAGAGACTTTCGGCGAGACTCTGAATGAGGCCAACGTCTTCGCGATAAATGCTGTGCAACTAGCTCGGACAGGTATAACATCTATTATTCTGGTTCCAGATTTGATCCCATGCTAACGCCTATTACAGTGGATCGCTTCTTCACTATTAAATTTGACGAAGATAGTGGTCACTCACAAGATATCTGTTTAGAGCAAATTTCGTTGTGGTCGTTATCACTTCCCCCGGAATTCAAGTCTTTGTCAACGAATAGTAGCAGATGGGCTATATTGACTCAGATCTTATGCCAGTAGGTTAACTTCGTTTTAATAGCTCTCTTAGGATCTGCATTCTAAATATATAGGGAATACCGGCTAGTTTTGCATCGGAGCAACCCTAGGTTTTCTCTCAACACAGGGCCAGGCACTCCGACATTCGAAATATGTACGGAGATCTCCCACATGCTGGAAATACTCATGGCGAATGACCTCGTATATGCTGCTGCAGCTAGCATGTATGTTCCTACAATACTAAGGTCCCTCAATTGTCCCGGGCTATGTGCTAAAGCCTTTTTCAGAATTGCCCCCGTCCTGTCCGTGCTCCGATCCATATAGTCAACATCCACAGAGGGGACAGCGGTGTCCGAATGATTTCCGAGCATCGCGCCCGCTTCTGTATGGTGATACTTGAAAAGTTGCAAGATCGGTTACCGGTAGTTGCGGCCTTCTATCCAATTTATGAGGCCTTGCTTAAGCGACACTTTGCGGGTGTTCAGACACAAGATGGCGCAAAGGTGCCAGAACGTCAGGCAAGAGGTACCTCGATGAAGAATGGACCTCGTCAACTTGACAATGGAAGCGATCGTGATAGTATGGGTTCAACTGAAGGCTTGTTTGACCAGGTACTTCAAGACAGCATGAGTACGGCGTTTCCTTTTTCGTTTCCATTCGGCAATCTGTTCGAAGATGTCTTTCTGAGCTCGCCTTCTCAGCCTACATCGTACTGTGAAGTTGATATATCTTCTCCTTAGTGATATTATATTGGGCTTGGAAAATCAAACCCATCCTACTGGATTCACTAAATCAGATCTAATACGAGTCACTTGCTCATGTAATTTTGTAGAGATTGCCTTCTCACTGTCCTCACAAGTGTACCGAGGTCTCTATTAAGCAAGGTTTGTGGGCCAAAACACATACTGTAGATCATGATGCGTGTTTTCTCGATGTCTGCATGGCAGGCGAACATACCTTGGTCCAAGGAGACTCTAGGATATATGGAACAGGAGACGTTGATCACAATTTTTAAATGCCTGCTGTATAGTAAGGTTTTCGCTAGGATATCGTGGATTTGGCGAAATGTTTAGGATAGTTGCTGTATTAACTCTCAGATTCAGCGAACCAGACATAACTTCTCCGAGTGATTTTAAAATTATGAAATAACTAATAGTAACAGATATTCACATTGCACCGTGAGTGATCCGGCAAAGTGTCTAATCTCCCCGGGGTCTAGGAGAAAGTTCCCAGACTAACGCGGAGAACGTTTATCCCCCCGAAAGCGGGGGTGAGCCCACTTTCTGCTGTATTTTGCCCTTACGACAGCTCATTCTAGTAGTCTTAATTCACGGAGATCCTTTGCAATTCTAGTGCGGAAAGCACATAAATCTGTCTGATTTTCTGTCTCCCATCCATATCTCCTTCCCCTTCCATAAGACTTGCCTGTTCGCGCAACATAGATTCTTGCATTTGACTCAAGAATACATAATCGTTATGCTTGGCAAAATTGCGCTCGAAGAATGCTGGACAATTCCGGAGGAATTGGCCAACAATGATCCCGGCAAGTTCGTTGCGCCGGGGACGGGCTCCCGCCTTACCAACGAACTGCTTGATATTCATGACATGCGTCTGAAGCAGATGGAAGAAAACGGTGTGGACTTTATGGTCCTTTCGTTCAATGCTCCTGGGTGTCAGGGAATTGCCAACAAGGCTATGGCCGAAGCCCAAGCTACCCTGGCCAATGACCGACTGGAAGTTGAGGTGATGAAGGATCCAACCCGTTTTGCCGCCTTCGCGGCCTTGAGCATGCACGACCCTGCTCAGGCAGCAGCAGAGCTTCGGCGCTGCATGATAGAAAAGAAAGGATTCGTCGGTGTGCTGCTTAACGACTACCAGAGCGCCGGTGAAGACGGTAATGAGATGCTCTACTATGATCAACCAGAGTATGATGTTTTCTGGAAAGAGGCAAATGATCTGAACGCCGTCGTCTACATGCACCCCCGGCCGTCTAACAAGCTTATTCACAAGCTCATGTGGGATGGTCGTCCGTGGCTGGATTTCTCGGCTTTGGGCTATGCTGATCGCCTGAATATGCACATTTTGGGCATTGTTACGAATGGGGTGCTAGATCGTTTCCCCAATCTCAAGGTAATCTTCGGCCACATGGGCGAACATATGTGAGTTTACTATAGCCGACCTTGAAAGCGGGATCTTTATTTTACTGATTGACTCGAATTAAGTCCCTACGACCTCTATCGAATTGATCATAAACTGGATCGTGGCCGCTTTCCCAACATGCCAATGCGAAAGGACAAGCTCGTGAGCGACTATTTTGGCGACCAGCTCTTTATAACTACCTCCGGCCACTTCTCAACTCCAGCTCTGATGTGTGCCATAGGCCAGGTTGGCGCACAATCGATCATGTTTTCCATTGACTATCCGTTCGAGAGCATTCCGAACGCCTGCGGTTCGTTACCATGAGCTCGCTCCTTGTAGCACAAGCCTTTGAGCCTTTCTAACGAATTGCCCAGCATGGTGGGATGAGCATGTTTCCATGAGTGTTAATCAGAATGACTACACCGGCATGGGCCGAAACAATGTTCTCAAGCTTATTCCGAGGCTTACGCAAGAGCCACACAACGTGAAGCCGATGACGCCACAGGAGTGCAATGTAGGAGGAATTCCAGCGGGTAGTGTGTGCTATGGCTTGTACAATAAGTCGTGGAACAAACGGGAAGTCAAGGTCATCCCGTCGTAGCTTAGTGCCGGGCTTTTGATACAATGCATGACGGATAGGACCGTATACTCGCACTACTTTTTCCGCTATGAAAATGGTTTGCAATGGTCATTTATCCCTTCACATCATCGCGGTGTTCGAGCGTGCTGTCATCTGTCGGAGGTTCGGCCTCTCTCAGATGGCTCGTGTTGAAATTTGCAATCTTTCGGCAACCGCTGGATGGACACATCGCTCAAATACCCTCCTAAGAAAAAACAGCCGTATGTTGCTGGCCACGTACGATCTGTCTAAATCAGCTAAGACCTCCGTCGCAGTTACCGCAATTTCTTGCTTACCGAGATTCTCCGCACGTAAAATGACCTCATTAATCCGTCTCGACATCAACGAGGTCAATCATTCACCGGAATGAATACTGTCAAATTTCCACATAGAATGTCTTCCGTACCCGAGGTAAACCGGCATAGCGATATTCCACCCCTTGCTATGGTCTTTCAACGCCCCACCAATCAAGGCCCTGGGGATATGACACGAGAGATGAGCTTCTCTGAACCTGCATTTCCCCGCAAAGTTTCCCGTCAGTTTGCGAGGTTCGTTCATAAGCGAGCTTGCTAGCCAGCAAAAATGATATGGTGCGCGGCATAACGCTTTTCCTGAGTGAATAACATGGCTACCCCGCCTTAAACGAACAAATAGTACGGCGACATGAAGTTGGGGGCCTATACATGCTTTGCTCTCAAGGGATGTCACTACTGTTGCCACGCAAAAGCGTTTTGCCGCTCTTCATACTGTGAAGGAAAATTGAGTCAGGGTATAAAAGCAAGAACTTCATCGAAGGAGATGAAAAAATATTACGGGTAGTTAGTCTTCGCCACAGCTTCCAACTGACTTTCAAAATGAAAACATTCCCTTTTCTTATAGTCATAGCACTTCTCACTCTGAATGTGATTGCTGCCCCAACACCAAGTCCCGGAAGTACCATCGGCACTGGCCTCCTGGTTGAAACATCCTCCGGGCCCATTCAAGGTTTTTTCAATCTCACAGCCCCTGATGTTCGACAATTCTTGGGCATTCCATTCGCAGAGCCGCCTGTGGGAGATCTTCGTTTTGAAAGGCCCCAGAGAAAACAGTCCAATGGAATAGTAGATGCCTACACGCTTCCCAACTCATGCATGCAGCAGTTCGACACTAGCAGCTCTACCATCTACACTACGTATGAGAAAGGGTTCCTCATCAGTGGCAGCCACTCCGAGGACTGTCTCTATCTCTCGATCTGGGCACCACGGTTTGAGAATGTTCAGTCACAGCAGCGCGCATTGCCCGTTCTCCTTTATATTCCAGGAGGTGGCTTTACCAGCGGTGGACAAGCTTCGCTATATAAGATCCCCGATCAATGGGTGCAGCGAACACAGTCTCACATTGTGGTTATTATGAAGTAAGTTAAACTGCCTCTAGGTGCAATTTCTGTCTGACACATAATGCCTAGTTATCGAGTGAATGTCTTTGGCTTCCCTAATGCAAAGGGATTGACGGATCAGAACCTCGGGCTCCTGGATCAAAGACTCGCGTAAGTCATCTACTCATAGTCAGCAACGCTATAAATATTGATGACTTTTAGTGTTGAGTGGGTCCACGATAACATAGCCAACTTCGGCGGCGACCCAGATAGGATTACTCTATGGGGACAGTCCGCTGGGGCTGCGAGCGTCAGCATTTACCCGTACGGGTATCCGAAAGACCCCATCGTGGCAGGCCTCATTGCGGACTCTGGTGGCCCCAATATTGTTGGCAGTCCGGACACAGCTCAGACAAACTTCACTTTTCTGGCGGGACTGGTTGGCTGCAAGGGCCTCAATTCCGATGATGAAATCAATTGCGTACGCAAAATCCCAGCGCAGGATCTTGAGAATGCGCTGTCCTGGTATTCAGGTAACGATACAGCACCGTCCATTTCCTTTACACCCGTTGTCGACAACAAGACTACGTTTGCGAATTGGACCCAGCAGATACTAGAGGGTAAAATAGCCACGACGGTAAATCTATAGTCTCCTAAGTGGCTTTCAAAGATTCTAACCAAATACCTCAGCCGATGATCATTGGCAGCAATTCAAATGAAGGAGCCGGTTTCGTCTCATTCACGCCCAATGGACCAGGCCCAGCAGCACTAGCCAGCGCAACAAAAATTGTCAGCTGTGGCGTCTCCGAGGAAGTAAAGAACCGCAACGGAGGAGACATCCCGACCTATCGATACGAGTATGCTGGTAACTTTTCAAATGTCTCGCCTCTTCCTTGGTTCGGTGCCTACCATAGTTCCGAGCTACCTTTAGTTTTTGGAACTCACTACGAGTACGGTGGACCTTCGACTAGCTTCGAATGGGATGTGAGCTATGCGATGGAGGCATTATGGCTGAGCTTTGCTGAGAACCCTACACGAGGGCCTGCACGACTTGCAATTGGGGATGTTGCTGCGAATCCGACGAATAGTAGCTACTTTTCTTGGCCGCGGTCCCAGCAGAGCTCTTCGAATATGCTGCTTTTTGCTGATAACAACGAGGTGATGCAGCTCGTGTCTTCGGAGAGTAGTGATGTTTCCTGTTCTAGTTCGTAAGAACAGTACGGCTGCTGATGAGGCCAATGCCTGTCAAAGAGTATGTAGGTACCAGTAATTGTAAATTAGTTTTCTATATAGCAAGTATCTTTATTTTACGTATTTTTTCGAGCAACCGGAATAGATCGAGTAAGAAGGAGGAAGGACTCCGAGTAGGCGAGAAGGGTAACTATATCACATGCTCATTAGGCACATCTTCATGTCTCTACAGAGCCGTAAAAGCTAGCACAGATTTATTGGCCACAAAAGGAAATTGGGGTGCTGCAGTGCTGAAAGGACGTGTTTTTAGTAGGTGCTGATTTTGATTCTCTCTTCTTAATCGGTTTTATAGCAATGGGATGTATTCGAGACTTTGAGTTTCGATGCCAGTGCCAAGTTGATGAACGTATTTCCAGATGCGCCGATTGAAGGCGGCATGGAACCCGTATTTAAGGAAAAATGAACAATTCAATCAAGATATTACTCGAACCTCTTGTGATGATATCTGCCGCTGACACCATTGATCTCTGTCTTCATACCCTCCGTCTCCTGCCATGGCAACGGCGCGCTTGCTGGCTTGACTTGTCCTAGGATGGAAGCTCTTTTTTCTTTCCACTCCTTGATTTCTCGTGCATCAACAAAATTTCCATGCAGTCCCAGCCGAAGTTTGAATGGCAAATGAAGTACGGCAACTGGCCCCTGCGCAATATTTTGCGCATCGAAAATGCAGACGTCATTTCGCAATACGTCCAAGTGATTCAACAGCGCAATAATATAGCCGTCTCCCTCCTCAGTACTACCGGCTCGTGGGATAAATGTTGGTTCTTGAAAAGTTGCACGAGGCCCAGCCCAGAAAGTATCCATGGCAGACCCGTCCCAGGTGAAATGGCCGATGGTGTTGAAAAGTCCCCCGGCTGGAGACCCACATTGTTGTGCATCGTATGGCTTCGAGTCGTCAATATTTACTTGCCAGTAATGATTATATTTCATTGTCAGAAAACGTTCATCAATACGAGAGAATTCACCCGAGAGCGTGTCGACTTCCATCAACGGCTCAACCCATGAATTAGACGGTGCAGCGGGATCGAAGATCCAGCGGGTCGTCTTGTTGTGCAGTTTATTGCGCTGATTGACTGTTCCAGCAGGGGCATCGGCCGGAGGAAAAAAGAAGAACACATTGCCGTCCGCAACTGTCAAGTCAAATACAATCTTGCCCTCGCCTGTCTCATAGCAACTGACAGTGTGGCCCTGAAAAGCTACTCTCTAATAAGTATGACGGTGAATGCCCACTTTATTGACCTCACTTACCATTCTTAGATCGAAACCAGCGAATGTCCTCCGGCTTTCCTCCTCTTCGAGGTATGATTCCATACCACTGATCCTCGTGAGGGTCCCAGGCCCAGTGGTTCTCACCTTTTGCTAGCCGGGCTCTATCACACTTCAATGGAGTCATCGGAAGCACAACCCAGTTGCTACTAACTCCACAATCATGAATGATTCCGCAAAACGGCGCCTTGTACCAACACTCCTCTGTCTTCACCCCATCGGCACTGATCGTATACACGACGATATCGCGCGATCCGTCATTGCCGTTTCCGCCGGCCTCCACACATCACAGTCAATAAATACGCAATAAAATAGTACAGAGGGATCTAACCCACATACCTCATATCCATAGCATATCATCTCCTTAGTCTTGGGGTCAAATTTCGGGTGCGCAGTAAAGGTCGGACTCAGCACCTGCCCTTCGAAATCATATCTTCCAATCGTCCCCAGCGTCTCCGGGTCCATTGCATACGGCGGTCCATCCTCCTTCGTAGCTAGCAACATGCCTCTCCAGAAGAAGATATTTGTGTTGGCTGCAGTGCGAATCACTCCCTTGACCGCTTCGTTGTCTGTGTATGGATTTCGGTACTTTCCAAATAAGGCCTTGCCGTGCTGCGATTCGTATTTGTAACGATCCGTATGGACATATCGTTGCTTGAACTCCGCCTGGCCATTATGAATGCGAACGGCAGTCACATTGCCGTCGCCATTGAATTGAATGTCCGATTCGTAGATTGGTGGGAAACGATGATCGGGTTGGATGCGAAAGAAGGTACCGTTGATGTCTTCAGGGATTATCCCAGTCACTTCAAGATGCTCAACATCGGCCTCTAGACGAGACGGCCGGTTAAATCCCTGAAAGACTTCCGTAGATGGGAACTTGCTTTGTTTGTCGTTCCTCCTGACCCCATCTACATAATTGGGCGAGGAGGATAGCGATTCAGCTAGCTCGAAGAGATGCGCCATTGTGATCTGGAAAGTTGGGAACAAAACTAAATTTCGTTTATTTGAGGGGAAGTACAGAAATCTAGATACTATTTCTAGTCATTTTCTGGACAGTCTTCGCACATTGGAAGGATTACCTATGCATCAGATTGCCGAGAATAAGTCAATGCCGATAGGTTATTGCATAACGATTGAACACTACGCGTCGGATCCTACGCGCCGGATCCAAGATCCCGACGGACATTCCCCGCCTACAATAAACACCAAACTCTATTTTGGCTAGACTGAACACAAGACACTCGGATCTCGAACATCTTTGTTTGCCGGCGGATAGCATGTGAGATTAGGGTCTTTGGTTTATCCGAAAATCTGTATCAAGGAACCAAATGGCCATTTTGCTCGGACACCTCACGAAAACAATGAAAAGTGATATGAAACCAAGAATTGAACAGTAGCGTTTGTTCCCATTGTCGGCGAGGTCTTTGCGTTGTGCGTGGGGATGTTTGACCGATGGCCGTCAATACTCCCGTGTGACTATTCCATAAATACTCTCAAGGTCGCGTGGCCCTAGTGATACCGGACCAAGAAGGGGGAGGTATTGTGGGGGTAATATCGGCAATATAAACCCGATAGTCGCTCTGATCCTGTGAGAGGGGGCCTCGGAGACTTTGTCGAAAGAAATCAGCAAGTTATCCAGTTCGATACTGCTATAAATTAATTCCACTCTAATAGGACGCATAAACTGAAATACATATAACTGGTTTCCTATATACAATGGGTCCGTGCGGAACTGATAGTCACGTAAGACTTGGGTCTTGTGTACGTACGTACGTAGCGAGCCACAGAGAAAGACTCTCGTCTTTACCATCTTCAATCGTGTAAAATATAGCGCACTCTTGTCAGAGTAATAAATACTTGCGTACGCCAAAAAAAGATCAGGGTCGAGAGGCTGACTCGATGTGCTCTGCATGTGCTTCTTTAGCCTCTTCGTCAATGACATCTTGCTCTGCTGCCTTTTTTGCCTGTTCCATGCCCTCACAGACGTAAGTCTGAAATTTCCACGCGGGAACACCTTTATCAAACATTTCTTCGATTTCCTCCAGGGACCTCCCCCGAACTTCAGGAACGAAGAAAATGATAAAGAGCATTGTGACCACGCACGAGCCGAACCAAATAAATCCTTTTAATAGTCAGCCGCTCCTATCCTCTTAATGGGAATTTGGAAACCACCATGGACATACCATATTTGCCACCCCAATTGAGCTCTGAGGGATTTATAAAGTAAGGGGCCGTAAATGCTGTCAGCCATGCAAAAATGAACCCGATTCCGATAGAAAGGCCGGCAGTATAGGCCCTAAGACTTTGAGCGGGGATCTCTCCAGAAACCATATACACTAGACCGACAACACCAAAATTGAACCCAAATTGCCAGAGCGTTATCACAAATATCACGCCTTTTGCGCGAGCAGCCATATCTGTAATATTGGGAGCCTGAAACAGGATCCCGAGAATAAGCATGGCTAGACCGCAGATTCCTGCTCCAATGAGAAGCATGGTCCTTCTTCCAAAGATTGCAATAAATGGGTACGAAAGCACTTGAGCAAAATACCCAATGAACTGTACCATAACTCCCCATTTGAAAGGGTCCTCAACACCGACCTGAATGGGAGCGATTTTAGTCAGTATGCCTGGATCTCATAAGTTTGTCAATTTTGGTACTTACCATTTCCAAAAAGTAGGTCATGAATGCCATTATGAACATACCCGCAACAGCGGGATTTACAAGACCAACACCAACACTGATGAGGGTTCGTCGAATATGTCGTCTGCTAAATGGATCAAGGAAATTCACATTGGCACGATCACTAATTTCTCGCTCAACGTTTAGCTTCATTTCTTCGTATTCACGCAGCAGCTCATATCGATCGCAGGCATCGTTGCGTATCCATGTCAGGGACTTGAGCGCTTCTTTGGGTTTGCCGTTTAGCAGAAGCCAGCGCTTTGAACATGTCTTCTGTTAGGACCGTCCAGCAGTTTCTGGTGTAATTGGGTACAACTCACAGGTGATTCGGGAAGAAGGAATAGACCCACAGTCATCACTACTGGAAGGAGGTAGAGAGTATAAAGTGGGATTTGATAGGCCAGTCGACTCATGATATTTTGCGTAGCGTTGGTGATCACCTAGTTAGCATAGTTTATATTCAGCACCGACTCACCAAAAGGACTAGCTGATAGTTGGACATGGTATGGTACTCACGTAGCCGATAGCAGAACCCAAAGTTACCCAGCCGGCCGCCAAGGCATACGCGACACCTCGGAGATGCGCCGGGGCCATTTCAGCAATGTAAACGAACGTGAAATTCATTATGAGCCCGTTTGCCAAGCCTGTCATCAACCGGCCAAAATATAGCGGGCCCAAATTTGTCGTTACAATCTGCACGGTGACTCCTATAATTAAGAATAACATCCCGACCATCACGCAGTGGCGACGGCCGAGAAAACGGCTGAACACTCCGGAAAGTATCGATGCAATGAAGGAGCCCAAAAGCACAAACGATGTAATAATCTGCTGTGGTGTAGACTATTGCGTATCATTAGTCCTGTGTAACCCTAAGTACGAGAACGATATACCTCAATGTTCCAACCAGTTGGTACTTTCGGGTCCTTGTAGCCGAAAACTTGTAGGAAGCCGAGCATGGCCTGAAAAGCACTTATTTCGCCGCTGTCGAAGCCATACTAAGATATTACCAATATTTAGCACATCTTGAAGGGTCCGTGAGTACTACATATGCAGTCTTACCTCAAGCATGGAGAACCCGACAAAGAAAGAGACCCATAAGAACCTCCGATGAGCCAGCACCGGGAAGTTGTTCTTTTCATATCTCACGTTGGAAGCATTCTCTATTGAAGAATTCGGCTGCTCCATGATCCTGTGGAAGTTGAAAAGAGATATGGTGGCTCGTTCGCAGAGGCGATACAGATTTATTGTGCTTTGGCATCCTGAGTCTCCGATGATCCCAGGGCGAGTTATATAGTAATGCCTAAGCAGGATGCTTATTCATCAGTGGCAGGAAGAGCATGTTTGGGTAAAGAGCTCTAGCATTCCATTTCCCGGCTCCGCTCGTTTTTGGGGTGCTAGGTTCACTCCGTCAAGCGGCCTCCACAATGGGTGGAGATGGAGAAAATCTGGGGTTAGCTGTCCCTCCCTCCCCAGGTTCCTTATCCAAGAGCTTGTCTTTATTGGACCGGCAGGTATGAAATCTCATTTCCCCTATGCAAGGGTCGGCTTTATTATCCGGCAACCCCTCACCTGGCCCTCGGAACTGTAGAAGCGAAAAGTGTGGCGTGCTTCCTGGCCTAAAATGACTTAAGGGCACATTTTGGCTTGGCCGCGGCATTTAATTGCCGGCTGGCGCCTTTTCTAATTGACACTTCCGGGGAATGGTCGGCTCCTTCTAATTTACCACAGTTACTATCCCCACCACAAAGTAGAGGTTTATTGAGTGCCGGGACCAGGAGACAGAGTGGAGAACCCAAAGCCCAACCACAATGTACAACGAACACTTAAGATGAGAATATCGGCATCAGAAACCCGCTTACGTGATGAGAAATGTGAATAAATAGAGCCGCGCAAGACGATCTAAATTCATCTGCTAGTCTAGCTATTTGCATGCGTCCTACAAATTGTGCAAAAATGGAAAATTACACCTTCCAGCCGGTTACAATTAGCCACAACCCTCATGAAAATGAGGTTGCCACAGCTATCCTCAAGAGGTGGTATGATAAGGCTGAGCTTGCTGAAGCAGTAGAGTATCTGCCTCCAGGTCTAACGCCCAATGTGTGGGCCACTGTTCTCGACAAGTTCAAGGATGCGATAGGTACGGAGAAAGTTGTCCTTGGCAAAGAGCTAAGAATGAACTATATGGATCCATTCTCAATAAATTCCGACGAAAAAGAAAAACGTGGCAGCGCCTGTGCCCTGCGACCCACCAATGTCAAAGACATTCAGGCAATATTGAAGATCGCAAATGAGTATAAGATCCCCCTGTGGACCGTCTCCCGCGGCAGAAATCTTGGGTATGGCGGACCTTCTGCACGTGTGAAGGTAGGCAAAGATCGTTAAGCAATTTTCTCCAGAAAACTATTTGGCTCACTTCTGTTTCCGTAGGGCTCTGTTATTGTTGATCTCCAGAAGATGAACAAGATCCTAGAAATCAATGATAAATTCGCGTATTACACGGTTGAGCCAGGAGTGAGTTTCTTCCAGCTATTTCAAGAGATACAGGCACAGAAAAAGAAGATTTGGTGTTCTGCACCTGCCTTGGGTTGGGGAAGTGTGGTAGGAAATGCGCTGGATCGGGTGAGTCTTTACCTTGCAACTGTGAATTATTTAGTTGACCATGGACAGGGCTGGGGCTACACTCCCCACGGCGAGCACTCGAACCATATATGCGGTGTCGAAGTAGTTCTAGCAGATGGCACGCTAATTCGAACAGGAATGGGAGCTTTGGAAAACTCGGCCTGCTGGCCACTATTTCGAGGCGGGTATGGACCAACTTACGATTCCATGTTTAGCCAGTCGAATTTTGGTATTGTGACCAAATTAACACTTTGGGCATCTCCGGCACCCGAGGGATATATGCGATGCCATCTGGCAGTCCCTGAAGAGGGTGATCTGGCACCTATGGTTGACATCTTTCGGGAATTGCTTTTACGGGAAAAGATTCAAAACCACCCTGTTATCGGCAATATCATTCGCGAGATCAACAAACGTGGTCTCCGCAGCGACTTTTGGGAAGAGTCATGCTCGATTCCATACAGACGACTTAAGGAAATTCAAGCGGAGTTAGGGCTAGGATTCTGGGATGCTACTTTTGCCCTCTATGGGCCCAAGGAGATGATGGAGTATAACTTCCAACAGATTCAGGAAGCTTTCAATCCGATCAAGGGCCACGTTCTCAAGGGAACCGCTTATTATCCTAAATCGGGTGAAAAATATCTCAATGCGCTGGATGTACCCTACGACTTGCAGACCGGTAACCCTGGTCTAGGCCCTTTACGCTCAATTGAATACCGTGGACTTGATGGGTAAGAATAAACGTTTATATCCGCTTGATTTACACAGATTGATCTAACAATTCCATCTATTTGCAGTGGACACATTTCGTTCTCTCCCGTCTTGCCATCAGACGGGAAGGCAGCACTTGACTTCTACCACACGGCACAGAAGCTCTGTAAGAAACATGGCTTTGATTTCTGTGCCGGGCTGCATATGCATTTGCGCCACATGACGCATATCAACATGATCCACTTTGACCGTGAGTCTCAAGAAGACAAAGACGCAGCCAATAATTTGTTCGTCGATATGGTTCTTGCTGCGAGGGAAGCCGGATACGGTGAATACCGTGCACACATTGAGCATATGGATCTTGTGGCTCAGCAGTATGACTTTGGTGGTGGTACGTTAATGAGATTGAACGAGAGAATCAAGGACACGTTGGATCCCAATGGCGTCTTGAGCCCTGGAAAGCAGGGTATTTGGCCTCAAAAATATCGAAATAAAGCGAGGAACATCAGTGAATAAGAATTGAGATCGGTTGAATACATTGATTCGTCTGGACATTTTGCTCGCATCTCTTTTTACCAGCAATGTTCAGTGATACTGTCTTTTATTCTGTGGAATCATAACTCTTGCCTTTTTTGCTCATGGTAGGTTGAAGTTGGAATTATACAGTTATAAAATGGCAGCACTGTGAAATTATGCTAGAATGCGAAAAGGTGGTTTTGCCGCCTAAGTGTCGTCATATTCGCACGGGGACTTGCTGCACTCATTCTCTTAGATTCAATTGCCACTTCAAATTCTCTAGTTCTAGCCTTAGAAATTTTGCCGATTGTCTTCTGCCCTCCCTATAAAGCCATGTGACTCGAAAACTCCCCGCACATCCGGCAATTGCTATTCCACTGCCGTCGGGTTTATCGGTCCGACGGCCAGGAATTGAGACTTCGTTACCCCAGATGTCTACAGTCTAATTGGCCCTGTTATTGTAATGTTTAACCAGTACGTCGTCTCAGCCAACCGGGATTGTTCGTGGTGTGGATACGGTGTGCTCCGTACCCCACGACTACTGTATCTCAGAAGTACATATGAATGCGGTTTGATAGACCGCCCCGACCTTCGCAGTCTACAGTTTAAATTCAAAATGCAGAATATACAGGATTTAATAGATACAGTGAGTTCTTACGGGGCCCTGGCTGGTCGAGGCTTGACCACCCAGCTGACAAAATTGGACTCCAATTCCCAACTCCTTGTGGCCGCTCTCATCGCCGGCATCACAACACATTTGGGATATTTCATTCGTGGAGAGCACCACAGAGGAACCATACAAATTGTCAAGATTTATGTCGCCCTTGATGTTATTATCGCTGGCCTCTGCATCCGCCTGAATGGGGGTGGTCCGAGAACAGGCGCTGTTCACGGGGCTATTGTGACTGCCGCATACTTACTGGGCCTTTTTGGGACCATGATCGTCTACCGAGCATTCCTGCACCCTCTTCACCGGTTCCGAGGCCCATTCATGGGCCGATTCTCGAACTTATACCATTCCTCCTTGTTGGGAAACTCGGATAATTATCGGGTGATTTATGATTTACACAAACAATATGGTCCAATCGTGCGAACTGGTAGGCTGAATTTGGAAGCCTTGCCTAATGACAGAGCACTTGACTAATATATCTCCTCCAGGTCCTTCAAATTTGAGCCTCAATGTTCCGGAGGCAGTCCAACTCATATATGGGGCGGAATCAACTTGTGGGAAGACTGCGTGGTATGAAACCTCACTGCCATTGATGAACTTGCACACCGTGCGCGATAAAAAGGTACATGACCTTCGCCGTAAGGTCTGGGCGCGTGCATTTTCACCAAAGGCACTAAATGAATACGATGGGCGTATTGCCGAATATTCAGAGCTGTTTTGTCGCCAAATTGCCGACCTAAAAGGCCAGCCCTTTGATGCAACGCGTTGGTTCAAGTTCTACGCTTGGGATGTTATGGGTGAGCTCGGCTTTGGCGAAGGATTCCATATGTTGGATGAAGAAAAGAACCGCTGGCTGCCGGATCTACTGGAGGAAGGAATGGCCGACATCGCACAACTACAGGTGGTTCCGTGGCTGACGATCTTACTACATAATCTTCCCTTCGGAGCCCAAGGTCCTAAGAAATTTGCGGCCTTCTTCACTGAGCAAGCACTGCGCCGTGTCGAACAAACTCCAACTAAGCCGGATATTCTTAGTTATCTAGTGGAAGATTATAAAAAGAGCCCAAAGAAAGAGGCTGACTTCCAATGGCTTCGGGGGGACACTCGACTCTTCGTCGTCGGCGGGAGTGATACGACTGCAGCCACTTTAACGCACATCATGTACTATTTGGCTACCTATCCTGATCAACTCGCTAAACTCCGCGCTGAGGTGGAGCCACTCCTGAAAGGACGAGCTACGCTGGATCCTAAGGACGTCGGGGAGGCCAAGCATCTAAACGGTATCATTCATGAAGTCCTCCGGTTACACCCCCTATCCCGTCCGGCTTCCCACGGCTCATCCCAAAGGAAGGTATGGTAATCAATGGTAACTATATTCCTGGAAACACTACCGTTGTGGTACCACTCTGGGCTATGGGACGTTGTAAGTAGTATCCTTGCTCTACTTCCGTCAGTATTGACAACTGGTATGTCATATTTCTAGCGGAGGAAGTCTATGTCCGACCATTCGAGTTTATTCCAGAGCGCTGGTACTCCCATCCAGAGTTGATTAAGCACAAGAACACGTTTGCTGCGTTTGGCCTTGGTATGCTCGTTCTCACTGTTTGTCTGTGAAGATACATGCATCTAACTGGACTTCATCTAGGCACCTACGGGTGCATCGGTCGAGCATTAGCGCTTATGGAGATGCGTAACATAATTTGCCGCATCCTATCGCGCTTTGAGAGTATTGAAATGGCCCCTGGTGAGGACGGCTCCTCGTTGATGAATATGACCAAGGATCATTTCACAATGGGCATCCAGTCCTTCAAAATGGTCTTTAAAGCCAAATAGCTTAAATCAGTACTCACCTGGGATTGACCTCGAGGTATAATGATATTCTGTTGACTCAAATAAGAGAGAAATACTTGTTCATGATGCCGCAAGAAGAGCAAGCATAAATCGCGGAGTCCTGGCAGCATAGACAACCCCGTGGATGACATCGATCACGAGTGATAGCCGGTTCTCTGTACTGTCCGATAGGTTACACCATTGTTCGGCGCAGAACCCTTTAAAGAGATGCGGTGAGCTTGATGTTCTTAGTGCGACCGTCCAAAGGCCTTAGATGCACTATATAAATGCAATTTAGCTGTTGTAAATAGCAAGAGGGCGTAGTACTTACTATTTCTCCTAAAATACCAGATTATACTTCGATTTCGATTGCAATATAGAATTTCCAGTCTTCACCAAGAGTACTACAGCCAACAAAGCCCGCCGGGAACCCCTATCTCAGGCCGATAGCCGTAGACGTGTACTATTCCGTATTCATACCAAACAAAACTTCACCTCTGCCATAACCGGGAAATTCTAACATACGATTTGACCGTCATGTCGGCCTTTTCTTTTACCGTGGACGGGTATATGACACGGTAAAGAAACTGGAAATAACAAAGAGATTTCGGGGTATGGACAAAAGCCGATTCTGCATCTTCAACTAAGCCCCTCTCTCATTCGGAGAGAGGGCAGACCACCTCGGGAAGGCAGCTTCGGTGGCTCTGCCACGGCTGCATTTGTATCACCCTCGCTTGGTTCTTACACTGGGAAAAATTTTGATTATCGGCCCGACCCCAATTCCAGTGTTGGATAGTGACAGACCACCAACAAATTTTTGATTTGTTGCTGGATAAAGTAAGTCGAAACTTGTGCCTGTCGGATAACTCCACAAACTTCCGGCGTTGTGCGTATGCGGACCGTTTAAGAAATTTCAGGGAGACTTTCAACAAACTGACCTGTCCATTTATGAAGAGCCGTGTTTCAAATGACTTCGTCTTCGGGGTCTGAGTGATAGTCATCTTCGGGCGTTCCCGGCAATTATGATGGCGAACGCGAAGCGTAACACAATAATCGTGCCCATGGAAGTTTTTATGCTTTGAAACCTCGTCTCGGTAGTTCCCTGTGGCTCCTTACCGATAAGTCGGAACCATCTCTCCGATACACCCGAAAACGATGAGGGCCACGGGGCTAGCGGATACTGGGCCCAAGGTCATTGACAAGAGAAAACGAAAAGAGAAGATTTGGTCGGGAATCCTTTTCCCCCTATCGGCGTCAACCGGACATTCCTACCAGTGGAGAGAAAGGATTCACTGCCAGGGTGGTTCTTCGGCGTATTCCTCCCGCGCCTCTATGGTTGTTCGGAGCAATAGATCTGCCAAAGGGTCTGCCGTATATAAGATTTTTCTTGGTTCCTTTTTACGGAAATATTTTAAGCGTAGTCTTGAAAAAGTAAATCAGCACAAAGGGATAAAAAGAAAACAACCCGGCCTTCAATCATCAAAACGACTGCAGCAGAAGATATGACCCCGAAAGGCACCATAGCCGTCGAAGAAGCTGTTATCAGCCCAGGCACCGCATGGATCCTCGACCAATTCCAGCAAATTCTTACTCCTGGAGATGCAGGAAAGATAGCCGTGGAGGCTCACAGAAGCCGCCTGTTAGATATTCATGGCTCACGGTTACAGATGATGGATGCAGAAGGCGTTGAGTACATGCTGCTCTCTCTTACTTCCCCGGGTTGTCAAGGGATGCACGATCAACCATTAGCCGAAAGGTCTGCTACAGAATTCAATGACTGGCTGGCCGCCGAAGTTGCAAAGAATCCAAGTCGCTTTGGTGGGTTGGCCGCTTTATCCATGCACGACCCTGCCCAGGCTGGGTTGGAACTGGAACGGGCCGTCAAACAGCTGGGATTCTTTGGAGGCATAGTGAATGACTACCAGAGTACTGGTAAAGATGGCTCAGGGAAGAAGTACTATGATACCTCTTTCTACGATCCGTTTTGGGAAAAGGTGCAGGAGCTAGATGTGCCGATATATTTTCATCCTCGATATCCGCCAGAAAAGGATCTTAGAGAAAGCGACACACCTTATGGCAGTCGTATGCATTTGCTAGGTGCAGGTGTTCAGTTTCACTTGGATCTCTCATTTCATGTCTATGCCGTGTGCTCTTCTGGTAAGTTCTGATGAGCCGTGGAAGAAAGCGCCGATATCTGACGGTACTTTACAGGCATTCTCGACCGTTTCCCCCGTCTAAAGATCGTAGTTGGTCACCTTGGTGAGAAGTAAGGAAACAACCTCGCTCTGAAAATACACAAAATACGCTCAGACTAAAATAACCTTTCATCGCAGTATTCCATTCAATCTTTGGAGAGCCTCGCATTGGTATAACAAGCCTAGCAAAAGGGTGGCGCGACCATCACAGCACGACTACACGTACTATTTCAAGCACAATATATTTATCACGACATCAGGGAACTTCTCGACTGCTGGATTAGAGTTTTGTATCAAAGAGTTGGGCGAAGAGAGATGCCTCTTCTCAATTGGTAAGACACCACTCAGAGCTTTCTGTCCCACGCGGACTTCGGCTGATATTATTTGCAGACACACCGTACGACCAGATCCAGGAGGCACAGGCATGGTGGAGGACTGTTGATATGGATCAGAGCAAGAAGGACCGAGTGGCACGAGGGAACGCCATCAAATTATTCAGACTTCCGCTATCCGTGTGATGGGTTGGAATCGATTGCAGTATGAATCTAAATTGCCATTGGGACGATGTCGGAAACGTGAGGGGTGTTGGGCCAGTGCGTAACAAGCTAAATTCCCATACAACCCCACACTGAAGATCCTAATACATATTGAATATTAGATGGCTAGAGACGCACCGCTGGCTGGGTAGGCTGGGTCTATTCTTCTGGTGGCCCAAAGTTTCCTGTACTGGCAACTTCGTCCAATTTCAATATCGAAACTGACACAATAGATCAGAAATTAAAATATGATTTATAAATCAAAAATAGATTTTTAGTGCAAAGGTTCAGTCGGATATAATTAGCCGATAGACCCCCGCCCCCTCACTCATAGTATCCTATCGTGTGCAGGATCAACTACCTGGCGTTTATTGACCCAGACTTCAGCCGAACCCTTTTCTTTTCCTCTTTTCCTCTTTTCCCAATCCCTCCGTCATTTTGGCTCTGATAATTTTCTGTATTCCTGACGATATGGAGCCGGAAGCGCCCGCGCAGCTGAGAAAGCGGGCACGCCAAAGTTGCGACAATTGCAAAACCCGCAAAACTAAGGCAAGGAAAAAGGCCCTGATTCGGGTTTACGCAGCTAACGGCTAGGGCAGTGTATTGGAGTTGGTGAGTCTGCGTCATATCTTGCATTATGATCAGCAGGTAACGAGTGATATACAGAAAAGGGCGTTTGCGATTATTGCAGATCAAACAAAGTGCACTGTGAATTCAATCTCACGAAAAGAAAACGACCTTTCTATCGGGTGTCAGAAGAAGCCTATGAGTCTTCTATCAAGCTTCTGCGACGATTCGTGTCGGAAGAGGAGCTTCCTGAACTCACAACAGAGAACATTGAAAAACTTCTTTGCAAGCTTGAAAATCCTCCACCTCCACCACCAGCTCCACCACCGCCTCCACCACCGCAAGGGCATATGCCAATATCTCATGACTGCAGAACAAATGGAGATCCTCATTCAGTACAGAGCTACCTCGGTAATTCACCGGACGTAATGAGGAATGATAAACACCCGCTTCTCCAAGAGGCGCGTGGTTGTATGGTACTTGATTCTCTGGGAAAGTACAGTGAGACTTCTGGTTCTTGTATTTTTTTGAAAGGAACTATCGCCAACATTGACAGGATATGTTGGTGCTGATTCTGCACTTCGCTGGCACCATGCTGTTCGCACGGCAAGCAAGACATCGAGACAGCCGGACTCCAAACTTATACCCCCGCTCACAATTGGCCCTCTTCCGCCGGCCGCAGTGGAAAAACCACATGCTCAGCGCAATGGAAAAATTGACCTTCCAAGTCGCCAGCTGTGCATGCGCTACGCGGAACGGTTTTTTAGCCAAATACATTGCTTATACTGGTTTTATTCCCCTGAGCAATTCTACACTGCTCTCAATGATACACTAGAGAATCAAGGAAAGGATGCAAGCTCTTCGTGGCTATGTTCGCTTTACTCCATTTTTGCATTGGGAAGTATGTCACCCAGTGATGCAGCTACTGGATCAAATGGCACAGTCCTCCGCCATAGAAAACAGTCGTCGCATTACCTTACATTGGCGAAAGAAATGTCTTTGGGCGCGGTAGAGGAAGCGGATGTTGAGAGTGTGAAGGCTTTTGCATTGATGGTATGTGGTATCCTCAACGTGCCACGCGGTGCTGATAGACACAGAGCCTGGCTACGCATGGAATGTGTTATAGTCTCGCAGCGTATTTGCATATAGGAACGGCTGTGAGAATTGGATACTCGCTGGGACTGCATAGAGATATTGTTATGCAGACCAGGAATCCGGTCGAGCAAGAGCGAGCAAGGCGGCTATGGTGGACTCTATACATTATCGACTATGAGATGGCAACCCGCTTCGGTTATCCATCTGCAGTTGTGGATACTGACAGGTCTGTCACGACCGCATTGGCATCTGAACAGGTAATTAACAGTCTCGAGCATTTGTAATGTCTGCTAACATGAAGAGCAGGTATTAGATCCAGGCCCTAACATGCCTCTGGGATACCAAGCATTATCAGTGGCACTTGTTCGGCTCAAGAAAACCATCAGGCAAGACTGCTTCTTTGCACCGACTAATGAGGGAGGTCATTTGCCTTTGAGTCGTGTCACGCAGGGCTTGGGGTCCCTGGAGCGATGGTTAGACGATTTGCCGGCCCACTTCCACTCAGAGTCATCTTTCCCTCCCCAGCACCGGCGGTCTATAGCGGTGCTTCACTTACGATATTGGAACGTCATTATATCCTTGACCCGGCCCTTTCTCCTCATCTTGGTCTTTCAACCAGCATCAATAAAAGCACCTAGTCGGAAGTGCCATAATGAACTAATTGGAAAATGTATTGAAGCTGCAGAAAAATCAGTCCAAATTATCAAACGCATGACGAACGAACAAACCTTATCAAGTCAGACGTTATTTGACTGTCATTGCATTATGGAAGTCATGTGGGTTTTGGTACTGGCTCTTCAATACTTGGGTAAGCAGGAGCATCGCATCATGCTCAAGGCCTGTCTTGAGACTATATCAGGGATGGAAAGAATGGGTTGGTGTGAGAAAATCTCACCTGAACTGGAAATTAGGGTACGTGAAAGTGGAGTTCTCGAGCCGGAATTCCTACAATCCACGGCACCGCATCAAATCCAAGCCAGTCTACTGCATCATGAGGATCCTGAGGACGATCCAATTGACCTGACAGAGTCTCCCCATTTCCCAAAATCGTGGCCCTCTCTGGATTATATGGATTTGTAAGTCATCCCGTCATTCCTCCGTTCTAAATCCATTTCTGCTAGAGGCTTTTCATTCTAATATAGCTAAAGAGATTTCAACGGCCCAAACGTTGATTCACTGGAGAATTTCGACCTTAATACCACTTCGATACTGCTCAATATGTTTGCGGAAGCACCATCGTCGGGGTATCCGCGCTAATATTGAATTTTTGGTTGAGTTCACGCTTGTTCTAAATCTCAAGTATGTTATAATTGCCAAGAATTATCCTCGGTGGCTTTCAGATTGTATTGTAAAGCAGAGTATGTGTTCATTTATAAATACGATGACAACTTTCTTCATTTCGATTGTTTATGCTTTTGGCCTATTGTTTTGTACACGGACAGTACTTCGGATACTTCGATCTCTTCTCTGATGCCCCGCAGGGGACGATCGGGCTAGACTATGCAATAGAGTCTATGGTGGCCCAGAGTCCAGATCTGGTAGATATGGGTCTTTTCATCGGGTTCGGTGCCTTTGTTGTGGCATTCGACGACTGCTGGAGCTTGCAAAGCGCACTTGACGGTCTTAGGATTCCATACGTCAGTCGGGCCGTACCCTATGGTCCCCATTACAAGAATACGTGGCAGCACACTCTCTGGCACTTCGCCCGGCTTGTCCTGTGGAAGGGCAAATCAATAACACGTCAGTCGGGTCATGGTGTTGAGTAGTTGGTCCAACACTTGCATACAGTTTTCTGGCGCGAACCGCTCTATCACTAATCTGATCGGATTTGCCTCGATAGTACTATTCGGCCTAACAAGGACAACTAATTGTTTGGTAATGCACATGGCCACACCACGATAGAATTATCCAAGAAAGAGAGTATTGCGCATGTTGTCTTCAAGCACTGCTACAAGCTCATCCGCTATACTTAACCAGCAGCGATACCTGGACAACCTATGGCTCTACTGCTCTATATGTTTCAGAATGGACAACCGTTCCACCGCAGTGCGACTGTACTTGCCGAACACATCTTGATAGCTGGTCAGAATTCCGCAAATGCACAATTGAAGGATAACTGGGAGATTTTAGTACTCACACATCACCGGACACGTCGCCATCAGGCACATCGTGACAATGCCAAAATCAGTCATCATGGCTGCAGCCCCGGCGTTTTCTACCCAGTCGTTGACGAAAAGACTGAACTTGAAGAACAGGATGCTCTTGACCATCATCTGTAGCAGGAATATCTCAGTCGTCTGTCGAGGAAACGAGTCTCTAGAGCGATCCCAGACCGGGTCAGCAGGTTCCTCGCGAACGCGCAGACAACGTGACGAGTTGTCTACATACAAGATGTACAAGCTAGATGAGGTCCCAGTCAGCGTAAGCCCGCAGCCAATGAATCCATGGCACACTGCCCCAAGATAGTATCCGTGGGAGGTGGGGTGTTTTAGATTCCATGCGAAGATGAACCATCCGAGCCCGAAGAGCAGCGCAGAGAGCAGGTTAATGGGGAGGCGAAACTCGGGCTCGAAAACCCCATTGTTCTTTTTGACGAGGCAGATCGTAAGTCTCTCTATAAGGTAAGAACCAAGGGTGCCTCCAATAACACCACCGATGAGGGCTGCGTTTCCACACCGATCAATATCACATTCTTTTTGTATAGCATTATCTGGCATAGGTGTGGCTCACCACCGGAGAAGTAATACCCATTCTGGGCGGCGTTGAGCAAATAAGGTCTTCATGATAATAACTATCAGTGGTGGAAATATCGCCCACGAGACTGACACTTACGGCGGAGACCAAATTTGAGAGCCAACATATGACAAACTGACATATAGTGCCTGACATTGTGCGCGTTAGCCACAGTATTAGAATCCAGAATATCCCAGGATATTTCTCAACGGCTGGGACAGATGGAAGGGTTGATATGCGTACAGAAACCACAGAATTCACACTGAGTAGCTGGTGGAAAGGTGAGTATATGTCCGGGACAGTGATCATTTGGAATCGACCTATCGTACCCAAATGACTGCCGGATTCAACGCGACGATGAAGGTTGATGCGAATAGCATCACAACATTATTCTGCGTATAGAATCTCCTAAACAGCCTAAGACTTTGAACATAGCGCATGGGTGTTGACGAGGCAACCGGAGCAGTTTGTTCTTCCTCGACCGCCTCGACGTGAGCCGCACTCGCTTTGGGGTTTTCGACAATAGTACAACCGTTATCGGGAGAAGTGGCCGGTCTCTGAAACTGGGTTTCTGGGCAGAAGAAGAAAATGCAGAGCAAAGCGACGATGGCAAAGGGCAGCTGGATGATGAACATGTATCGCCAACCATAATTCTCCACGATCGGCCCTCCGACAATCGACACCAGAGATGCCATGCACGAGATAGTCAAAACCATCGTCCCGGTCCTCAGACTGCGCTCATGCACAAAGAAGCTACATCAAAGTCAGCAGGTCTAGCCACAATGGGCCCTAGAAAGCGTTATTGGGAAACAGACAGATCGCCGACTACCGTGACGCAAAGAGCCTCGTAGGCAGATGTACCGAAGCCCTGGATCAGACGGCCAACGAGGAGTTGATGATAGGTCCGCGATAGAATACAGACAATGGTCCCAATAGTGCCCATGAGGCTTGCGAAAACGAACTGGGGCCTCTTGCCATACTTCCTCGCAAGAGCAGATACGAAGGGCCTGGACACGATGTCAGCTCCTCTCTTTCTGAGGGCACTGTCAGATCACTAATTCATGGTGAGTGATTAATTACCCCCAGCAGGCAACTACGAGCAGCTGATACCCGGAAAGTTGAGAGACTTTGCCCGGGCTAATCCCAAATACCTTCGCGATGGTAAATGTGCCAGGAGCGAGCATGGGTGCGGGCACAGAAAAGAAAACCACAGTGTTGAGGAAAACGACAAGAAGCACCAGGTGCTTCTTCCATACGGGCCAGTTCTGCTTCAGGCGATCTCATTCGTGAGTCTTTTGACTCGCATATGAAAGAGCCCAGACTCTCAGTGGTCACTCACGAGCGGATCGTTTGGGTCATTGCTCGGCGTGGGAGCAAGAGCGATGGCAGCATCCTTAACTGATGTTAACAGACATCCTATCTGAAGAAGTAGACCATAAATAATATATAATTAAATACGAATAGAGAATAACGGGAGAAGGGAGTAACCTGCCGTCCTATGGCCATGTTTGATCCGAAAGCTGGTGATGGTGCCGCCGTCATCGAGGACGACCGTGCCTCTGACCTCTCTGTTTCGGGGTTCGAGGATACCAAAGACCATGGCTACTGACTTGCAGTTGCTTTCCCGCCCCGGATGTCTCAATAGATATTAATTTATCATGAAGAATGAACGGGAAGGTGAGAGAGCCATGTCATGATTGAAGGTCGGGTGTTAAATTCCGATGGCTATGGCAATTGGCGGCCCTCGGCGGATTACATCCGATAGAAAAACTGAACAGCAGAAGAATTCTTGGTGACGGAAGAGATCTTTTCCAGTCGCCTGTTCCTGCACCGATGATGTGATATATTTAATTTCTTAGAGAGTCTACGACTTCTCAAAAAGTATTCTTCCTTATCCGGAAATACGAATATATCATGGGCCTGCTGCAATCACCCCATCTGTTAGACGGGTGCGATGTATCATCAGGCTCCTGGTTTGACGTGCATAGCCCCGAGACGGGCGAGTTGGTCTCGCAAGGCGCGCGCTGCACCGCGGGGATTGCCGACCAGGCTTTGGAATCTGCGCAGGCTGCCTTCCCGCGCTGGTGCCAGGTCTCCTATCTCCGCCGCAGAGAGCTGCTTCTTCGGGCTGCCGACAAGCTCGAGGCCCTGGGCCCCGACATACAAGCTGCCATGATGGTTGAGACAGGCGCAAAGGCGGATTGGGCTGGCGGCGCCAACGTTCACGGCGCGGCGTCGCTGCTGAGGGAGGTGGCCAGCCTGGCGAGCCAGCTCAAGGGTGAGATTCTGCCCAGCTCTAACCCTGGTACAATGACATTTGTCTTCCGCGAGCCGGCCGGTGTGGTGTTTGCCGTGGCGCCGTGGAACTCGCCCGTCGTGCTGAGCTGCCGAGCGGTCGCCACGGCGCTGCTGTGTGGGAACACTGTAATCCTGAAGTCAAGTGAGTGCTCGCCACGAACGCAGCGCTTCGTAGCTGAGGCGTTTCGTGACGCTGGACTGCCGGATGGAGTGCTCAACTACGTCAACATGGCGGCGGACGAGAGCCCGGCCTTGGTCGAGCGGATTATCGCCAGCCCAGTGGTGCGGCGAGTCAATTTCACGGGCAGTGTGCGTGTCGGCCGCATCATTGCACGCCATTGCGCTGTGTACGGGCCGAAACAGTGTGTGGTCGAACTGGGAGGGAAAGCGGCGGCGGTGGTCCTGGAAGATGCCGACCTGGACGCTGCTGCCGATGATATTGTCTTCAGCAGCATGATGCACAGCGGCCAGATCTGTTTCTCTATCGAGAATGTCCTTGTCCTCGATGCTGTCGCCAATGCGTTAGTGGAGAGGTTGAAGTCTCGCATCGCGAAACTCTGGGCTGGCGCAACCGATTCAAGCACGGAGAGCCGAGACGAGCGGTTTCGTATCGGTCCTCTTTATAATTCGGCTTCAGCTACACATGCCGTCGACCTCCTGCGCTCTGTGGAAGAAACAAGAGCCACTGTCCTTGTTGGTGACGTTACCGCCGAGCAGTGTTTCATCCAGCCGCATTTACTGGATCACGTCGACCCTTCCAGCCGCATATTTTCCGAGGAGTCATTTGCGCCATTTTGCTGTATCACCCGAATTTCCACTGTGGAGGAGGCGATTCGCCTGGCGAACCTACCGGGCTACTCCTTGTCTGCGGCCGTATATGGAACGGATGGAGCGGCAACGTTTGAGGTAGCTCGCCAGATTCGTAGTGGTGCGGTGCACATCAATGGGCCCACACTCAGCTTCGAAAGCAATCGCCCATACGGCGGCTGTGGGGGACCCTCGGGTTATGGCCGATTTGGAGGTGCAGCGGGCATCCAGGAATACACGGATCTGAAAGTGGTCACATTCAATAAGTCGGGAAGCGTAAAAGGCTCGCTGGTCTGATTCAAGCGAGGGGCAAGAATCGGTTGGTGATATCGGTTTTGCATTTTCTTGGTGCTAAATAAACCAGAAATTCATTTTCTCTACAAAGAAACATTTTGCGTTAGATTTTGATGCTTACTTGACTTATCCAGGAATCTCATCAAAATGCTTCTTGGATCGTAGACGAGTCAAAACATCCACAAGTGAAGTTGCGGATCACTAGATGACCCTTCAAAATAATCAATACGTAATTTTCAAGTGAAGTATCTCTACTGTGGTTTTGAGCGATTGTGATTTGATAACCTCTTGATTGAGTCGGGATTAAAAGTGTGAGCAGACTCTTCGACAAGGTTGGAGAATAACTACATTGTAAGCATATTTGCAACAAATGAGAAAGAGAACCCTCTCACTCATCCAATTCTGCAATCGGTTGCAGAGTGAACCAATTGCAATGGCCTCTCAGCGGAACAGTTAGCGCTTTATCGGCAAGAAACTTCCGATTGTTGTTCCCCGCAATTTCCTAGGACGACGCAGCGGAAGTCCTTGAAAAGCCGGACAATCGTCGGCACTAGACCACCGAAGGTCCAGTCTGGACAGACATAATGGAGACCTCAGTGGTGTCGGTGAATGCATCAGAGCCATCGGCTAGCGGAAAGAGGACGGCACAGAGCTGCGTTCGGTGCAAGAACCGGAAAACCAAGGTGCGTAGATGCTCTGCTCCATTCGTTCGAAAGATAACCTGACACTGGCAGTGCATCAATCCCGGTGCGCTCCCTCTATCTTCCCCTGGTGACGAGGGACTGGCTAAAGACAGCGTGTAGAGCCAGGGCCATGCCACTACTGTACCCGCATCAAGAAGCCCTGTGTTCTGGCCACCAAGAAACGTAGGAACGCGCCATCTTCCGAGGACCATGAGCATGCCACGCGCATTCTCCAGCAGCTTTTCCCGGCTGATGAACTGAACTCGGAATTTCTCCGCAATACGGCCATGCAGCTGGAGAGGCGAGATGCAGAGAAAGTCGCGGTCCCCGAGACCTTAGCCCGTTCCTTATCTTCCATCCCCGGACCGGTAGAAGACGACACACTTCATCGCGATGACGGCGGTGGGGATCTTGCGTCTCTAACAAGTAATTTTGGCTGCTATCTGACCGATTCCAGCAAGCAACGACGTAAGATGCGGCTGCGACCCGCGAGAATCGTATTTGGCTAACTTACTGGTTTTCCAGGCTACGTGGGACTCGGATCCGATATCTGTTTTCATGCCTCTGTTCGATCCCACGTTGAGAGGCGTCATGTCCCTGCAGATTCAGAGATTCCACCACCCCGACCGGCTCCATTGCCGCCGATGATCAAGTCAATGGCCACACTAACGGATGCCGGGTCTCTACCACCGCGTGACCTTGCCGAACAGTACGTAGCTCGATTCTGTGAGGAGGTGCAGTGTTGCTACTGGTTTTTTTCTTCCGAGCAGCTGTATCAGAAACTCGAGGATATCTACGCTTCCACTCAGCAAGAAAAGCAAGTCAGCCGGTCCTGGATCTGCACCCTGCTCTCCGTGTTCTCGCTGGGCTCCATGCGGGATGATCCTCCTCTGGATATTTCGCTCACAGCGGAACAGCAACATTGCTCGTACTCCCTGGTATTTCTTTTCGCTGCCAAAGCCACAATATCAGAAATATGTGACGAGGCGGATGCGGAGACAACATGTGCCTTGTGCATTCTGGTAAGCAGACGCTTCATGTCCTGGTCTCGATGGTGAAGTCAATAAACTGAACCGAGTAGAGTCTCGCTCTTCAAGTGCACGGGTATACCACTTTGGCATACCTGTACATCGGCGCCGGCGTGCGGGTGGCCATCACGCTGGGCTGGGACCAGCAACGATCCACAGCCGGGCTCCCACCACACGAAAGAGAGCGAGTGCGCAAGCTGTGGTGCACACTCTATCTGGTTGACGAGCTGATATCATCGGCATCGAACCGTCCCCCTGCAGTCTTGGGGTTCAGCTATGATATACCGAGGATATCCGAGCAGGTAAGAGAGCGACAGATGGGTAACCCCATTCAATCCCCAGTTACTGATATCAACACGGGTCCGTAGATTTTGAACCCTGGTTTGAATACTCCCCCTGGGTATTTGCAGGCCCTGGTATCGCTGCACAAGATGCGTCGCCAGATGCGAAATGACTTCTACGACGAGCAACATGTCAGGTTTCAGTCTGCCGAGTCGCTGCATACCATAGTTTTCCACCACCTGCGGGAGCATCAGACCTTTCAGTCCACCTTGCCGTCTCATCTACAATGGGGCCCGCCAGCTGCACCTCCCCATCACCGTGCCATCGGACTTTTGCACCTACACTACTGGTATTCGGTCATCAGTATAACCCGTCTCTTTCTTAGGCACTTGGCCATTCAGCACCGCAACCAGAGCTTCCCCGCCACTAGCTCAACTCTGCAACGACTCTCGATGGCGTGCTTTGAGGCAGCCAGCTCATCGTTCGATGTGATCGCCTCGATGCATCGCCATCAAGCCTTATCTGGGATGAACCCCTTCGACTGCAGCTGTATCGTTGCGAATGTGATGATATTCATTCTAGCGAAGGACCTCTCCTTCTTTTCGGAGAATGTCTTTCTTTCGCGGGTTACAGACAGCCTAGTTTTTCTGCGGTCCATTACATTTGGGAGACTATCGAAATCTAAGCATGATGAAATTATAACTCTGTTCGAGAGCCTTGGCGTCTCAGCGGCCCAAGTAACGGATGGGGGACTCTCTTTGTCTATCGACTCTGCCCGTGCAATGGCAACATCGTAAGTCTCTTAATGGCCTGCTATCGATGCTTCGCTAATAAATATGTTGCGTCATCAGAAACCGAAACAATGGGAGATTTGTCTTTGACGAAAATCTGCTATCGAACGATATTCTGGAAGATGAACATTTGCTATATGATGAGACATTCTGGAATTTGGACCTATCGTAAAATGCATCTGATACCAAGTAAAGAGCCAGTCCAGCAATGTGTTCGCTCAGTTGAGACTGCGACCCAGTATACATATGAGGTCTATGATGGTTCTTCAAATGTGTCCTTCCCCGACAAAGTGTATATAAAACATCAATACCATATACTATTAATAATTGCCGCTAAATAGCCAAAGCTCTTTGACAATTACGTACCCTAAATGCTTTGCTTTGCTTTAGCGTCTTCTACACTAGGGAGGGATATGCGCTAATCTGGTGTAGTTTCAAGCTTGTTTTTTTGTAGCCTCAGATTGCTCCTAAAGCCGCACGGGTGAAGCGAGCGTCAATAGTTCGCGCATATAAATAGATTTTGTCATAAAAAATAATCAGTAGCCAAGCTATGTTTGGTATCAATGTTCTCTCACTAATCAACATTTAACCGAGCATAGAACTTCCGCATCATATGACGGTTTAGCTTTCCAAATGAATCTAATGTTCACCCTTTGCGTTAGCGTACAATACGGAAAGAGCGGGGGTTTAACAGGCCACTAACACATTGGGATAGAAGTTGCCAAGAGAGCCATAGTTATGGCACCGAATACCTTCATGATGTGTCCACCCCCGACGCGAACCTCCCAAGCATTGATGAACTTGGAGAACATGAAGAAGAGAAGATTCTTAGTTGTCATCTGTAGGATGAAGATTTCCGTGGCATGCTGAGGGAATGCATCCCTGTGTGACATAGTTAGCTACTACAAACTCTCAACGATCCTTTGATTCAAAGAGACAAATAGGCACGGAATGACTTACAATATATACAAACTGCCTGTAGTCGACGTAATGGTCACGCCGAATACAATACACCCGTGGCAGAATGCGCCGAGATAATACCCCGTGGGCGATGGATGATCAAGATTCCACATGAAAACGAACCATCCGAGAGCTAGTATCGCGGCTGCAAGCAGGTTCACGGGGATACGAAACTCGGGCTCGTAGATGCCGTTATTCAAATGGGCCATCCTACGGCTGACGGCATCGCAGATCGGGCCTCCGGACACGGCGAGAATCCCGCCAAGAAAGGCTTAACGCGAGAATGAGAAACACAGTGCGTGAATGGGCAGATCTAATACATACCTCCGGTGAAGAAGTAGCCGCATTGTTGAACATTAAGGCTGTAGGGCCTTTTAGAAAGTAAGATGTTACTAGGCTTCACTTGCGGCAGGCAGCGGAAGAAGCGCGGGGGAGGAGAGAAAGCAACACTTACGCAACGGACCATATCTGAGATAGAATGTATGCCAGGCCAGTGAATAGAGACTGGTTTATGTGCAGAATATCAGCAACGAGATCTTTGGGTGTTGTCGTTCCTTGAAGGACAGCACATACCACGATGACACCGGTCGTGGTCAGGATCCAAACCACTGCGGGATTCAACAAGTGCATAAAGATATTTGCAAACCCCTTCAAAAAACCTGCAGAGGAGTATGTTCCAGTAAAAATGCGTAGGCTGTGAATATACGTCTGTCGGGAGATTCTCTTATCGAGAACAGCCCCATCCGACTGCTGTTGCATAGCCTTGACCAGGGTTTCGTCTGCCTTCGTCTGCATCTCTGCATCGCTCGGTTGCTGCTCGGAATCCACTAACCTCCTGAACTGGGTCTCTGGAAGAAATAAGATGACTCCGAGTAGCCCCACAATATTGAATGGGAGCGATATGTCGAACAGATAAACCCACCCAAGATTATGTGTGATAACACCGCTAATTATCGACACGACCGAAGACATGCAGGCCAATGTCAGAACCACTAGGCCCATCCGCCGTCCTCGCTCGTGCAGATAGTAGAGGTCCCCAACAGATGCCAGGGAGATGCTCTCGAAGGCTGTGGCCCCAAGCCCCTGGACCACACGCCCCGCCATCAGGACGGAGTACGACGACTGATGAGCCCCAGCTATGCATATTGCCGTACCAAGTGTGCCGAACACGCCAGCCGCAACAAACTGGGGCCTCTTCCCGTACTTTTGGGCCAAGACCGAAACAAAGGGTCTGTGTAGCATTAGAGGTTTTCGGATCTGATGCTGCTGGGCTCACTTACCCTACTATACCGGACACCATAAGCTGGTAACCACCCAGCTCAGAAATCTTGCCAAGTGGAACGTGGAGTATCCCGGAGAGCACGAAGGTCGATGATGAGAGCAAGGGACCAGGGCACGAGGCAAATATGATGGCATTGAGAAAAATGGTGAAGAAGGCTGCTTCTTTTCTCCACCTTGACCACAGCTTCTCTCTGTCAGTGGACCTTGGACTATCTATAATTGGTGGAGTGGAAACAGGCTGCGTACAAGGGGATCGTTTGGGTCCTTTGAGGGTTGTGGAACTAGGACGACGTTGGAGTGCTGCTTTCCATATCAGCCACGATACTTTCTCGGAATATCCTGTAAGGAAATGCATGCACCTTTCCAGTCCCGTGCTTGAGATGTCGATTCTCTAACGGGTTCTGAGATTCATCTAATAGCAAAACTGTGCCTGGGGGCGGAACCTCGCTCGTAGGTTCGACGATGTTCATGCGCATTGTAGTCGTCCGGCTATTAGAATCTCATTACGTACTGGTGGTGGTAAAGGAAGGGTCCAATGTAAGATAAATAGTTACATTAACAAAATGGAGAGCTCAAAGCCTTGGGAGTTTATCTATTTAGCTGGTGTGATCTACTCTCTCCGCCAAATCGATGCACGGACACTTTCCCCAGGCATTGGTTCCCGTTGACGGGAATGACACACCCAATACAGCTGGAAGGGGCTGAAATCGGCCATTGTTTTCCTTCATAATCGGAAGCTTCTGCCGATAGTTCGTTGAGTTGTTGTTCGCTGTCGGCGCGTGTGACTTTAGCGTGACTGAGACGACCCACGTCGGATGTGAGTTGCCGGGCTTCAAGGCACCGGGCTATCCGAGGTTCCTGCTAGTGACAGTATTAGATTTCTGGGTTCGGAATAAAAGCGTAGATTCGAAGCCTTGGCTGGATCGCGTCCATTTTAAATCGTTGTTTGGCCATTATACTCTTCCCCCGCCAAGCTCATCTACCAGACTACAAACAGTTATGTTGGTGAACGAGCAATCATTGCTGGACGCAGACTGCCAGGTATCTCTGCTGAAGCAGCAGGTTGCAAAACTCGTTGGTGAGTTACTGGTGTTCCACTGGCGATGCAGACACAGGGACTAAGCCTGTGCAGCCGAGAAGGAGATCCGGGATCTCCACTATAAGTATGGATATTATCTTGACAAGGGACTCTACAAGGAGGTGGTCGACTGCTTCTCCACCCGGCCGGACGCCTACATGCAGTTCCTGAACGGACGGTTTTACGGTCCATCTGGCATCGGCCGCATCTTCAAAGATCGCTTTGGTGGGCGTTACATGCCCGGCCGGAATGGCCCCATTTACGGTTACCTGCTCGACCATATGCTATGCCAGGAAATCATTACAATCAACGCGACGGTGACAGCGGCAAAAATGCGAGGCAGAACCCTGATGCAGGCCGGAACGCACGAATCCATGCCCGATGATATTAAGAACGGGAAGAAGCAATGGTGGGAAGGGGGCCTATATGAGAGCGAGTTTATCCTGGAAAATGGGATGTGGAAGATCTACCGCCTACGGTTTTTCCCAGTGTGGCACAGCGATTTTGAGCATGGGTGGAGATATACGAAGCCAGACTTCGTCCCTGGTTTCACAGCCAGCTTTCCTGAAGATGCATTGGGACCCGACGAAACTATCTCAGGTCATATGCTGTGGCCGGATACCAGGGTCGTTCCTTTCCATTATCAGCATCCTTTGACGGCCCGGGAAGTCGAGGAGGAAGATATGATGGCACCTCCAGTGGGCGAAAACACAGAAGCATGCAAACGCCCACTTTCTATCCCAGACCCATCATTCTAGAGGGGAACAGACTATACCGTACTTGGACGGCGCCCAGCGTGATCTCTGGAGTGACAACAACTTCGGGGATGAGAATGGTTATGACGATTGGACCACGGAACCATGGCAGGGACCTCCATCTTCTTTTATCTATAGGAACACTCAAGAACTACTTTCGTAACTTGCCGGCCGGAAAAAAAAAAAAAAAAAAAAAAAAAGAGAGAATATCAGTATCCAAATCACAAAGCCGTAGACACCCTCCAAAATGCAGAAAATGATCAAACTACTCTCTAGGAGAAGGAGAGTAAAGGAGAACTTGTGTGGGGTATCATATAACACAGAGAGAAAGAAGATGGAGAAGAAGACCAAAAATCGGATCACCCCCTTCTGGCCCTCCGACCCATATACCTTGGCTTCCGAGCCTGCTCCTCAAACTGACCCGCAGCTGCAGACGCAGGTCTCGGCCTGACAACAGGGGCCTCCATGTTCTCCACACTAAACGTGCGCACAAGCGGCGAAGCCGAAGGTGAAGGAGAAGGAGAAGATTGGTGATCATTATTCTCATACGCCGAAAGACGCGACAGCGTACGCGGTTCTTTCATATCTGCCGCAATTATGGGGGTTGCGGGCTCCGAGCGTTTCCCGCTGACGCCTTTCATCCAGCCAAAGATGCCGAGCGAGCTGGTGCGGCGCTTGTGGTCCATGCTGTGGGAGGTTGAGGGACGGTTAGAGGTTGAGGCCGATGCGTGTGAGGAGGTCATGATCATATTGTTTGACTCGGTGAAAGAGCGGGGCAGGGCTTTTGAGCCGAGTTGGTAGAATCCTTCTTCGGCGGTGGGAACGCTGGAGGAGTAGGTGTAAGACTGTTGGTCTCCGTCGGGGTTCATTAGGAGATGGGATGTAGCACGGCGGGATGCACTGGGTGGATTTCTCGTTTTCGGGATGTTGGGCGACGGGGCGCCGTCTTCGGAGTCGTCGTCCATGAAATCGGGGCCCACGGGCGAGGATTGGAGACGGCGCGGTCCGCCGCCGGTGGAGCGGTTGAAGAATCGGGGACGAAAACTGAGGCGTCGGCGGGGAGCTGGGTCTTGCTCTTTCTGCGGCTCAGATATAGGGACGGGGGCGGAGACAGGGACGGGGGCGGAGACAGGGACGGGGGCGGAGACAGGGACGGGGGCGGAGACAGGGACGGGGGCGGAGACAGGGACGGGTTGCTGCAACAGGTCCAGGCCGTGCATGTCCAGCGTTGGGATGATTGAGGCCTCGGACTCGCTTGGGTAGGAATCGATGCTGTGAGCATCATGGAACGCAGCTCGGCTGACGATGCGCGTGGGCTCAGCCTGCGTCTCTTGGGGCTGGCTTTCGTGAGTCCGCTCCTTCCGAGACTGAGGACTTTGCGATGCGGCTGCTAGCCAATCTTGAGGTGTTAGGGGAGGTGATGGGTCGTGCTGCGGCGGATGCCGTTCTGGAGTAGCAACTTTTGGCGGGTTGGGATTTCGCTTCTTGAGAGTAGCACGAGCCGGCCGTGCCTCCTCCTTAGAAGGATCCTTGGATTCTTGGCGATGGTGTAGGGATTCAGCAAATGATTGGACGTTGTTAGGGCTTCCGGGTCCAAGAAGCGCGCTGGCTTTAGCAGCGACGGTGTTGAAGGTGAAGATAGTGGGAGACTCGGCAATGGTCATTCCCAGCCGAGGCGTATCGCTGCAGTTTGTCTGCATGCTGTCTGTGATCTCACTGTTGAAGCTATGCTTGGCCGTGAGCTCGTCTGCAGACCGAGGCCGGTCCAGCCGCGGCCCGCTAAACAATGTGGTCTTCTTCAGCCGGGGACTTTTGTCGACTACAACACTTCCATTCGAGCCATTGTGCACGGCGGCGTAGGCTGTGCTCATCGTGTCGGGCGTGGGAGGCAGTCGCGCACCCCCAAAAACCGTGTCCAGCTGCGGGCGTGGGCTAGACTTGAAGACACTCTCAAAGCTGGTACTGTCTTTCTTCGATGCATCAGACAAGGTTCGATTCTTCCGTCTGGCAATGATAGTCTGGGACATGTCGGACCGTGACTTCATCCAGCGATCGATCTGTTCTTCTTTGCTTTCCTCTCGGTGCATCGGAGGCACGTAGCTGTCCAGGCTTGCAGTGCTTGATAACGCTGCTTCTTGCCGGACCGGGATTTCGAGCTGGTCGAAGTCGTCCCACCTCGACGGGGTATCAAACGGATTCAGTTCACTGCATTCGCTGAGAACACTCAATCGGGGCGATCCGGGCTCTGCTGTGTCGTTCATTGTCTGGAAGCTCTCTGACTTGGTAAGCTGGCTCAGTGTCGAACCGTTGGTCTCCGGAGCATATAGACTGCGCAGGGTGGCCGTGCTTTTGTGGTCGTCCCGTAGAAACGAAGGGGCTTTGGTGAGCTGGCGAGGTTCAGTGGATCGCTGCTTCTTCTGGCCTCGCTTGGACGAAATCCTCTCCGGGACATCGACGACAAAATCCTGGGCTTTCGGCGTCGGCACGTCCATGTCATCCAGGGCAAACATCCGAGAGGATCGTCCACTGGTCTCGAGCTCTTCGATCTTGGCTTCCAGCTGGCAGATCAATTCCACAGCCTCAGTTACCGCTTGGTCTCGCTTTTCAATCTCCCGGTGCAGTTGCTCGTTCGAGGCACGAAGTCCTTCGTTATCTTTTTTGGCGGCCCGAAGCTTCTGGACCTCTTTTTCCAACCCGCGTAACCGCTCGAGCTCATCTTCCATCTCTTGCATGCGCACCAGTTTCTTCTCCATAAACCCCATCTGCTGCGCGCGATGGAAAATATCGAGCTTCAAATCAAAGTTGAGCTTGTTGATTTTGGAAATATACTGTCAAGGGATGTTAGACAAGCCATGGAATACTTTGGGCAGACTCACCTGGTCCATTTCACGCATTCCCATCTCTCGCGGCTGTCTCAGACCAGACGAGAGAGCATCGCTGATTTTCCGTGCCTTCTCGGAAGCACTGTCATCCTGCACCCCGGCGCCCTTGGGGGTCCGTGGACCATTATCATCCTCCCAGTTCACAGACGCAGGCCCTCGGGAGCCTCGATGCGCACGCTGCTCATGCAGTAGATCTTGTAATAGAGCTGATGCAGGGTTCACCAATGTGGGGGTGCCATTTTCGGGGGTTTCTATGTAGGCAGCACCATCAGCATTATGGACTACCGGTATGGGTAGAGGCACCTACTGCACTGTGGAGGAGGGGTCCTTGTACCAGAACCGATTGGCGACTGATCATTCAGCCAAGAAATCTCAGTACTCATTCGCGGCGGCGTATACATATTGCTCCGACCCTTGACGCGGGAAAGCGATGGGTGTTGAGGACGGTCCGGTTGGTCTAGAGATCACCACCAGATCAGTCACCGAAAGAAACAGAAGGGGTGAAAAGGGAAGAAGAAATAGTAGACTCACGACTGGGACGACACTTGCTCGATACACTGCGAGTCTGCGGCGCGGGCTGGGGATGATATATGGGGACCCTGGCGGGAGGAGGAGCAGCTTGGTGCAAGGCACCAGAGCTCCGCCTGTGGGATTTTCGGTCCATAATAATCGGTGCATCTAATCAATGCGCAGGCATGAATAATTCCCCGACTGGATCGATCCCTGGGGAGAGGCAATCAGAGACCTGCAATCTGTATTATTGGATGGATGGATGGATGGATAGACTGCAAGAAGCGAGGGATGCAGAAAATCTAGCAATCAGACAGAGCTCGGGCGAACTGTGGGGACAATCCAAGGTTTGCGCCTAGTGGAATTGCCAGATGATGAGTCTGAAGGATGAGAAAAAGGAAACGATTAAGCCCCACAAAGGCTTTGTTCTTGTTGTTCTTGTGGTGGTCGTGGTGGTAGTTTGTGGTCGCGTGGGAGACTGAAGGAATGAAGATAAATCAAGGGAGAACCACAAGAAGAATGGAAAGAAAGCTTCTTGAATCAACGGCCATGCCCAATTTTGGGTCCCAGCCTCTCACTTAGCTCCTCCCCTGGCAGAAAGAGGGTTAGTGGACCGTGCTAACGGCCTCACTAACACGATCATCGCCAATCGGAAGAGGCCCGTGGAGCAAGACCCGTCTCAGATTCCCTTGCGCTGGGATTTTAGTACTTTAGTTAGGGGTAGACAAACTCAGTGATGTGATGTCTCGACTGTTTGATCATTGTTGTTTATCATATACTATGGACATTTAAGCTTCGTCTCCACATAGGTATTGAGACACGTCCAGCGACACCTGTCAAGTCGGAATCCCAATCCACGTCACAACGAATGAGTTACTTTCGCTTCGCTTCTCCCGACCAGATCCGCATCTCCTTGGCCCGGTCATGAGCCGACCGGAATACTGTCAGTAATCATGTCAGTAAGATCCCCAAAAAAAGAACAAAAAATCAAAAGACCATGACCGACATTGCCGCTCCGTCTCATCCAGACCGCGCAGGAAATCCACGCCATCGCCCACCGCTCCGCGCGGGTTATGGGCGTGGTCTGCAATCTCCGCCGCCCGTTTCTTGAAGGTCTAAAACGCATCGAATCAGCGGATCAGATAAGAAAAGCAGGTAGGCGACCCGCATACATCACTCAAGACATCGACCATCTCCTCCTCTTCGAAGATCTCGAGAATGCGCTCGCTCAGGCTGTAGAAATGCGGGGCCAGCGCGCGCAAGTCTACGGTGCGAGGATCGGCCTTTAACGCATTCATCACTCGCTCGGACAGGGCGTCGGGCATATCCAGCGTGACGAGACGGGAGGTGCCCAGTCGGGCTCTGGTTTTTTGAGTTAGGTTACTTGCTGGTGGGCATGGTTCGGAAGTGGTCCCTACCCGATCGAGAGCATTTCACCCAGCCATAATGGGAGATCCATGCGGGTGCCGGCTTTGATCTGGATGGGATTAGCGAGGTTCAATTGACGTTGTAAAGACCGACATCTTCTCCCGGGTTGCCTTCGAGAATGCCCAGGCCGGGCACCTCCAACTCGAAGGTACAGGGCAGTTTCTGGAATGGAGGTTAGGTCGTTGTTCCATCAATATAACAGTGATCATACATACCTGGGCGTCTGTCAAGATAGAGTCAACATCATAGTACGACATGATGTGGTCGAGCATCCACGGGAAAAAGAATCACGCGTACCTGGGGTAGAGTGAACGCGTCTTATGTCAGCCAGTCACGTATCTGGAAGTATAACCCACGGCACCTCACTCATTTGATTTGCGCATCACACTCGTTGACCCTGGCAGGGGGTAAATCCTGCCCAAGTAAACCCCCCGGCCTATTCCAATTGTTGAGTCTCGTTCCCCATGTTGCCGCTCCTCGAATTTCCCCAGGACATCCTGCTCCTGGTCGTGTCGCATGTGAACTCGCAACGCGATGTCGCGGCCCTGGCGAGGTCATGCAAAGTCCTGCACCGCCTATGCGACATGAACGCTCGCAGGCGATACCGTCGTATTCGTCTTTGCTCGAGCGCCGACCTTGAAAGAGCCCTGTACATTCTCTTGTCCATCCTGCGCAAACCCCAGCTCAGAGACTATGTTCGTCACATCGAACTCGACAGCAATACGCTCTGGGATGACACCCTAGCCAAGAATCGCCAGCAGCAAAAGAGGCTCTTGACGGACGAGGATAAGCAGTTGCTTCTACATGCGACCGAAGCAGCCCGGTTTCCTAAACCTATGGAAGAACATGTGTTCTATTTACTGAAAGTGATTGCCGAGGGCAGCAAGGCTAACCCACTACCTCCCTCGCACGAACATCGCGACGATGTAGATAGAAATATCGGCGATGCACTATGCGCGGTTCTGATTACCGTGTGTCCCAGACTACAGTCCATGGCCACAACGTGTCTGATGCGCACTCCGTCTATCTCGGATAGCAGATGGGACAACAGCGAAGACTTTACGCACACTAGGATGCCGACTGAGCTGATCTTGCGCCGTTCCGGGGCTAGGCCGAGCGAGTACCCGTTTGCGAAAAATCTTCGAGACATCACAATCATCCCGCACGGTCGCGGTTGGGCCAATTCTTCTGGTTATCACAAGGTTGACATCTGGTCAAGCCTGAGACCCATCATGGGTCTCCCGGCCATCGAATCGGTCACTATGAATGCTGTCAAATGCCCGGAATGGATGACCACCATCGAGCCCGAAGATCAATCATCCAATATTCGTCGGCTGCGGTTTCCAAACGCGAATCTCGATTGGAGGATTCTGAGGCGGGTGATCCAGTCGTGCAAGGCCTTGACCGAGTTTACCTTGACAGCTGGAGGTCGTGAAAGTTGGAGTAGACCCAGCTCTGTAGCGCCGTTGCCCATGACACGTGCGCTCCTGCGCCACGTACGCACGCTTGAGGTTCTCAATCTGGACATTGATGATTATGTTCCATCAAACTGGTACTGGCAAGAGTCCGACGGTTATGAACTGTGCGATGATGTCGGCTGGGGTGATGAATTCGAGCAGCAGATTTGGGACGAGAGCCACGAAGCGGAGGAGTCCCTCGCCGAGGACGGGGAGCATATCGCTGGAACACCATGGCCTTTAAACTTGCAGGATGTCGGCGTGCAGCCCTGGTCGCCTGGACTGGTCGACTTTCAGAAACTCACCCACCTGCGCGTCGGCATTGAAGCCTTTTTCTTTCTCTCCCGGGGCCTCTCCTACTCCCCCAAGCAGAAATACAAACATCTCCACGAGGGCTCATGGACACTCGTCAAGAGTATCCCGCAGAGCCTGCAGTCGCTGCAGGTTACGGGGTACCAAAAAGGGCAGCACCCATTGTACGACGTCCATATCCGGGCACTGTTGGCGGAGCGAGAGAGCCAGTTGCCCAACTTGAAGATGATCAAGGGGCTGGATAAGCATGTACCGGCGCGCCAGAAGGGAGTGTCCAATCCGGCGCCCGAGGTGTGGTCGGAGTACGAGGATTAACTAACTACGAAATAAACAATAACATCGGAAGTAAATCTGGGAAGAAACCCCCGGTCGATTGGAGCAGGGATCGACAGTCTAGAACAGTCGGCCATGGCACTCCGTCACAGTGGCTTGGCTACCTAACTAACTGCGCAGTGCCCGGTTTTTTTCTTCCTTCATGGCTGACCCAAATTTAGCCATGTATGACATGCGTGCGGCCACCAGTCGTTCCTGACCGGTCCTTTTTCTATCTCTTCCTCCCTCCCTTCCCCCCAAACCCAACCCAACCCACGACTCCGGTGAATGGGCCTATCATGGTCTACAGCGCCGTCGATCAGGTCGACTACGACCAGGCCTCCAACGCTTCGTCCAGCGCCTCACGCGACCCCTCGCCTGCCCCCGGCCATGCGTCCCCTCCCAGTCTCGGCCATTTCATCCACTCCTTGACTTCCACCGACTATGAAATCGTGGAGGACGACGACTACACCGCCGCCGATCCCACCTCCGAACGCGGTTCCCGCCACATTCCTCCCCTCGATACGACTGTCGCCCAACATTCCTCGTCCGATCCAGATCCGCCCTTGCGAAGCGCCTCCAGCGACATCCCCATTCCCCTCAGCCATCCAACTCCTGACCTGCAGTCGCTGCAGGGCGCCTACCTGGGGAATGTAGAGAGACTGGAGCAGAGCGCCGAGCAGCTGAGCTCGAGCTCGGTCGATATTGAGAGTGAGATCCGCAGAATAGACCAGGAACAAAAGAGGCGATCCTGCAGCTCCGCGTCCAACTCGATGATTCTCCGGAATGGAACATTCTCGCCCGTTGCTGCTTCTTTATCGTCCCCTCATGGCTCGATTCTTTCGGCCTCGCGTCAGCGCTCCGCATCCGGATCGTACCTGGCTCATGTTTCGAAGTCGATCCACGACGAGGACGGCGACTTTTCCCATCCGATCCCCCTTCCTGTAATTCCCTCGCCGCAGACGTCGGCTTACGCCTCGAACGACTTGCTCTACCAGAACCACTACGATGCTGCTGTGGCAGCGATCGAGCGCCCATCCACGGCTGCGTCGAATGATACCTACCAGGAAGCCCGAACGCTCTTTACTGATTTCGATGGCGTGCATTTCTCTCCATTGGATCCAGCCAACTCTCTCGCTCGCCGGATCTCCCTGACCAGACCGCCTCTGGCCAGCAAACCGGAATCGTACAAGGAGCCGCAGACGGGAGAGCACATGGTATATTACCCTGCACCCGTGCCGCGCATGCTCAACCTACCCCCGAAACTATCCCGCAAGCCACTTACAGACCGCGAGAAGCGCCGGACACAGCTTGTCGGCTCCGTTCCTGCCGAAAATAGGAAGTCGACGGCCTGGCTGCCCGGCTCTGACCAGCCAACCAAAGACGACCACCAGAACAAACGCCGACAGTCGACACCTCTGCCGCAACTACCCGCGAGTGTTTTTCTTGAACAACAGCAACCGACTTCGTCACTCGACGTCAAGGTCAAGCAGGACTCCGCCGTTGCGACATTGGAAAGCATACTTGACGCCTCGGCATGCGCGCCAGTCTCAGCGTTCACTGATCATCCTATTGCTGGCCACATCGGGTCTTATGTTTATGCGAGAGCACGAGGGAAAGAAACCAAGAATAAATGGAACACGATGGGGCAACGTCAGAGCACCAACAATGGGAGCGAGCATGAGGACTCGGGCGATGAGAGACATCCAAATGATGATTTGAATGAGATGCACGAAGGCTCTGATACACAAGAGCACTCTGGGGATGGGGAACCTGACCAAGAGGAAGAGGAAGAAGAGTTCTTTGACTATGTCGGACCGCCAAATACCCTGCTAGCAGAGCTGGAACTACGGAAGCACGAGATGCAACAACGGCGGCGGACGAGGCCCACGCATGGGATGCAAGCCACACTGCTGGAGCTGGACGCTATGGCTCAAAAACAACACGCCAAAAGACGGCAGCGACCAGTCACTCTGGCGTGGGATAGTCGCGACACTGCAGATGACGACGAGGTACCGCTGGCCATGCTCTACCCGGACAAGACCGAAGCCGAAATCGAGGAGGAGGAACGTCCGGCGGGACTGATGGAGAAGCGACAGCTGGAAGAGAATGAGCCGCTGAGCACACGTCGTGCCCGGCTACGGGGTGAACCTATTCCTCAACCAGACAACCCCGCTACAGCGGTGTATGAGAGTGAAATCATCGAGCGTGAGGGAGACAGCGACGAGGAGGGAGAAACACTGGCCGAGCGCTTGCGACGACTTCGAGGACAGGACCCCGCCGACAGCGAATTCGCCAATGAACTGCTAGCGGAATTCGACACCCGGCTTGGAGTTGCTCCCAAAGACGACATCGGACCCGAAGTGGACAAGGAAGCCGATCATATTGACAACGACAACGAAACCCTCGCCCAGCGCCGCAGTCGACTCCAAAAGGAGAGCGGCGGCGCCCAGCGCGGGAATATTAATCCCAACAAGGCACCCAGAGCCCATCGAAGCATGGCCGCCCTACCGCAGACGCGTGCGTCCCATGTTCCTGTTGCCCGCAAATCCTCGCACGATCTCCTCAACCCATATGCAAACCCCCACATGTCTATGCCCATGTTCATGCCCATGCAGCAATTCTCACACCACGCAATGGCAATGGGGTACCCGATGCCGCCCATGGGCTATCCCATGATGATGCCACAGCAGGCCCAGGGAATGATGTATCCGAATGCCTATCCCTACAACCAGTTGATGATGGGCATGAACGGGATGTATGCCAATGGCTGTGGGCCGAACATGGCGAGACCGCCTACTGATCCCACGCAACGTGATATGATTGATCGCTGGCGGCAGAGCATTCGCTAGGAGTTTTTGTTGTTTTCATCATTGTGGGGTGTTCTTGGCTTCTTTCTTTTACTAGGATATCCATGTAAAGTACGGAGGGAATAGAACCAGCGAGCTATTTTGTTTATTTATTCCGAGTAGATCTCAGAATTTAGCCGTTGTTTCAATCCTATAAATACTTTCATACTCGGTAATACACAACACTACAGACGCTGAAACGTACCATGGCACTCGATGCGGGGAAACAATATACTACCCGATCCGGGGAGCAACACCTCTCTCCTCTTATAACCACATCATGGCTCTGCCTCGAACCCTAGTGCAAGCCAGAGCGCTTCAACGGCCGCTTCTTGCCGGCCACAGCCGCGCAAAGCGAGCCATGGCCTCAATGGCCGACCTCAGCAGTAACCAAGAAGTCCACAATCGCACCGAAGGCTCCATCGCCAACGCCTTTACCTCCATGTCCAAGCAATCCCAGGACCTACCCACACGATTCTTAAACCTCAAACGAGAGATCTCACATCAAAACGGCCACGCCATCCTCGACGGATGGAAGAGGCTACTGGACAACGTAGCAACAGACAGACTAGCTGATTGGGATCCGCAAATGATCCCCGAGATCCCTTTCTCCGCGATCCAGACCAACAACGGGCAGCTGCCTGACGAGGCTAAGCGCGCGCTGAAAAAACGGGGGACTATCATTATTCGCGGGTTGGTTTCGGTGGAGCAGGCGCTGGATTGGAAGAGGCGGGTTCGTGATTATATACATCTCAACCCGTCCACGAAGGGCTTTCCCGCGGATAACCCGCAGGTCTATGAGATCTACTGGTCGAAGACGCAGCTCGAGGCGAGAGCTCATGCACATATGCTCGCTGCGCAGGCAGCACTTAATCAGGTGTGGTCCGCTGCGCCGGGGGACCCTGTTGATACCAGTGTCCCGGTGACGTACTGCGATCGGTTGCGCATCCGCACGGTAGGTGGTATGTTAGTTATTTGGCTGGTTGTTCTTGCTGACATGAAGGTTGGCAGCCCGGTGATACGTCGTTCAATCTTGGGCCTCATTTGGATGGTGGCTCGTTGGAGCGTTGGGAGGACCCCGAGTACCGCAAGTGCTACGAGGAGGTATTTACTGGTCAGTGGGAGAAGCATGATCCCTTTGCTATCACGCATCGGCTCAATGCGACGACTGATATGTATCATGGGCCGGGCGGATGCTCTGCTTTTCGCTCTTACCAGGTGAACCCTCCCAAGGGCCTCGAGGAATTCGAATCCAATAAGTGACTGACCAGTCCTCACAGGGCTGGCTCTCCCTCTCTGACTGCAGCCCCGGAGCAGGCACATTACGAGTAATGCCCGACCTCCTCTTATCCAGCACATACACCCTCCTCCGCCCCTTCGTCCACCAGGACATCCAAACCGGCAAATGGACCCTCGACGACAAAACCAGCACCTTCCACGGCGCAGCGATGGGCGCAGGCCAAGAACTACTAGCAACAGAGCACGCGCATATCCACAGCACCGGATTCGTCTCCATCCCGCGCGTCCAGCCCGGCGACGCAGTCTTCTGGCACTGCGACGTCGCGCACATGGTGGAGAACCAGCACCGGGGAACTGAGGATTCGAGCGTGCTGTATATCCCTGCAGCGCCGCTGTGTGAGGTTAATAGTCGCTATTTGAAGAGTCAGAGGGCCTTGTTCTTGGAGGGGAGACCGCCGCCGGATTTTCCGGGGGGTATTGGGGAGGGGAGTCATGAAGAGCGGGGGACGGTGGATGGGTTGTCCGATCAGGGGAGGGCGGCGATGGGGTGCTTGAGGTTTGAGGTGAGTGAGAGGGCTGAAGGGGGACAGAGAGAGGCGGCGAGGAGGGCTAATGAGATCTTGGGGTTTGATGGGTGAGCTGGGGGCATCTCCCCTTGAGTATGTACAGACAGACCTAGGTATGGAAGCAAAACAATGTTTCGGTTTAGCTTAATATATCTCAATGGGTTGATCTTTCTAGAACACCCTCTATAACACTATGGTGCACACTCCCCAAATTGATGGGGACTATAGTAACTGTAGTCCTAAACACACTACCAGATGGGGTGATCAACACGAGGTGATGCAATGCAACCTGATCCGCCGCCGCGCACGTTTCCAGTTTTATCTCTGACCGTGCTTCTCGATCGCTCTCGGCACCACGTCTCCTTTGTCCCTGCGGCTCAACACGCGTTGCCGAATCGCTTACTTTCTCCAGGGTGGCTGCTCTGGTATGTGTGAGACTGAATGCGCGGTCTCTTGTTTTTTTCTGTTTCTCTTTCTCCACCGTGAGCCTGCCGCCCCTCAGCCCAGCGATTGATTGCCATGGACGACTCCCACTGCTGAGAACATCGAGTCGGCTCCTATGCCCACTGTGGGAGGCATTCAATCGCCCCGGCCAACATGCCCACCTTCGCCTACTGGCGCCGCGACCAACGCCGTTCTGCGCTGCCACCCGGGCCCCCTCCGCTCGTCCCGCCAACATTCTCGAAAGGAGGAAATGAGAGCCCTGTCGGCAGTCCTCAACAGCTCCCCGCGCTCCCAGAGACGCCTATACTCACCAGGACATTGGACGATGCCCCCTTCATTGACGTCCCCCCACCTCCAACGAGCGACTCGCCCCTCGAGACCGACACTGCTAAGCTAGACATCACAACATCCACAGCCGCGCTCTCCTCGTCATTCAGTCTTGCTGCTCCGTCTCCATTCACAGAAACAGAAAACCGTCCCCATTCGAGTCCCGGCCCCGGGGAGCGCGATCGAGAACCGGCCCTTATCTCACAATCCAACCATTCCCAACTGTCCATCCCGAGCCCAAGTCCACAGCAAGACCAGGCCACCGAGGGAGAGCCGAATTCTAAGCCCACCTCACCTTTTCGTAGGTCTTTCGTTGGCGGGAAGGGATTACGCACACTGCAGGCTCAGCCTGTGGACACACAAAAACGGTCGCCCACTGCAGTGGTGGGTAATACGGGTCCTTTCCGTTTCAGGGCTTCACCTGACGAGTCATCTCCGGATAAACAAAACATGCAAAAGGAGTTTAAAGCAGAGGGGGCGGTGCTGTCGCACGCCGGGCTGGGGATGTGTCGGCGGACAACACACATCACAAGTCCGGCAAGGCAATGCTTCATCTGCTGAACCCCATGTCTCTTCTTGCTCGCCGGAGATCTTCTCAGGTGCCCGGCTCGCGGACCGACGATGCGAATATCGGGGCACAGAATTTGGTTCCTGCGATTCCGGACGACTATGACCCGCGGATTCGAGGTAATATCGTACATGACTTCTCTGCTCCTCGCCCACGGCGGAACCTATCAGGTCCAGATGCAAACACTCAGAGTGCACATGAACCATCTCCGTCACAGTCGGGAGGACCAGATCCAAAATCTCCATGGAGTGAGCATCAAAAGAGATTGAGTGATCACTCGCCAGTTTTCAAAGAACATTTTGAAGATGACCAGAATATGCTACAAGTCGAGAACAAGGGCTATCTGCAGTCTACATTATTGACGAACCAATCTCAGCCTGGTTACGAGAAGTCGATACCTGTTTTTGCGAGGAAGCTTCCGTCCCAACTCCCAGACCAAAACCAAGACTCCGCCAGGTACACTGATCTAGAGCCTGGACCGGATCCACCGAAGAAAACAAGCCCTCCTTTGACGGACCCTCGGGATCAAGATCAAGACACTATCCCACATGTCCCTCCACAGCCCTCAGGTCTGCCAAAACATCTCAAGAGCAATGCCTCTCGCTTCAGTTTCGACATGAGCGGCGTGGAGTCCTCTGTACAGGAAAAGCTTCTGGAAGAAAAACATAAGGAGAAAGCGGCCGCACGCAGATTGGAACAGAGCTTTTTTGATGACTTTGACGACGAATATGACAACGAAATCTTGGATGATGTCGATGGTCTCGAGGAGAAGATCCCCGGTGTCAATGCGGATGCCGACGATGATGATTACAATACGCTCTCGGTTTCTCGTGATGTCAATGGGGAGGTCAAGTCTGGGACTATACCTGGATTATCACCTGTCGCGGCCAGCCCGAACACTCCTGCTTTTTCCCAGCCTAGCCAGTTCGCGTCCTACCAATATGAGGATTCCCCCTTTGGAGGGAATGCGGCACAACAGTCACAGCAAGCGCCTCCCGATTCTTCAGAGACTAAACGTCAGGGACACTTCTCCATGAGCAGTAATCCCCCCAGACCTTGAACTTGGAGGATGACGACGACGATCTCTATTTCGATGATGGTGATTTTGGGGACCTCACTCTTACGGGAGATGATGAAAACAAGGTGGACGAGTCCATCTTCGACGACGAATCGAGCCACCTCTTTGCTCCAAACCCTGCTGGCGAGCATGTCGTTCCCATTCCTTCTACGGATGGCGAACAACTCCGCCGCAATGACTCAGTCGCGAAAGAGAGCACCCTGGAAGAGGATGGCAACCCAGGCCTCAAGCACATGCCTAGTGTGGCCAGTGACTACCGGTTTGCGGCTTCGGTCAAGCGCGGACCCTTGGGCGAGCCGATCCCCAACATGGGTCCTACACGAGGTCACGGTGGCGTGTTGACAGAGCAAAACCTCGAAGTGCTACATCATGCACTGGCGTTCGCAGCCAACGAAGCAGCCACTAAAAGTCGGGTTGAACGCACCTTTAGTGTCAGTGAGAAGTCTATTGGACGAGACAGCGTCTCTGGCGCCTCGCAAACAGGCGAGCCGGGCCTGGTGTCAGACGACAGCCGTCTGAGCCAGGCAGCCGATATCATGACCTACGAGGACGCCTTCGAAGATATGATCTACGACGACGATGCGCTGTACGATGATCCGATCGTCGCGGCCGCCAACGCCGAAGCACTGGAAAACGACGACGAGGGGTTCTACGGCCAGGAATTCGGGTTCTACGCCCAAGCGCACGGCAGCTGTGACTCTGACTCCGAGCTCACCAACGGCGGATACTTTGGCCCGCGTGGCGTGGATGGCATCTCGCGCAGCCACAGCGGCCGCGGCAAATTCCAAGAACCCAGTCTGACGCCTATCACGGAGCGCAGCGAATGGAGTACGCGCAACTCGATGATCTCGCTGAAAGCCCACGGCGCGGGGCACTCCAACGCCTCTCTGGCCAGTCCTGGCTTGGCGCAGCTCGTGGACATGGGCAATCTCGACGACGAGATGTCGCTGACCGCCCTCATGAAACTGCGTCGCGGTGCCTGGGGTGGTAGCAATGGTAGTCTACGCAGCAGTGCCGGTAGTCCGCCGCATACCCTGACGTCCTCGAATCGGGGCAGCTTCGCTGCTGCTTCTGAAGCCAGTCCGACGGTCTCGGACGTGCGGCCATTTAGTACAGATGAGGGTCTGTCTGCTGGTGGTCACACTGGCGAGAGACCATCCACCGAGGCCTTTTAAGGCGCACGACTAGTCCAGGCCTGATCTGCCGATCCTCGGAGTGCGGAATCGACAGAGCGTCCATCCTGCTTCGGACGAATGGCCGATCAGCGGAAACTAATCTACTCATCATCAAGGCCACGCCATCGATCTCACTTTGTATATACATATATCTTTCCAGCCGTTTGGTTTTATTTTGGCGACGTCATTTCTGTTAATGTTTTTTTCACGATCTCACGAATATCTCCGTCATACTATCTCCTGCCTGAGTGGCAGCTAATACACGTGTACTTTTTATTGTTCTCTCCTTCTTTCTCTTGCATCTACGATTCTGTAAAGAACCCGAGGGATTGAACCCCATCCTGTATAGAGCATTCTCACTAGAGTCATCATGATTGAACTCTCCCGAAATACGCCGTAAAAGATCCGCAGTTCGGGTGGCTTCATAGCCGGCACACATCCCGACTGGGCTGAGTCAGCGCACCAGCCACATCCGCCCGGCCCGTCAGTCTCGGCAATGATTCAGCTCTCTGGCTTCTTGTTTCTTCGCCCTTTCTCCCCTGCGCCCTGTGCACTTGCTCTCCTCTCTTCTCAACCACCCCCCTGTTTTTGTTTGTTCAAAAAGAGGTTCGGCTCTTTGATGAGTTCCGTGTGTTTACAGGTGCTACGGCAATAGTCGACACCTGTCTTTGATTTGATCCGATTTGTATGTTTGCCTCTTCTCTCCTTCTTGCTCGGGCAGAAAACAACGCCTTCGCCTCGTATGTGTTGGTCCGCTGACTCGTCCCATGGCAAACAGTACAGAATCTCGATTCTTCATTACGAGTGATTTTTTCCCCCTTCGATTGGGTTACGTCAGATCCTCCTGGTTCGCCTGAAAGAAAGAAAAAAATCCCGCAATGTTCAGAAACACTGCTTTGAAGGCCACCCGTAGCGGTATGCTGCGTGGTGCTGCCTGTTCTTCATGCCGGAGAACCGTTCACCTGGCTTCGAATGTTCGCGGCGCCTCCAAGTCCTCCGGCTTTGGTTTGACGGCCCGCCGTCCTCTGGCTGTTGTCGACCGCGCTTTCAACGGCGCACGATACTATGCGGTATCCGCGGAGGAGACGAGCAAGGGAGTGGTAAGCTACAATAGCCTTTGACGATCGGTCGTGATCCATGAATATCTGCGCCGAACGACGAGAATTCAACAGACTAACGCGACGGCGCGCCTTTGTTTTGCCTTTCGTGGAATACAGGACCCAAACGATTCCTTCCTCTCGGGAAACACCGCCAACTATATCGATGAAATGTATCTGGCGTGGAAGAAGGACCCGTCCTCTGTCCACATCTCGTGGCAGACCTACTTCAAGAACATGGAAGAGGGTAACATGCCCATCTCCCAGGCCTTCACGCCTCCGCCCACCCTTGTCCCTACCCCTACCGGTGGCGTTCCCCAGACTATGCCTGGGACCGGTCTCGCTGCGGGCGCTGATGTCGCGAACCACTTGAAGGTTCAGCTTCTGGTGCGTGCTTACCAGGCCCGTGGTCACCACAAGGCCAAGATTGATCCTCTCGGTATCCGTGGTGAGGCCGAGGCCTTCGGCTACGACAAGCCCAAGGAGCTCGAGCTGGACCACTACGGGTTCACCGAGCGCGATCTGGACGAGGAATTTGCCCTGGGACCCGGTATTCTGCCGCGTTTCCTCACGGAGAGCCGCAAGACCATGACCCTTCGCGAGATCATTGCCGCCTGCGAGAGAATCTACTGCGGCTCGTACGGTGTGGAATACATCCACATTCCTGACCGCAAGCCCTGCGACTGGATCCGTGACCGCTTCGAGATCCCCGAGCCTTACCATTACTCCGTCGATGACAAGCGTCGTATTCTCGACCGTCTGATTTGGAGTTCCAGCTTCGAGTCTTTCCTAGCAACCAAGTTCCCCAACGACAAGCGTTTCGGCCTGGAGGGCTGTGAGACTCTTGTTCCCGGTATGAAGGCCTTGATTGACCGCAGCGTCGACTACGGCATCAAGGACATTGTCATTGGTATGCCTCACCGTGGTCGTCTCAACGTGCTGTCCAACGTGGTCCGGAAACCGAACGAGTCCATCTTCAGTGAGTTTGCTGGTTCGACCGAGCCGTCCGACGAGGGCTCCGGTGATGTCAAGTATCACTTGGGTATGAACTTTGAGCGCCCGACCCCCTCCGGTAAGCGCGTGCAGCTCTCTCTGGTGGCCAACCCGTCCCATCTGGAGGCCGAGGATCCCGTTGTTCTGGGCAAGACCCGTTCTATCCAGCACTACAACAACGATGAGACCAACTACGACTCGGCCATGGGTGTCTTGCTTCACGGTGACGCCGCCTTTGCCGCCCAGGGCGTTGTTTACGAGACCATGGGCTTCCACTCCCTTCCGGCTTACTCAACCGGTGGTACCATCCACATCGTTGTGAACAACCAGATCGGTTTCACCACGGACCCTCGTTTTGCCCGGTCCACTCCGTACTGCTCGGACATTGCCAAGTCCATTGATGCCCCCGTCTTCCACGTGAATGCCGACGACGTTGAGGCCGTCAACTACGTCTGCCAGGTCGCCGCCGACTGGCGCGCCGAGTTCAAGCGCGACGTTGTCATTGACATCGTCTGCTACCGTAAACAGGGTCACAACGAGACCGACCAGCCTTCTTTCACCCAGCCCCTGATGTACAAGCGCATTGCCTCCCAGAAGGCTCAGCTCGACACCTACATCGAGAAGCTGATCAACGAGGGTACCTTCACCAAGGAGGACATCGATGAGCACAAGAAGTGGGTCTGGGGCATGCTGAACGACAGCTTCGACCGCAGCCGCGACTACCAGCCCACCAGCAAGGAATGGTTGACCTCTGCCTGGAACAACTTCAAGACGCCCAAGGAGCTGGCCACCGAGGTGCTTCCTCACCTGCCCACCGCCGTGGATACCAACATGTTGCGCCATATTGCCGACAAGGTCAGCGGTGCTCCCAAGGACTTCACTCTTCACCGCAACCTCAAGCGTATCTTGAGCGGCCGCAAGAAGGCTGTCGATGAGGGCAAGAACATCGACTGGGCCACCGCCGAGGCTCTTGCTTTCGGTTCGCTCGTCGATGAGGGCTACCATGTCCGTGTCTCTGGACAGGATGTCGAGCGTGGTACCTTCTCCCAGCGTCACGCTGTCCTGCACGACCAGGAGAATGAGGCCACCTACACTCCCCTGCAGCACATCAGCGACAAGCAGGGCAGCTTCGTGATCTCCAACTCGTCCCTGAGCGAGTTTGGTTGCCTTGGCTTCGAATATGGTTACTCCCTGACCTCGCCCAACGCTCTAGTCATGTGGGAGGCTCAGTTCGGCGACTTTGCCAACAACGCTCAGTGTATCATTGACCAGTTCATCGCCTCCGGTGAAACCAAGTGGCTGCAGCGTTCCGGTCTGGTGGTCTCCCTGCCCCACGGTTACGATGGCCAGGGTCCCGAGCACTCGTCCGGTCGCATGGAGCGCTGGCTGCAGCTGTGCAACGAGGAGCCCCGCGTGTTCCCAGCGCCGGAGAAGCTGGACCGCCAGCACCAGGACTGCAACATGCAGATTGCCTGCATGACCGAGCCTTCTAACCTGTTCCATCTGCTGCGTCGCCAGATGCACCGTCAGTTCCGCAAGCGTACGTATTCTTTTCTTCTCACGTTGAATCACTAAGCTAACTTATTTGGTACAGCTCTGATCATCTTCTTCTCGAAGTCGCTGCTGCGCCACCCGATTGCCCGCTCTGACATCGAGGCCTTCACCGACGACTCGCACTTCCAGTGGATCGTCCGCGACCCGGCCCACGGCACCACCATCGACGCACCGGAGAAGATCGAGCGCGTGGTTATTTGCTCTGGCCAGGTGTACGCCGCGCTCGTCAAGCACCGCGAGGCCAACGGCATCCGCAACACGGCCATCACCCGTGTCGAGCAGCTGCACCCCTTCCCATGGGACCAGCTGCGCGAGAACCTGGACAGCTACCCCAACGCCCGCAACATCGTGTGGTGCCAGGAGGAGCCTCTGAACGCCGGTGCCTGGTCCTTCGTCCAGCCGCGTATCGAGACCCTGCTCAACGCTACCGAGCACCACAACCGCCGCCACGTCATGTACGCCGGCCGCTCGCCCAGCGCCTCTGTCGCGACCGGTCTCAAGGCCGTCCACCTCAAGGAGGAGCAGGAGTTCCTGGAGGATGCTTTCTCCGTTCACCAGGAGCGTCTGAAGGGCGAGTAGATGTGCTTTTTGCTGTCATACAGAGTTGAGTTGGTTTTCTTATGTTCCGTCGGTTGTGTGGTGGGAGCTAGCGTCAAATATCTTCCTTTTGTACCACCCTTTGTGTATGATTTTTAACTCTCTGTTGCTGTTGTGGACACCGAAGTGCGTGTTGGGTGTGTGCCCTCTTGACGCCTGATCCTCAGCCCCGTTTATAACCTACGGTAGCATCCGGTGTTTTGTAAAATACAGACATTTTGGCTTTTGCATAGGTTGGATTTGCTTGTATGGTTATTCTATAACCCATAGAATTCTTTGGTCATACTACGTAGTTCATGTTCTTGGCATATCTACTGTATAAGCCCGCACTCTCTTATCGTGGATAAGCTTACTTGTTGCCTCAGGCAGTCATATGGTACCTGGATGACATCACACTCGCTCAAACGCTCCTGACTCAGCTATGTATGCCTGAGACAGCAGGTGTAAACTCACCTGATCTTCTCCGCACTCAGACTTCCTATCGCCCGTCCGCTTGCACTCGACGCCGTCTGTCCATCTGCGTGTTATTCCATGTTGTACGCGGTGTCAGACCATTCCTGAGCCCCATTGATTTCTCTGGATCTTCTCTCTTTTCACAGGACAGGGCCAGGTTGCCCCCCTCCGCCTTCCATCCTCCGAGCCTGACCTACCCTGCTCTTGTTCACCATGTCCGCCGTCCCTTCGTCCGCCCTCCACCAGCCCACGGGCCAGGGAATCCGGCAATCATCCCGCCAGACCCGCACGAACCCCTCGCGCACTTCCAAGACCATCGGCCGGTCGTCCTTCGCCTTCGGTCGCGGCTCAACCGTCGAGATTCCCGCCATGCCCCCTGTTCCGCACGGGTTCTACCCTGCGCTGACACATTTCACGGATGCCATCACCGCTCTGCCCAGGGAATTCCGCCGTCACAGCTCCCTGTTGAAGGAGGTTGATGCGAAGGCATGGGCGCTTGAAGAGAATCTGCTGCAGCTGCTCAAGTCCTCCTCGGAGTCGCAGCCCGTGCCGTATCCTCCCCATCCGGCGCCCATTGTGGGTGGTGTGGTTCGTGAAGATTTTCTGCCCAATGTATGTTGACTTTGTGGGTTCTGGGAGTTATCTTGATCTGATTTTTTCTTGTCTGTAGGACCTCGCGCAGCCCCCCGAAACCGCCGAGAGCAAAAACCGTCGCCTGCTCCTCGACCGTGTGCGGCAGAACCTTTCCGATCTCATGATGACGGCCGACGAGAAAAACCATGTCATCTCCAATGCCAACGAGGAACTGGATCGCCAGATCGTGCGATTGGATACCGTGTTCCCCTACATCGCGGGTGAAATCAGCGAGGAGGCTCGTCTGGGCAGTCTGGAACATTGGGCCTACTCGAACAAGAGTGCCGCGAAGACAGCGACCAACGAGCGCCCGCGTCGCGAGGCAGTCTCTCAACGACGGGTCTTGACGCATGCGTTCCACGAGGCCGAGGCTGCTACTCGCAGTGAGGCGCGTCGGGAAGCTGTCCTGGCGCGGAAGCAGCGTCGCGCGCAAGTTGATATGGATTATGAGGATACACGGCCCGGCTCTCGCAAGACCGCCGGCGCAAGGGTCCGTGGTGATGCCGACGGCGCGAAACGTCGGAAGGTGGAACGGGCAATGGCTATGGACTCTGGTACACCGATGGACCGGTCTGCCAGCAGCCGCGGTGGTGTCAATTCCAAGGACGCAGCTGAGAAGAAACGGTCTCGTGCACCTAATCCGAATACGGCTGCGGCGCGCAAGAAACCCATCCCTACTTCCAATGCTGGCTCGCCTGTTATGGCCCCATCGCCTCTGGTAGGAACCTTCAATGCTCCCGGAAGAGTGGCCAGCCCAGGACCCAATGCGACGGCACGACCGCAGGCCTCGCGCACACAGCAAAACGCCGGGCAGACCAGTAACGCACGGGCGCGGCCGATGTCCTCGGCGTCCAATCGTCAATCTAACAATAAACCCGCCGACTCCAAATCCACGCCCCGAGAAGGAGGCGTCAAGAATGAACTGGCTGGCACTGATGCCCAGCGTGGCGTTTACGATGGTGACGCTCTAGTCGCAGCAGCCAGGCGTGAAGATCTGGACACCAAGTCCGCCCACTCCATCGAGCCCGAAACAAAGGGCCGCTCCTCCAAGACCTCGACGCCCGTCATAGGCACATTTGCCGAATCCAATAACAACACCCAGCCACGCTCCCGACCCACTCGCAGCACGGATCCCGCGCCAGCCAAACGCACCCAGAAGAAGACTGCCCGCGCCGTTCAGCCGGAGATTCTGTCTGAAGAGGAATCGCTGCATGAGGGCGACGACGAGGACGAAGAAGGCGAGCCGCGATACTGCTACTGCAACGAGATCAGTTTCGGGGAGATGGTCGCTTGTGATAATGACGCTTGTCCGCGCGAGTGGTTCCATCTGTCGTGTGTGGGGTTGACCAAGCCGCCGGGGAAGAATGGTGAGTTTTATAACGTGTGCAGGGTCAGAATATATGCTAATTGGGTTCATTTTCTAGTCAAATGGTACTGCAATGAGTGCAAGGAGAATATGAGACGGAGTCGCAATGGGCGGTAGATAGACGGATTTCTGTGGTTCTCGCTGGATAGTTAGTATAGGTACTTGGGTTACGGTGTTTGGGTACTTGGTAAAATCTTCTAGAGCATTGCATTGAAGACGTGTCAATCATTATCATTCAATCCCGCTACACTACTGTATAAGAATCAAAAAGCACCCCTCAGTCTGTCCACAAATCCCCCACCACCAGCATTCCTCCTCTGCACACCCTCCTCTCCCTCCAACCCGGAAGCCGAAGCACTAGCGGCTTCCCCCTCCAACCTCCTCCTCAAGTCCTCATACCGCTCCCTCTCCGCCGCGCCAGCACCAATATTCCCCGAAGCGACGTTCCGCCGCTCACGCTCGCCGACTATCCACGCCGGAACACGGAACCCATGGCTAGAAGGCGAGAGACCTGGGAGCAGCTCCGCGCGCCACGCCACGCCGACGACCCACCCGACCAGAGCGGGCAGCAGCGTGCACGGGAACTGGGAGAGGGCGAGCTGTGCGGCGATGAGGTAGGTGGGGGATTTGTCGGAGAGGACGAGGGTTAAGCTGGGGCTGGGGGGTTTGCTTGATTGTTGCTGTTGTGTTGTTGCTTCGGATTGAGTTGCCATAGTAGGGTCTGTTGTAGTTGTGCTGTTGCTTGTGGTGGTATCATTGGCGGTACTGGTTGAGGTGTGAGTGGTGGTGCTGCGAGACGCCGTCGTCCCGATCCGATACCGAAACACATGCGGAATCACGGCATGGTACTGTGCCAGCAGAGCAAAGACCGCGGCCGTCGGACCAGAAGGCAGGTAATTGAGCGTGTTGAGCGAGAGCGGGCGCAGGAGGAGCGCGAGCAGTATAGGCGGCAGGAAAGTCGTGTAGGGCAGCGTCGTAAGAAGGAAAGTCTGCAATATAGAAGAACATCAATTAGCCAATTCCCTTCTTCCCATTCAATCCCTTCCTCTGCAATTTCATATTCTCCTTCCCCTTCGTCTCTCCCAGAAGAAATTGGTTGGTGAGACTAACCGCCATCTTCCGCTTTCCCCAGGCCCTCTCCACAACCCGGAGATGATAAACCAGCATCGCCGCAAAAAGTGCCTCCGTGGAATTCGTAAACCCAGCAACCTGCCAGACAGCCGCGCGCCAGAACTGTGCGTAGGGCCAGAAGTGCGGCGAGACGTGGATGGCGGCCATGTGTTTCAGGTCGAAGAGAGACAGCGCGATCGAGGAAGCGATCGTGTAGACCAGGAGGGCTTTCGTGAGAGGCGCATTTGTTAGGCCGGAGGTGAGCATCTTGGAGGTTTTATTGCAAGCATGCACCGCTGTTTGGGAGGTGGATGATGTATGTAGAGAAGGGAGTGTGGTGAGGTGAGGTGAGGTGGATCGAAGTGGAGGGGACAGATGGCGTCTGGGGAAACGTCGTTGCCCTAAGTATAACTACGTACTACCTCCGATCTTTTCACCACTAGATGATATCCTTCCTTTATACTTTCTATTCTTGCTTAGCAGATTCTTAACTATTAGGGAACCGACTATAATTCACCGGAACCATCTAGGAATACAACAATTCAGATCTAGGTCGGGGATTACCTACGCTAAACCAAAAGACAACCCCCGACTTGCGGTATGCCTAGCAAGTATGAGATAGTAACACATTTTTGTATGAATGTAAAGTATATGTTTAACTGACAAATGCCATTCCCCTATAATGCCATTTCTTTTTCCTTGGCTTGCGCCAACGCTATCTGATACTCCTGCCCGGCGTGCTTGAGCGCCTCCAGCGTCGGTTTCAGCAAGTGCGTAACGACCTTCCCACCGCCGGGCACAGCATTCATCCTAGCATTCAGATCCTTCTGATTCGGTCTCCTGCCTGTGCTCTGCACGACCTGCAGCACCTTCTGCTTGATCTGCTCACACTCAACCTGGCGCTCGGCCTCGGCGTCGCGTTCCACGGCGTGGATGCGCTCTTCTGCGCGCTGGAGCGACTCCGCTAGCGAGGTGACTTCGCCCGCGCGGTCGGGGTTGCCTGACAAAAAGGCCTGCCAGAATTGGTGCAGGAATTCGGTGGAGGTTGCGTGGGTTAATGTTAGCCGGTCGTACATCGCCTGCGATAGTCCGTACGTCTCGGACGCGGAGGTCTCTGATGTCTGGGTGCGTCGCTCACGGACTGCTTCTAGGATCTGCGCGAAGGCTTCCTGTGTGGATTTTCTGCTGGCGGACACTTCTTCCATCTCCTCGTCTTCATCATCACCATCGACAAGCTTGCGGAGTTGGGTTGTGCCACCCAAGGGCAGGCTCTGCTCAATGTCCGTGCGGAGAGCCTGCAGGATCTGGGTTGGGTCCTGCTGTGCGAACTGTCCGCCCTGTTCTTCCTCTTGAGCCTGTGAGAAAAATTGGCTCTGGTCGCGAATATTCAAGGTAAGCCGGTCCTGCGCTTCGTCGCCTCGCAGATCCTGTAATTGTAGCTTGTTCCAGGTCTCCTCATCCAAGCCGGCGGGTGCATTCGGGTCTCCATCCGCCGGCGCAACATTCGCCATGATCTTCTCACTGAGATTGTTCAGCGTGCGGATAATAGGCACTCTATCCGCGCCAGAAGGCCGCATGTCCAGATCGGGCCGATTCCCACGACGCTGGCTGTTGTGGACCTCATTTCCAGCCAGATTCAAAAAGCCATGGATATTCGCCTCGCGCTCCGGCTCAGCCTCTTCGTCCGCACGGAGATATTTATCCAGCACGAGATCGGTAGCATCCGCCTCAGAGATGCGCTCCCCACGCAGCTTTTTAAACAGCCGACTCTGAAAGAACCGCGACCAAAATTGCTGCTCGGTCAGTTTGGGGACATTGTCATCGTAGACCCGCTTGACGAGCGGGTGTTGCGTGAAGATCAACTGAATCTGCTCCTTGCTGATATTCAAGCGAGTCACGTTGTCCTCCACGCGCGGCTTCAGCGTCGAGAGCACATTGTACGAGCCGCGAGTCTGGCCGCGCTCGATGGCATGCGCGCGCAGGAGATGTAGCCGCGTCGACCAGAACTGTGACATGAATTGCGCGGCGCTCAGGGTATCCGGTTTTGTGGCCAGTGACTCCATGAACATGCTCTTGAGCGTCGGGTCAGTTTTCAGCAGAGACTGCTGCAGTTCCACGTCCGCCCGCAGCCGGTTATCATCGTCCCACGGGTTTTTGGATGCCCCTGCCGAGGAAACCGCATTTGCAATAGCCATCGCTGCTGACATGCCCCCTCCTCCTCCTCCTCCCCCGGGGACTGGTGTCTGCGAAGGAGTCCCAGCCTTCCCCGCGTTGATCCGCGTGCTAAGTGCATCTTTGATCGCATCAGCCTGCGGACGCGCGTTTTCTCCGGCCGTGAATTGGAAAATATAGGTCTCGTTGGTGTTGGGCGCCGCGTTGGGTGGCTGGACAAAGATCTTCAGCATCACTTTTTTAGCACTGGCGGGAGTCTGCTGTAGGTCTTTTTGCCGACGCGAGGAAATTAGCCATGCTATTATCAAGGATGGGGAAAAAGACACGTACTGGTAATGTTTGCCACGGAGATGGTGACCGTACCCGTGGCGCCTCCTGCTGCAGGAATCCAGGAGATGGATTGCTCATCCTGGGCCATGGTCAGGGTGCCATCTCTCTTATTGTACAAGGCCGCTCCGCTTGGAGGTGCCATCGTGGCGTGGATGGTTGACAGCTTCCACTGTCCTGGGCACCAGAAATGACACCGCCCATCTGGATGATAAAATGCCCCACAGGTTCTGCTGAGGCGAGGAAGGTCCAGAAGCCTTGAGGCGAGTGTGGGTGATGAAGTTGAAGACGAGGGAACGAGTAATTGATAGATACGGTCACATGACCAGGAACAGTCAGCTGTTAGGCCAGGCCCTAGGTAACTCTTGTTTACTGTAGAATCTCAAGTCAAAGTGTACGAATTATGTATCTACCAGAAGAGGGAAGTGAAGAAGAAATGGAGATTATATGAGATTGGCCAAGCAATGAATAAAAACGCCATGCAGCAGTCAACTATCAACACGCAAGAAGAAACGCTGAAGAAGTCCCGAATGCTATGCAAAACCAAAGACAAGACGCGACCAAGAGCACGAACCCGAAGCCAGGAGCCAGAATGCCGTAATTCGTCAGCCAAGTTGCGCGCCGCCATGCATAGATAGTCCGGATAATCATCAGTCATGATAGTCAAAACAAAGGCAGAGATATCAAGGGTATAAGCAGAAAAAAATCATGAGACGCTTTTTTTTCCGAGAACGAAAAAAAAAAAAAAAAAAATCATTTTTTGAACATGTAATGTCCGTAGATGCCGCCCACATCGCCCACAGCCATGGGTATCTTGCGCATACCCCACCATCGAGCACCCATCTTCCAGGAGCGGAAGCCATCGTCCACGGGCTGGTTGGGCATGGATGCTGGGTCGCGGACGTACCAGCCTCGTCGGCCCAGTTCCCGCACCGTCCAGCCAACGGAGACGCGCTGGGTCTTGGCCCGCTCACGCAGAGGGGTGATGATCTTGTCACTGAATTCGATGACCTGCAGCGGGTAGCTCTGTGCTGTCAGCAGCGCACACGTTCCAGTGTTGAAGATGGCACCGAGCGTCAGCTGCGGCACCTTGGCAAGATCAAGATAGCACAACGTGCTTGGAGCATAGGTCTTCTGTGTCCCAGAGTCCTGCCCCTGCTCCTGGGGTTTGAAGAGTGAATTGACGTCCTTGACGGAGAGGTCGGCAGAACTCAGGCCCAGCTCCTCCAAGTGCTTCGTCAGAGGCACCAGAAGCGGTGCATGCTCCGAGGTCACCTTCGCCCCGCCCAAGTTGAGGGAGCGAAGGGTGTCGGGGAGCTGGGGCAGCAGTGCTGTGACATCTCCCTCCTCCAGTAGACGGAAACGTGTCGGATCCGTCAGGAGATTCAGGTACACCAGAGACTCGTTGACGGCCGGGTGGGTGGTCAAAAACTCGACCACAGCGGAGCTGCGAAGGCGCATGCAGCGAGACAGGCTCAGATGCGTGATGCGGGCCGTTTCCGGAATGGTGAAAAGAGCCGAGTCATTGACTTGTGTGTGGGTGAGATCAAGGTGCGTGAGATTGATCAGCCGTGGCAACAGAAGATCAAAGATACCAGCCGGAAGGGTGCTGCATTCGTGCAACGAGATGCGTTTCAGATTGGGCATGCTCATGGGCAACACAGGGCCAGCGGTCAAAGCTTCCTTGAAGATATTGGAGAACGATTGGGTCGAGCAACCGCTGAAATCCACGGCACGGAGATTGGGCAGGCCCATGAACAATTTGCGCACAATATCCACACTGATATCGCCTTCCAGATGCTCCTGCAGCAGACATTCCTTCAGGTTGGGCAGAAGATCAAGGCACTTCAGCAGCGTCTTCGAGGTCAGGTTCTGAATCTCGGCGTTCATCTGCTTGGTGCGACCCAGACCAACAGAGGTGAAGTGCGAGAAGTCTAGGCGGCGCACGAGGGTACCCAGGGCCGGGTACTGCGACATATGATTGAGTGCCTTGGAGAAGATGATAGAGTGCGGGAAGGTCATGTTCCTGTACAACACGCTCAGAGTGGCGGCGTGCAACGTGCGCGACGTAAGCAGACACGAGACGAGGTCGACATTCCGGGGCGTGTAGCCATTGGGGGGCACATCCAGCGCGAGGTGGGAAATGATTTGATCTGATACCCGGGGTTAGCACATGGCATTTTTTAGTTCGGTCGCTCCAAACCTACCCAAAACCTCCGGCGGGAGCTTCTCTAGCGGAGACGTCCCGGGTGGCGGGAGTACCTGTTTCACCTCGACCTCGGGGGCCTTGGGCGGCCGCAGGTTTCTGGCGGTATCAGTCGTCTCCCACGCCCAGCCACGGCCGTGCGTGCTGCCGAGGTGGCGGAGATCGCTATAGCTGCGGCTCAGGCTCTTGCCTCCCAGGCGAATCTGTTTCCAACCCAGGAAGCCACCACAGGGGCAGCAGAAGTCGGGACTCTGCTGCATGTCGACGGCGGGAATGTCGGCCTTGCTCGACTCCTTGGGAGAACCACTCTGGTGGCTGTCGACGAACGATTGCGCAATACCTAGTCGCGTACATTAACATCCGCAGCCATAATAGCCAAGGGGGGAGGGTACATACCGTCGGTGTCTTCTTTGATAGAGCCAAAGGATGGGCGGCGGCGGCTGCTAGACCGCGAGCCGTCCGGGGTGTCGCAGGAGGAAGGAGACGAGTCGCGCGAGGCGATGGGGATATCACCAGTGGGCGCGGTGGTGAAGCGAGGGATGGCCGGTTTGGTGGGAGCGGGAGCAGGAGTAACAGAAGCCATCTTGGGAGCAAGTGAGAGGGATGGCCCTCTATAAGGGCCCCAGCGACAGGTGACTAGTAACTAGGGTGGTAGCGTGTGGAAGGACGGGCGAAGGAAAGCCAAAAAAAATTCTAAACAATTTCCCCGGATTCCACAGAGGCCTTTTCCGGCTTTTCACAAGGGTCGTTTTAGGGCTAACACAGGCGGGGAGGGGGAATAGTTGTGGTGGGAAGGAGGGAAAGGGAAGAAAAATGCGAAGCTGTTAGTCACGGAAACCCGAGTAGCATAGCGGTTGGCTTCGGCCCACCGATCAGATTCGGCTCAGGGCCACTTTTTTGTAGACGAGCAGAGCGGCGAAGGGGGAGGCGAAAACCCATGGGTCGCGGCCACATGGGGCGAACAAGGACAGCAGCCATGGTTGTGGCGGACATTCATCAAGAGTTGTCTCAACTGTTGTGTTGTCGAGGGCTCAGTCACAGCTACCCCTGCATAGTGCTCATTCTGCACCATGGCGTCAGAGAATGTCGATTTCCGTGACTAACGCGAACTGTACCCCAGAGTGTGGTGGGATTCCCGTTATGTAACAACTACCACGCCATTCGTGTTCCACCATCACCTGACTGCGTCACCTGCTCAGCCCGTTTCGTCAACCACAATCCGCCATTCCTGCGGAGAGGCCGGCTTGACGCGGCATCCTACCGCCGGGTTGGCAAAGGCTTGATCACGGTTGTATAATGCCAGTACTTGGAGATACCGCATTGGTGGACGGAGATGGCATAGCACAATTCAATGTCAACCGCATAAAAGAGAGCATTGTATCCATCCCTGATAAAAAGACAGCATCCCAACGTAATCCCATGGGCTCTCTCCTCTCGGGGACTCTCCACAGAGCTAATGTTCCCGGGCGGGGTCATTGCTTGCACAACTAGAGATACTATTCTATCAATTCGCAAACTCCCATAATTTCTCTGATGATCACCAATGACTCCCCTGTATTCTATCAATTGGAGAAACCGAAGGGCACTCCACCATCAAAGTTCTACCTCCATTGCAATAGCCTAGCTTCCTTGATTATTCCCTAAGATTACCATGGATCAAAATACCGCACCACTCCCGCAAGACAAACAGTCTTAAACAACAGCTTCTAGAACTCCTCTGTCTCTCCCTCCCCACATGTACTTCTTCTGCTTCTTCTTTTTCTGTCTTTCTTTGGGTTAGGTGGTTAGTACGACTATAAACAAAGCACATAGCCATGTATCCGCATCCGCCACAATGGGGTCGTGCGTCATTGCCACTCCTCAGTTCCCGCATCAGGCTTTTAGGGGTTAAACCCATCAGGAAACGATGTGTCGCAGACCCAAGCTTCTAGACTGACCTAGAAGCCTAGTTAGCAGCTAGCCTCCGCTGACAAATTTTCCTGGAACTTCCTCCCTTCTTGCCCCTGTATCTGTGCTCCCGAAACATTCCTAATGTACCGGCCCGGTGATCTACGAACGGTAACTACTCTACGCGCGGGTGGCGTGAGACAAGAATAGAACCCGCGGGAAAAGACATGGATGGAATTTTTCTAGATCATTCTTGGTTTTTCTTTTTTTGATTTTTGAGACACCAGGAGTAATGCGGATTTGCAAAATTGTATCCTGCGTACATCGGAATGAGTACTCTTAACGATAAGATAAGATAGGACAATCATGATAAGACTGTCTCGTGACCTTTCAGCATAGTGATCATGATGTCGTCAACGATTTAAGTCACCTGTTGAATTGAGAAACACAAAAAAATACACATTGCAAAAAGCCACCAAAGGCAAATAGAAAATTACAGCGAAAAGGAAATGGTCGACGACATCATCGATGGAATGTTCGGATCTGGTATTGGTATGGGGTAAGCCCACTGCTTGCGGACAAGCAAAGCTTGTTCGCGTCATGACACATCATAAAAAAGAGATCGGAAAAACAATCCCAGTCTATGTAATAGAAAAAAGAAAGAGAGAAATGAACAATGGAAGATCTGCGTTTCTCTGCAGTCGATCAAAATCCAAAGGATATCAGTAGTCCTAAAGCCCAGAACCTGCCCCGAGTTTCAATGAGAAAAGATCGAGGGGGCATGCAAGATAAAGAAAGAAGTCTAGTGGTAAATGACATGACAACAGGAAAGAGAAAACACAACGCCACCTGAAAGAAAAAGCATCGCAATTTTGGTTCCCAAGGTTGATGATAGAAAGTAAGGCTCGTCCTTTCTTACTCGACGGCGGACACGCCCTCACCGTGGGTGACGGGGTTGACTTTGGGGTTCCACTTGAGCTTGAACTCGTGACCGAGTTCCTTGCGGACGGCGGCCTTGACGGCCTCGAGGACGTTGTCGAACACACCAAAGTTGGCCGGGTTGTTGGGGTCGTTCTCGCCCTCCTTGCCCTGGAAGACACCAGTACGGACTAGGCAGGTGTTCCAGCCGTACATGTTTCCACCGATGATATCGGACTGAGGGTTGTCACCGACCATGTAGATGTTTTGGGGCAGGCGGTTCTCGTTGTGGATCTGCTCCATCCATGACTTGAGCACCTCATCGGCGTAGGTGTAGGTGGCGCGCTCGGGCTTGCCGTAGACAACACGCTCGAGGTCAACACCGGTGATGGCCTTGTACTGGGCTTCGATGCCGATGCGGAAGGCACCCTGGGTCAAACGGGGTGGGCCCTTGTGGTCTGTGGGGAAGACCAGGTCACCCTGAGAGAAGTAGACGGGAATGCGCCTGGAGACGGGGTCCGAGGCGCGGGTCAGGAGCTTGCCGTCGTCGGCAAGCAGAAGATCCATGATGAGCTGCATGTCGGTGGCGTAGTCGCGAGAGTCGGCAAATACCAGGATGGCGTCGAACTTCATCTTGGAGAAGTCGCGGGGCTTGGCCCCAGCGCGCTCCTCGGGCGTGAATGAGCGCCACGGGGAGATGGTAGGGTCCCACGCCAGCACATCCTTGGGGTGCACGACGTTCTTGAATCCGTAGCTCTCGGCCACGTCGCGGACCATGTAGCCCTCACCACCACACACAAGCACCGTCTCGTAGTACTCTGCCAGAGCCTGCATGGGAGTGTGCGACTGAATGAACTGGTCCGTGGAGATGGGTGCATCCAGAACCTCCGAGAGTTGCGCACAACGGGCGACTTCCGTCTTGCCACCACCGTTGGTCAACAGAATGTAAGGGATTTTGATACCCAGCTCGTTATCGCCGTTGAGCATCCGGAGGGCCTCCTTGGCCTCCTCAATGGGCTCATTGCCGTGAGCCAGCACACCGTCAATGTCGAAAGCGAATGCCATGTTCTTAGCAGCGGCCACTTTCTCCTTGGACATGTCCTGCACCTGCGAGGCCAGGATGTCCCGCGAGACCGAGGGAGCCCCGGGTCTCTGAACGGTCGACAGCCGCGAGTGACGCGGTGAGCGCGGAATGGGTAGCGAAGTACCAAAGGAGTTGCGGGAGCCACGGCGGTCCTTCATCGAGGGTGACAGGCTCAGGTTGTGCATGAATTGAGCAGCATCACTGATGGAGCTGCGAGTCGCGGGGATCTCAATCGTGTTGCCACTCTCCGAGGGGATGGCCAGGCCGCTACCACGCTGGTCCATGGGCGAACGAGCGTCGATCGCATCGGTCGGATGGGGGTCCCGGGGAGAGGGATCGACCCCAAAGTCGGCGTCATCGAAGCGAGGCATGATGGAGGTGATAAGGAGGAAGAAAGGATATAGAGAAGAAAGAAGCAGTAGGTGCGAAGTAGTTGATCTACTACTTGGAGAGAAGTCACTGGAAGATGGACCAACGACCCGAATGCGGAAAGAGGGAGGAATGCGTCAGAAGAAGAAGATAGCCACCGTCAATCCAGGGAAAGCAGCAGAGTATATATACAAGGAGCAGATTTCGCGCAAACTGATACGGGCCTGGGTCTCATAGGTCATTGGCGGGGACAAACGAGTGTATTGAGACAACGGGCTCCACTCACCGGGTATCGTCATTCCTAGGAATTATCGTCATCATTTGGCAAAGGGTAGAAAACAAATTTTTGTTGCAGCGGGATGGGCGCTAAAGGTGGACCATGGGCTGTGCTTGGTGTCGGGAGCGGTACCCAGTACATTGCATTGACGTAGTGAGTACACTGTCTGTCCGCGTACCGGGTACGCGGACAGCCCTGCTCCGGAGGCCCGCCTTGGCGATCATTGGTTGCGCTGGAGCAGCGGACAGGGCCGGCGTGAAGCAGTACAGTACGCCGAGTGGGTAGGAAACCGTCCCTCTAGGCCCGCCGCGCGCGTCGGATTGGATGGGAGCGAGGGTTCGCCCGTGGGCCGGGCATCAGATCGATGGAGCCGATGACGATCGGGCGGGTCAAACGCTCATGCCGTTTCGGCTGCAGTGACATCATTGCGGGTTTTGAAAATTACCGGAGGGTGGTGGCTGCTCAAAAATACGACCGAAAGAGGAACGATGAAAAGGAACGCGAAAGGGGAAAGGTAGCTGGAAGCGAAAGACATGAGGCGAAAACAGTAGTTCGTGTGACGGGAGCTAAAGGGATGCAGCCGAGACAGACAAGGGGGAGAGAGAGAGAGATGGTCGGTCACGGGATGGGGAATGAGTGCAAACATACAAACAATCGAGACAGCGTCATCGCTTCTATACCCCACCATTCTTCTTTCCCCTCCTCCAACCTGTCCTTTTCCCTATTCCTCTTCCCTCAATTGATCCATCCCCTACCATCATGTCCAACGGAAAGACCTTCACGCTTAACAATGGGGTGAAAATCCCCGCCGTCGGCTTCGGAACCTTCGCCAGTGAGGGTGCCAAGGGCGAGACCTATGCCGCGGTCACCTGTGCCCTCCGCACGGGTTACCGGCACCTGGACTGTGCCTGGTTCTACCTCAACGAGGACGAGGTCGGCGATGGCATCCGGGATTTCCTCAAGGAGAACCCCTCCGTCAAGCGGGAGGATATCTTCGTGACCACCAAGGTGTGGAACCACCTGCACCGGTACGAGGATGTGCTGTGGTCCGTGGAGGACTCACTCAAGCGCCTGAAACTGGACTACGTTGATCTGTTCCTGATCCACTGGCCCATTGCTGCTGAGAAGGACGGCAACGACAAGCCGAAGATCGGGCCGGACGGCAAGGTGAGGGCATCGTGTCTTTTAAGGAAGCGTTGGGAAGCTAATTAGGCGCAGTACGTGATCCTCAAGGACCTGACCGAAAACCCCGAGCCCACCTGGCGCGCCATGGAGAAGCTGTACGCGGACGGCAAGGCCAAGGCCATCGGTGTGTCCAACTGGACCATCCCGCAGCTGGAGCAGATGCTCTCGTTCGCCAAGGTGGTGCCGCAGGTCAACCAGATCGAGATCCACCCGTTCCTGCCAAACAAGGAGCTGGTGCAGTACTGCTTCTCCAAGAACATCATGCCCGAGGCCTACTCGCCGCTGGGGTCGCAGAACCAGGTGCCGACGACCGGCGAGCGCGTCAGCGAGAACAAGACCCTGAACGACATTGCTCAGAAGGGCGGCAACACCCTGGCCCAGGTGCTGATTGCCTGGGGACTTCGTCGCGGCTACGTCGTGCTCCCCAAGAGCTCCAACCCCAAGCGCATCGAGTCCAACTTCCAGAGCATCTCCCTCAGCGATGCCGACTTCGAGGCCGTCAACCAGGTCGCTGATGACCGCCACTTCCGCTTCGTCAACATGAAGGATACTTTCGGCTACGATGTGTGGCCCGAGGAGACGGCCAAGAACCTGTCTGCTTAAGACAGCCATAATTTAAAAAAGACGATACCTCTGCATGAGCGGCGGGTGTTAAAAAGAGAAGGGTTAGATGTGTAACGACCACTATGAGATAGATGAATGGATATATCGTGACATAATTCGAGGTCTACAGTATCCAATGATAGTATCCCGGTCGAGTCCACTTTGCTGCCTTCATCTCACCTACCATGTCTATAAAAGCCGATAATCATTTCAAAAAAAAAACTTTGTTTGTATCATGTTTGTAATTTGAACTTGAGCTCCCGACCCGGGATGCAACAAGGCCAGGAAAAGAGATTTACTCTCTGTGCCTGAACCAGTTATTCCCCTCGCCACGCAATAAAACAAGTAAACAACAACAAACCCTGTTTATTTCAAAGGATTTACAAGACAAAACCACTACTGCCCTGGATAAAACCACTACTGCCATGAATTGATACTCACTCTATTCCTCGAGCCCCTCCTACAGGAGTACAATCGAATAAACAACGCCCTGGAAGAAATAGTCCAGGAGCACACTGCTCCGAACGATGTCATCCCGCTTCCCAGATCCACATCCTGCGCCACTTTTTTGGTCGAGATCTCCATGCCCTACCTGATTCCTATGCAATACTAGTCTATAACAATTGTGACAGCATTCGGGAGAACCCGGGGGCGCAACTCGCGTGCCCCGGGCTGCAACACCGAAACGCCGAGGGCGGGCCGAGTGAACCATGATGGGCTTTGTTACTCCAGTATTGACATGTGTCTGGTGGTTTTGGTACTTGCACCTGTACTAGCACTGTACCTGATGCGCATTGATGTTCACACATACTCGGCTCTGCCGATTGGTTCGTGGCTAATTCCCTCTTCCCGCCCTCCCTCGGGGCTATCTTGCCCGCAACTGAAAACTTTGACGCGGTCCGTGTTTGAGGCTGTTTTTTTGGGTTCCCGGTGTGTGAATGTGGCGTCCGGGTCGGGCTTGGTTTCATTTGATTATGCTTTTTTGTTTATCGGATGCCGAGAGCATTCCGAGAAAAAGAGGAAAGTGGCGATTTATTTTGCCGGCGGTTTATTCGCAGCAAAGTTACAGATGTATACAGTGGTTGTGGCCTGTCGAGAAGCAGCACCAGCGCCATATCTGATGGAATGGTCCGAGCACGCCAAAGACGTTGGGGCCATGCAGCTACCGAAGCCCAGAACGGGTTCGATGCTTGACTTGGTTTGAAGCTGTGGCCGGAGATAGTAGATCTTCTTCACTTCTGCCGGGTAGACGTCATAGTACAGATGCCAAATCAAGGTAAAAGATAACATTAGTTACACCACAACGCTAATCTTGAGTAAATCAGTTGCGGAAGTGGTATTCAAGGTATGTAGATGTTCTCACTGATCATTATTTGGAGGATTATGTTATTTAACAGGTTGGACCCAGCGGGTCTGACAATATCTCAAGATTTATGTCGAAGTTCTATATCCTATCTCCATTGACACAATAATCTATGACTCTGCGTGATATATAGGAGACTTACCTGTGATCAAGGAGAAAAGTGGCTGTGACAGAGTTAGGCACGGCTCTTGGAAGTATTAGTTGTGTCCCTCCTTCCCTACCCAGGCAGCAGCCATGCTTCACCCATTACTCTTGCTGTCATCCGAGGTTATTCCAAGAGTAGCCCACATAACATGGCTCATTCGGATGTATTTTCCGGCAATGAAGTCGCAAGAGTGTGGAGGTTAAGTATAGTTGTCTCTCAACTGTGGGGGTGGTTGAGACCCTAGGACTAAGGCCGAAACTATGTACAATCAAGAAGAAAAGGAGGCCGCACAATATCGACCACTATTCGCTCGATCGGTTCATCACGAAACAGTATCTTGCCCCTTGCATGCAACGGCCACATCCAAACCCTATAGAGCCACCACTTTAGCTCTAGATGTCTGATGCCCTTCATGGACCGCAGTCCAAGCACCACATCATATTCCACAACTTCTATATAAAAGACTGTCGGCCATTCTCTGTTGATTCTGAGTTTCGTAAATTCCTTCTGGATCAAAGAACCCAAGGCGACGTAGAAAACCATGCCGACCAACCTTCCACTGGCCAGGAGGAGCCCACATCCAGAGAAGAAGTTCTATAATGTTAGGTGGTCGCAGAAGCGTGGAAACTTTTTGGATGAACTCAAGCCAAATAGAGCCTTCAGAATTCCCATTGCTCAAAATTTGCTCTCCTTCGCCCTCTACCCAGTCTGGGACACCCGAGACGTGAAAAGGCTTGCGTCCGAGGAACCCCCAGACAAAGTCGACTACTTCAACAATGTCGACCTTTTCTTCAAGTGGTCGGGTTGGGTTGTGTTTCCACAGAATCCAGACAGGGTCGTAGGCTCTGCTGTTTCATAGACCTGGACTCCCGTAAGCCACAGCGCCTCAACTGCGACCCAATGAGCGGTAAGGGCTTTGTAGAATCGGTGGTAGGACCGCTTCTTCTGCTCTGCATCTAAGGCACAGAAGTCAAGGCTGTAAGCCCGGGACGGAACTTGAAGGGTCTCCTCACGAGCCAGGGCTCCTAGGCCTGGCAACCCTGTATGGGCCACGTTGGGGTACACCGAGGTGGAATATGATCTCTGCACAGAAGAGTCGCAATAAAGGTTGAAAAGAAGGCGCATCGCATGCCACCGGCAGACCACGTTCCAGACAGATTCAGCTGGTAACTCTCTGCTCAACTTCCCCAGATCCATGTTATTGGAGAAAAACAGTTTGCGGCCTTCGGGGTCTTCGCGAATCGGATATTTTGAATAAAATATTTCTGAGAACCCCCCATAGAGCCGGACGCGGTCGCAGAGTTCAAAGTCGTACGCATGTTGAGGGGCATGTTGCTTTGGAACTGGTCAGTATCGTGACATGTTCCCAGTCATGCGAGACGTACAATGATTGTTGAGAATATCTTCAAGCGCGTATTCAACGGGTTGAACACGGAGTTCAGGTATTTGCAACTGCGTGCGAGATGAAGAACGTCATCGACATCATCGAGGCATTCATAAACGTAGACGAGAATCTCGACGGGGAGGTTTTGAATTGGGGCCATCTTGTCGCGTTGGGAGTAGTTGCGGAAGGAGCGTTTGTTTGCCCGCGACGCCATCGGTTCTCAGGCAGTATTCTTTGTCTCTTCCAAAACCTAGTCTACTGCTCAGGGTTTGTGCAGGGTACTAACAAAAGACAATTCGGGCGGTAGCTAAACCAATTGTTTAGGCTTGAGTACTAGTATGCATTTTCGCATACCCCTCTAGTTACAAGGATAGACGTCCCACATGCCTCATCGTCATATCTGTAGCATCAACAGTCGAATCTCGACAAGACAGTTAGGAGAAATATGAATAACAGAGGCTGACATAAATGTTGTTGCGACTATGTAAAGGTTGATATGTGGATTATACTCATGAGTTCCCCGCCCTCCCCCAATATTATATATACGCCTGTTAGGAAGATACAACGCCAAAAAAAAAAGAGGTTATATACACGGTGACAATTACGGCATTTCAGACATGGGAGCTCGCTCCTCCGAATTCAGCTCAGAGGGCTCGCTAGGTGGAAGCTCCGCGACCAACGGACGACCGCGCCGAGGAGTGTTCTGGCCGCGCTTTTTCCTGAGGAAGAAGAAAAAGATCGCGGCTCCTATCGCAATAGCTGCCACCGGAACGCCGATTCCAATACCGATCTTGGCTCCTTCTGTTAGACCACCACCGCTACTATTACCGGTTTTGTGCGATGATACTCCTCCTGAACTGAGAGCTAAGGATGGCGTGGATGTCGACTCGGATGTCGATGATGCCGAGGATGTTGAAGATGTCGTCGATGTTGAGGATGTCGACTCAGCTGTCGTTGTGGTTGTTGCGATGGCTGTTTTGGGAAGATCGGACCTCTCCCATAGCATAGGGAGCCCGTCTGCGTACACGGTTACTGAGGTTGTTAGGGCGCTGGCGATGACGACGCCAGAGGAGGAGACTGTCACGGTGTCTTTTGCTGAGAGGGCTTGGGTGCACTGATGGCCATCGCCACCATAACCCATACCCCTATAATAGTACAGTAGTGTCAGTCACGGTTTTTCTTTTCTTTTTCGACCTGACCGGGCAAAGCAAAGAGAACCACACTCACGAGGGACAACAAATAGCACCACTCGTGCTACCAGTGACATCTATTCCATTCCAAGTTCCATCAATTTGTGCAGCAGTGGCCCATCCGACTGGACAATAAATCCCCGGCGAATCTACCACGAATAAGCGCATGATAACATGATAGCGAGACTTGTCTTACACCAGTACGTTCCCCAGTATGTCGCGTCAGAAAGCAGACTTCTAGGCACAGTCCCCGTTGGCATGCATTGGATGCCCGTAGTCCACCAGTGGCCGTAGAAGGTGGTGGTTTCTTCCTCGCCGTTCACATAATAGACCGCTGAGGATATGGTCTGCAGGCATGATGTTGGAGGGGTAAAGGTGGTTGTCAGCGGGCCCCGATTGAAGTACTCCGCGATATCGGGGGTGGTGTCGGACATAGCAGCGATCGTCCGAAGGAAAGTATTCGCAGGGGTGGGATCACGATGTTCATGAAGGGAGAGAAGAGAGGCGGACTAGCCCCCCCCTTTTGTGCTTATGTTTTGAGTAATAAGTCATGCTAGCATGATAGGCTGAGGTCGCATCACCCTGACGCTAAATGAGTGCTAGCGCGCTAATACATGTGTTTATATAAAAGCTAAACAATTTGGGAAAAGATTTTCTGCGAATGTCTTGGCTTGTCAAGGATTTGGAAATCACTAACGACATGGTTAACATCGCAAACAAGCAATGACAAATGCATGCAATACAACCCTATATGCTACCCTTGCAAACATTCTTGATAACAATAGACCTACTTAGGTAGCTCAGGCTCTCATTTACTGTATGGAGTTAAGCCGCCCATGACAACCCTCCGTTGTACAAAAAAAAGTACACTTCGCTAAACGTTTTATGCGGGGGTAAACATCTGATAAAGACGTACGAATAACAATTCAATTCCCAAGGCTATAAACACATCATCCCCGACTCGAAAAAGGAAAACGCAATTGGTATCTCAGCAGCAGTAAAAACCCCTGGAACGAATAACTTCAAAGAAGGACGTGTGTACAGTCAACTACTTAACCGTCCAATCACGGCCTCGCTCGAACCCGGCGAGGCATGGGTGTCGATCCCGCGCTGATCTGGCGCTTAGTGCCCTCGGCCGGAGCAGCGGGCGCGAAGCTCTTGGTGCTGGTGCTGCGTGGGATGCCACTGACAAATGAATGCTCCGAGGCAGTAGTGGTTCCGTTGGTACTCTTGGAAGACGGAGCGGGAAGCAGAGACGAGCGGGGGGACTTGGGCGTGAGCTTGCGGCGGCCTTTGGTTGGTGTGGACGGGGACCCTGAAGCAGCAGCAGTTGAGGAGGCGGCGGTGGTGGGACGCTTGTTTGTGCTGGACGTGCTGCGACTGCCAGTCTTCACTGGGGTGCCAGACCGCATCGAGCCCGAGTCCAGACGTCGCACTCGTCGTGACCGCGGGGTAGTGCTAGCAGCAATAGCAGGCGGCGCGGTGGGCAGGCTGTCAGAGCCCTCACTGACTTCTGCAATTTGCTGGGTCTGGCTGCGACTGCGGCGCCCTCCAGTAGACGACGGACGTTTGTCAGGCCGTTTCGTGCCCGAACGCAGTCGAGATGCACCGTCAACGTCAGGCTTGGAATTGTCACCCTCCGCTTCTTCCTCGGCATCGTCCACAGGATCGTCCTCATACTCGGCCAATCGCTCATCATTCCATGCAACATTCTTACGAGGCTTAGCCGGGAGTTTGCTGTGAGCACCCTTGCGATCTGAACCTCTAGAAGAAGAGTTGTTGCTGTCGGTCTCATCGTTCTGTTGTTGCTGGGCGAGGGCCTCAAGCGCGTACTTGGGCATCACAGAGCTACCCTTGTTGTGTCGAGTATTCCGCCTTGTAGCCAAGGCCAACTCCTGAGCCTCAGTCCGCTGTAGAAATACAAACTCGGTCCCCTTGGCCCGGCGCAGAGCGATGGTATTGCGCGCGGTAGGGCCGTTCCCAGCAGGGGTCTTTGCGCGTGTGCTTCGTCGGGGTACAGAGCTGGCAGGAGCTGGATCCTCGTTGACCTGCGCTTCTCTTTGGCCCTCTTGCATCTCCACAGTAGATGGAGGAGAACCATCTTTGCTGGGTGAAGGGTGCATCTTGATCGGAGAGGGCGAATTGGTGTCCAACGCCTCTAATGCGCGGCGCGAGCGCGGTGTCGAGCATTCCGCTTCGGGAGACTCATCCGGGCTTGACGAGTTGTCAACGGCCTCAATCCCTTGGGATTTCATCAATGCCGCCTTCGCTGCCCGCTTGGCCTTGGCTCTGGACAGGAAGTCATTGAGAAGCTCTGCATCCTCCCCGTCGAGACTGCTCCGCAGTGCAGAACGCACGAGAGTGCCCTCTTGTTCTTGCGTCAAGTCCTGTACGGCTGTAGTTTCGTTTGCTCGTGCATTTTCGATCGGTGTGTGCTGATTTGTATCAGATGGTCCAGATTGTAGGTCGTCCGTGGGTTTTGCCTCCGAGACTATCGGATCCAGATTCTCAGCATCCATCACCTTATCGTATATCGAATGTTTCGGAAATCCATCCAGAATGCTGAAGGGTCGAGGTGAAGCGTTCATAGTCGCTCCAACCTGGACCTCGCGGAGGACCTTATTAACTTCGTCACCATTCACGTCATTGAGGTCCGGCTGAGCTGCATGGTCCTCATGTATAGCAAGCGGCCCATCTGGGAGTTTACCTGGAGGCGGATGTTAGCGGCGTATGTTCTCCAACAAGAAACGAAATGACATGTAAACAAAGCACGTACGTCTCTTGCGCGTCACATCCGACTCCCATTTCGTTTCTAGAAACGACCTCCCCCGCTGTTCGATCGCACTATCGGTGTCATCCCCCGCGCCATCGGGACCAATACATAAGCGCTTCACGCCACGCGGATAGCTCGCGTCTGTTGTTCTCTGCGTATTATTGTCTTCGGCCGCGACAAGGTTTTTCATGCTGGTGAATGACGAGCGAAAGCGCTTCCACAACTTGCGCGTCTTCTTGGGCCCGGCCAAAGGGGTGGAGGGCTTGCGGTCCCACAGATGGGGCACCGCGCGTATGGCCTGGATGGGGGAGAAACTGAACGCACTGCCGGGGTCGGAGTCGTTTGGCTGACTATCGAGATTGTTGGCGTTAGTGGTCTGCAAGACAGATTTTCATTGAGTCGCGACAAGACATGCATGTAGGGGGTTTGTGTGTGTACGGCAACACGGCTTGGAAACAACAGGGAGGCCAGGGCGTGTCTGCCAAGGATGACAATCAGGGCAACAATGGTCTCAAAGAATCAAAGACATTCGGAGAAAAAATAGCCAGCAAAAATCCAGGAAAGTTGACCCACCATGGTTGTTCCGTCTGCTGGTTGTTGGCCATGTTGACGCGTGTGGAATGTGTCAAAACCGACTGGAATGTGCCCAGGAGACTGGATGCCACAGGGCGAGGGTGAGGCTGTGAGGGATAATCAAATCATGTAGAGAGAGCCAGGTAAACAGTATAACGGCTAAACGATGCTGGTCATGACAGTGATAATTGATGGTGACGGATCGCGGGTTGGTGTTTGGTGCCCGTTGGCTGGTTGCCCTGCCAACCCTTAGCCCTAGACCTTGTCAGTGTACTTAGTAGCACTGGATACCATGATTATTAGAACTACGCAGTTATTTGATTTCAAAAACTACATGTAGTCAATGAATAGAAATCAGCATGGTTGTTACAGCTTTATTTCACTCTAACTCCAAGAGTTCTCGACTCAATCCACCGAAATAGGCGGATATAAGCTTCACCATGGAGTGCGTCTGGGCAGAGATAGCACGTTATGAACATCTTGGTCCTCAGATGCAACCGCAGATTCACTATTCTGCTATGTGAGAACGCCGTGATCCTCGCCGTGGATGTGTCCCTGCCGGGTCGACGGTCGATCACCGCACCAGGCCGTCGCGTGGAAAAATCGTGTCTCATAACTTCATATCGGAGGATTGGCTGGTAATACCAGATGGACCCTAAAGCCATTCTAGCAAAAGCAAAGTAAACCCGCGGATCACAGCAACTTCTGCTCCAAGTCCCGCTCATCAAAGGGATCTCCGAATTCATCTAAACGGAGCCACCAGTTAGTTCGTTATCCAGGAACGGCCACACTCAATCCCACCACCCAAGAATAGGTAAGTGAATGAATAAATGAAGAGCAAACATACTCAGATTAAACTCCTTATCGACCACATACTCCATAGCGCGCTGATAATCCTCCTGTGCCCGACGACTCTTCCACGCCGCAACAGGCGGCTCGGAGCCCTTGCCCGCCGCGGCACCAGCACCGGCGCCCATCGTCTCCGGAGCGGCCTCAAAATCGCCGACGGGGAACTGCGACATGTGCTGTGGCTGTGAGCCCGGCGGGGAGAGCTCTGATGCGCCCGCCGCAGAGGAGAAATGGGTGCGGCCGGTGGGAGTGCGGGCGCCAGCGCGAGCAGCGTCGGAGTCGTCGTGGATGGAGTCCACGGAGGACGCCATTTCGGAGTCGCCGTCTGGGTCTTTAGGGTCTCGTGGGGTGGTTAGTCGAGGTGTAGCTGGGTGTGGTGGGTGTGGGGATATAGAGGAGAGCGTGGATGGATGATGATGGTAATGGTGCCGGGGGTAGATCTGGGAGGTGGGATGAACTGGGGAGGCAGATAGATCAGACATACCAACGGCCATGCTGCACTGAATGATCGGGTACAGTGTGGAATGGAAGATGAAGGAGCAGCAGAGAGGTATTGTTGCTTACAGTAGAAGTGACCAACTGACGATCTCCCCGTCCGGGCGGTGGCCGGCTGAATTCTCTTTTTTCTTCAGCACGTCTCACTCTTTATAAACTACCTACTAACTACATATTGCATTGATCCTTACTGGGAATTCCTGTCATTTGTCCTTGCATTTTTTTTTTTTTTTAACCATCGCATCCACTCACTTCCTCTTTGTGCCATGAGCGCCAACGCCACCGCCCGCGATGCGTGGGAAGATGAGGACTGGGAAAGCCAGGCTGATGTTGGTCTCCCGCTGCCATTCTTTACCTTCCCACCCGCTTAATATATCTTCTAATTCCTTTATCACAGAAGCTAGATACTCAGCCTACGCAGCCGGCTGAGAAGAAGGTCTCCTCGAAGGTCACCAAGGCGCAGCGCAGGGCGCAACAGGCCGAGTTCAACCGGCAGCTATGGGCTGAAGCGTATGTCTATCTAATACCTGCAACAGGAACACACACACACAGAGAGAGAACACCCCAATACCTGACTGAATTTTCAACTATCCAGCGAGTCCCCACAACAGACATTCCACTACCTCGAGACACGCTCGGATGTGCCACTGAAGCAGGACTTCAAGCCGACAGTAACGCTACTCAGCCGCAAGCCACAAATAGCAACCCGGCAGACACCATCATCGTCTTCCTCCGCCACAGCAGCAGGAATCGCGCAGCTGGGACTAAACGGCGAGGACGATGAATCCGACGACGAGGGTAACAAACGGCCCGAACCCACACCCGAAGAGCGGCAGGCAATGGCGCTCAAGAACCGGGAGGAGAAGCAGCGGAAATACGAAGAGGCGCGGGAGCGGCTGTTTGGGAGTCCCTCAGCTACGACGTCCGGTGCATCTTCGCCGGGGAGCACGACGCCGCCGCTGCGCCCCCATGAGGGGAGAGGAGGGAAAGGCAAAGGGCGGGGTGGTGGTGGTGGCGGGCGAGAGCGGGAGAAAAGGGATTCGTCCACGGCGTCGAGCAAGTCGAGACATCATCTCTACGATCCCGCTAGCGCCGCGAAGCCGAACGCCGGGTTTACGCAGAGACAGCTACATCGGCAGCAGTCAAATAACAGTGACTCGGACAAGAGTAGCCCGGCCCCGCAGCAGCCGGTACGCAACCCGCGCGGGCCAGATGCGAGTGGGAGAGGTGGTTTCAGCAGATTCGCAAATCGGGGTGGCCGAGGCAGCTAAGATACATTGCGCGCCAACACGAAATTTCCTGGATTTGTTTCTTTCAATGCAATGCACGCACACCCAAAAGTCTCATGGCAGACCGCGCCCCGAATTAATTGCATTGGCCACCTGGGATGTGTTCGGACGATTCTCTGACAACCACGTCAGCGTGCGAACATTCTGGTGGGTGGGGGCAACAACTCACCGGCATATCGCTTATAGCTGTCGAGATATAGCTCGTCCGTGCTTGTTGTCGCTTGGACATGCTCGTTCGTCTCCAGTGCATGCACCCACGAGGCCCACCGAGTTCCTTCTTCAGCGTCCGGCCACCCTCGGTAGGGCTTCAATACTCGCGATAGCCGAAGAATCCACGGCGCAACCTGGACATCCACGAACGAGAGGTCCGGGCCCAAGAATAAGGGCCCACGCGGGTGTGCGACCTCGACCAATTTATGGATCGCGTCGTGGAGCTCCTGCACATGAGCAATCTGCTTCTCCTGGTCCTGTTCTTGAAGGACGCGATAGAAGGTCGGTACAATGTGCCGGTTGATCTAGGGCCAGTGTCAGCGAGGGCGGTAGACCTGAAAAATACACAAACTTACATGGTCTGCCCATAACCGACAATGGGCGCGCAACTTTGCATCCGATGGCAGAAGCGCCGTGCCTTCGTTGCAGTCTTCGAGCTGCAGCAATTTGATCAGCAAGAGATCCTTGGATCTGATCCGGCGACCTTACATATTCTAGCAGCACCGTGCTCTCATAGCATCCCCAGTCATTGTGCCGCAGTGCGGGAACAAGTCCCCGAGGATTCACCTCCAGCAGGGACTCGGGCTTCTCGTACGGGTCCACTTCGATATATTGGTATGGGATGCCTTTCAGCTCGAGAGCTATCCATACGCGCTGCACAAAGGGGCTTGACATGTCCAGTCAGTCGGGTGTCCCAGGAATCTAGTCAAGGGGCTTACCAGAAGCAGCTCCCATATAGCTGGAGTTCGGTTTCGGCGGCATGTCTGGCAGCCGTTTCAGCAGCGAGACCGGTCGCTTTTGTATGGTACGCTTTGTTTGTGGTGGACATGGTTTGATCCTGTTGTACAGAGGATGTTGACTAGAGATGATTGATAATGAATCAGCCAAGATGGACGATGGCGAAGACAAAAGGCGACGTTGGTGAATGAACTGTTGACCGTGACGTAACCCTCGGTCTTTCTGCGGGGGACTCGAACCCACCCTTTTCTGTCCCTTGCCCTGCTTCTTCAGCAGATATCTCTGCACACTATTCTTCTTCACCTGATCACTCTCCTCAAGCGTATGCGTATGCCCGCCGGGAATCCCATCACCCTTCCCATTAAGCCCATTCCCATTCACGCGCTGGATGGTAAAATACCTCTTCCCCGGGGCGCCGGGGTGACCCTCTGGGAGCTGGGAGCTCGGGGCAAACGCTTCATACGGCATATGTAACTGGAGTGGATTGCCGGAATTGCTGAAGAAGGTCTGCATTCCGGGAAACGGGGGAGGAGATGGCTCTTTCTCGCGCGGGCTTGGGCTCTCGGGCTGCCGGCCGGGGAAGTGCTCCGTGATTTTGATCACGACGTTGCAGAGATCGCGCGGTCGTTCCGTGCGCTTGCGTTTCTTGACGTTCGGGTCGTCGGATTTGGGTGTGCCTCCTGGCCGGCCCTTTAGTCGACATCCCCAGTAGTGAGAGACCATGGGCCACCGTTTGTACTGCTGGGCGGAGCGGTGGGAGTAGACGTTGTCGATGTGTGGGAAGTAGGTCTGGAACCTGTGGAAATTGTATGTATCAACATGAAAGATCAGCCAGGGCGACGAGGAGGGCATGCATACTCTTGCTCGCTCACGGTGATCATCTCCTGGTCAACATTGAATAGTCTGTCCCGCCAATATCCCAGGTCCGGCGGTTTAGGGATCAATTTCATGCCACACAGTTGTCCCGCATAATCCACCGAGTCCATGGGCTCCAGGTCCCTGAGATCTGGACGGTCTGGGGGTGGTAGGGCGTTCGCCTGATTGTTTTGCGCCGCATGCGCATTGTTTCCCACCGCTGCCCCGTCCTGCCCGAGATTGTCGGACTCACGCGTCTGTGTACCTGTCGTCACATACTGCCTGGGAGGTGGCTGGACGTAGGCGTGAGGTGGCGGGGGGTGAAACTGTGGAGGTACGAATGTATTCCTCGGCTCGCCCGGTCTGGGCGGGCGAGCGAAGCCAGGGATGGTGAAGACGGGTACCACATCCTGCAGCGATTGAACCTGTCTTGGTTTTACAGGTGGCTGCTGGGGAATCGGCTGCTGGGCCCGGAAATTGGGGACTGCAGGGCGCTGGAGAGAGCCCATGGGGATGGTTGAAGCGGAGAGTGGTTGATCGGCGGAAGATCAGTGGATATATACAACCAAACATTATTGCTACTTGAAGTATTCAATTGACCATGTTCCAAATCCAATCCAATCATCCACCCTACAACCCCTTACCCGCCTTCTTCTTCGCCGCCTCGGAATTCGCAAACGGAAACCCCGTCGTCCTCTTATCCGCGCCGGTCCTACGACTGATCTTACCATCCCCACTAGCAAAGAGCACACACCACAGTCCAATCGACGCCAGAATTGAGTGTCCCGCAACCCCCAAAGCGAAGGCACCCTGTCCACCAGCGGCGTACCAGGTATACGCATAGAAAGCAGCGACAGCGTGGAACACCGAGGTCACCATCAAGGTGGGCAAGGCGTAGGGGGCCTTGGGATCGGAGTCCTCGGTGGTCACAGGCGCGGCGATCGAGGAGGTGAGCGGGATGGAGCCCGTGAGCATCACGGTGAGTGCGGCGATGGTGAGTAGGCTGATGCCGAGGCTGCGGGCGAAGTATATCTCCATTGCTTGGGAGGGTTATTAGTTAGTACGCTAGATCAATACCGCAAAGGCACATACAAGAAGCAGGCCGGGTCTCATCGAGCAGCATGGCGACGATCATGCTGGGGCCGGCTATCAAGGGTAGGCTCTGCAGCGAGAGCCATGCGGCAGTCGAGTAGGTGTAGGTGTGGAAGACCTGTTGCTGGTCAGCACGAAACAATAGGCAGGGCCGTGGGAGTAGGACTGACATCCATGATAATAATGTTGGTGGCAGAGTGAGAGAGGAATGAAGTGCCAACAGCCGAATGGAAAGAAAAGAGGTATACATTCCCGATTGACGTCATCCCCGTTTGTCTTGTTTGTACATGGAGCTCAGAAGTATGGAACGATTAGTGAGTGGGTTAATGTAAAGGCATTTTGTATTCATTTGTCCGAAGTCAACCCAAGATGTATAACTAGCGCCTCTCCTGAACCCCCAACACCGTGAAATCATCATCATCATCATCATCCCTGCTGGATATTGCTCGCCCGCAGATACCGCGTGAAGCTATTGTCCGCGTCCGACGGCGTATTTTGACTGCCCGACAGAGCCTGCTGGTACCGCTGTGAGAGCGCATCGTCATTGCCAGCACCAGTATCCTCATAATCTTCATCACTGTCGTCCTCCCCATCCGCCAGCCCCTGCTTGATGATCTCATCTTCTTCTTCGGCCTCACTCACAGTCTCCGGCTCCGGCGCGGGCTCCCTGCGTGGTCGGCGGCCGGAGCCAGAGACATTCATATCCTGCATCAGCTTCCCCAGCTCCAGTTCCCGCTGCGAGGCCTTGCTTTCTTCCCGTTCCTTCTTCTTGCGCTCCAGTTCCGGTTTGTAGTCGCACTCGAATTCTTGGCGTTTTTCTTCCACCGCTTCAAAGAACTCATCCACTCCGTCGCCGGTCATGGAGCTCACACCCACCACACTCAGGTGTCGGTAGAACTCCTCGAGCATGAGGCTCATGCTGTTCAGAAGCGAGCCCATGTATCCACTTCCCGCGCCGAAGCCACCAGCTCCGCCCTCCGTGCCAAAGGATCCCGATTCCTCTTCCTCGCGCAGAGCCTGCTGGAAGGCATCAAAGTCGGCCATCCATTCCTTTGCGAATTCGGCGTCCTTGACGTCTGTCTTGTTGAACACTAAGATCATCGGGAGCTTGGTCTTGTAGAGAATACTGCAGGCGTACAGCATGTTGCTCATGAATGTGCTGGTAGAACTGGCGCGCGGGGTGTCGATGATGTATGCAATTACCGTGGGGAAAGAGGAAGCAAGAGTCTCGAGCAGAATGCTTCCCGAGGCGCTCCAGACGAACACTTCGATCTGCCCCGGGGTGTCGACGAGGATATGCTCAATCGGTTTTGCAGATGGCTTGCTGGGATCTGGTGTTGTGCGCTTCTCCAGCAGGGCGATGATCTGGTCGACTTTGGTGGCGAAGAGGTTGAGCGATGTGAGAATCCCACCGTTGGGACCCAGGTTGTACTGCTTCATCACTTCTTTGTAGTTGATCGAGTCGCGGATATCGATATTGCTGTCAAAGGGTACCGAGTGGACCGCGGGATCCAGGTTCATCACATACGGCACTGTATTCTTCGAGTGCAAGTGGGAGTTGATCCGCTGCATGAAGGTAGTCTTGCCGGAGCCTGAGGGAAGCAGTTAGCAAGACCATTCGAATAACCCAAAGGCAAAGATAACCTTACCGGCCATACCCACGCAGACCACAGACACTGCCGGGGATGCCATGGTGGTTGTTTGAAGGGAAAGAAGTAAATGTTGGAGTGGAAAGCAAAAAAAAGAATGTTGCGGGGAGGAAAAGAAAGCGATTAATCTAATCACCGCCTGCAAACGTCACTCCCGCCTCACGTTCTCTTCTTCACCACACCTCGCCCACCATGACCCTCGAAGACTTTGAGAAATCCCTGGCGGAGGATAAGGAAAGGCAACACGAGAAAAGCGACCGGGAACGACACCATCGAGACCGCGACCGCAGCAGAGACCGCTCACGACACCACCGTCATCACCGCTCCAGCAACCACCACGAGTCCCGACACAGAGACCGGGAGAGCGAGCGCGAATCCCGGCACAAAGACGACAGTGGACATCGGCATAAGCGATCGCGTCACTCCGAGGCAGAGGAGCATGACCATGCGCATAAACGCCGACACCGATCCAGCAAAGACGACGGCAAGAGTGATGCCCCTAATCCGGTGGTCCAGGAGGAGCTCAGTCGGCCGAAGCGGGATGCCTGGATGGAAGCACCCTCTGCCCTAGAGGTCGACTATGTGCACCGACCTGACACGACGCGCCTCGAGGAGGAGTCGAACAAACCCAAAATGCTCCAGGCGGATTACGAGCTCAAAATCCACGACCGCGAGCTCAACAAACATCTGCGAGACCTTAATGAGGGCAAAGCCCTGGAGGATGTCGAAGAGGAGCCTGCGCAGCATGACGTGGATTACACATTTGGAGACTCCGGGTCGCAATGGCGGATGACGAAGCTCAAAGGCGTCTACAGAGAAGCCGAAGCTAGCGGCAAATCGGTAGAGGAGATCGCCGAGGAACGATTTGGAGACCTCCGTTCATTTGATGATGCCCGAGAAGAGGAAACCGAGCTGGATCGTCGCAAGATGTACGGTCAATCCTACGTGGGCAAGGAGAAGCCCAGTGGCGAGCTGTTCCAGGAGAGGAAACTTCAGAACGATGTGCGGAGAGGACCACTGGAACATGTTCATGACCCTGAACAGGAGCTTCAGGCCGAGGGCCAGGGTAAGAGGATGGACGCGGAGCAACCCTTGCGAACAACCCAGCATCTCGATCTCACGGCATTGAACCGCCTGAAAGCTCAAATGATGAAAGCGAAGCTCAGGAAAGCCTCCGATGCTGCAGAGCTGGAAGACCAGTATAATGCGGCCGCCGCGGCCATGGCCAATCGTAAGGAGTCTGACGTCGTGGTTCTCGGTGTGATGGAGAACCGGATGCTGGCTGGCTCCAGGAATGAAGTCAAGCCCGTCGAAACGAAAAGGGGAATCGAGCGCGGCCAGGTGCAAGAAAACGAGGACATGAGCATTGAAGACATGGTCCGCGAGGAACGTAGGAACCGCGGCCAGATGGGCGGCGAAGGACAGCGGCTAGCCGAGCGGATCTCGCGCGATTCCAAGTTCGAGGTGAGTTTTTCTTGATCTGATGGTTCCGTTTTGGTTCTAACACTCCCTTAGAATGAGCTAGAGTATATGGACGACAATGCTTCCAAGCTGGCTCGACGGGTGCATCGGTCTGAAATCGACATCAAGAACTCGACCATCAATGATTTCCGCAAGATGAATCAAATCTTGGATAACTGCCCCCTGTGCCATCACGAAGACACCAACACGCCGCCAATCGCACCGGTAGTATCGCTCGCAACCCGAGTCTTCCTGACACTCCCCACCGAGCCCGAGATCAGCGAAGGCGGCGCTACCATCGTACCCATCCAACACCGACGGAACCTGATGGAATGCGACGACGACGAATGGGAGGAGATTCGAAACTTCATGAAGAGCCTGACCCGCATGTACCACGATCAAGGCCGGGACGTGATCTTCTACGAGAACGCAGCGCAGCCCCAGCGCAAACGACACGCGTCTATGGAGGTGGTGCCGTTACCATACAGCCTGGGCGAGACCTCACCGGCCTTCTTCAAGGAAGCCATTCTCAGCTCCGACTCGGAATGGTCGCAACACCGCAAACTCATCGATACCCTCGCCAAGGCAAAGCAAGGGCTCGGGCGGTCGGCATTCCGCCGCACGCTGGTCAAGGAGATGCCCTACTTTCACGTCTGGTTCGAGCTTGATGGCGGGCTGGGCCACGTGGTCGAGGACGAACACCGCTGGCCCCGGGGGGATCTGTTCGCACGAGAGATCATCGGGGGTATGCTGGATGTTGCGCCGGATGTGATCAAGCGGCAGGGACGCTGGCAGAGGGGTGCTGATCGACGGTTGGATGGGTTCAGGAAGCGATGGAGGAAGTTTGACTGGACTCGTGTGCTCGTCGAGGGGTAGGATGGTAGATAATAGCCCTAGACTGGGCTTGTATGAACTAAATCGAAGTGGGAAATTCCTGTATACTGCGTTCTCAATACTTGTAGTCAAGCGCTATCCTTCTCCGGGCTCAATTGATGTTTTCCGGCTCTGTCCTTCTTTTCCGGCGAGACTATACCGGCTCCAACATGAAGCCATCCCCAGTGCATCTGTCCACACTGACACTCACGTTTTTCCTAAACCGCAAATAGTTCAACTACAGCTAGCCAATTCACAAGCCCCAGTGTTCTCTTACTGTATACTATCTCTTGTCTCTCGCATCTACTCCGAATTATTAATGCGGGGAGCTGCCCGATCTCGCGTGGGGGCATTCGTCCGCCGGTCTCGACCATCTTCTCTTTCTCTCCTTCTGTTCTCTTCTTTGACCTTTTCTCTCTTCTCGCTAAGGCTGCTATAAAATTACTCGCTTTCTTTCCAATCTCTCCCTGCATACCTCGTTGCGTCGGACTTCGCCGCCAGATCTCCCCTCCCCACCTTTCTTATCGGTGCGTCTCCGACGCCCTTCCGGCGACATGTGGATCTTGCGCACGCGAGATATATATATACCAGCATTGCCACGCAGGTTCAAATTAACTGATTGATCTAGATATTTCTAAGCAAGCATGGCTTCCAATGGCACTACTAGGCCCAAGATTCTGCTCCTGGGCGATATCGACCAGTGCGTTGATCCAACGAGAATCCTCTGCATGACTCAATGCTAATCTCGACAAACATAAAGCGCTCTTCCCTCCTGGAATGCACTGAGCGACCTCGGCGAGCTTGTGCGCCCAACAGCAACCAACCGCATCGAGTTCCTAGAGGAATGCCGCTCCGGCAAACTCGACGGCGTGGTCGCTGCCTACCGGACCTTCTTCTCCATCAGTATCACTGGGCTAGTCGATGAGGAACTGGTGAATGCACTACCGAGTTCACTGAAGTACCTCGCCCACTGCGGTAGGTCCCAGTCATTCCCAATTTAACATTCAACATTTAGTATCCCAACTAAACGAACCTTTATGAATATAAGGGGCTGGATACGACCAAGTCGACGTACATGCCTGCAGCGCGCGCAGCCCTCCCATCCGAGTCTCCAACGTGCCCACAGCAGTCGACGACGCCACCGCGGACGTAAACATGTTCCTCATCATCGGCGCACTGCGCAATTTCAACACGGGCATGCAGGCCCTGCGCGAGGGCAAATGGCGCGGCCAGCCTGCGCCGCCGCTCGGCCATGACCCGCAGGGCAAGGTGCTGGGTATCCTGGGGATGGGCGGAATTGGTCGCAACTTGAAAAAGAAGGCCGAGGCATTTGGGATGACGGTTGTTTATCATAACCGTCGCAAGCTGAGCGAGGAGCTCGCTGCTGGGGCAAAGTATGTTTCTTTCGAGGAGTTGTTGGAGGGTAGTGATGTGATTAGTTTGAATCTGCCGTTGAACGTGAGTATTCCCTTTTCCCTTCTTTCCATTAGATATACTGAACGAAGCAGAAACACACCCGCCACATCATCAGCAAGCCCGAATTCGCCAAAATGAAAGATGGCGTGGTGGTCGTGAACACCGCGCGCGGGGCAGTCATAGATGAAGCGGCGCTGGTCGATGCCTTGGATAGCGGCAAGGTGTTCTCGGCTGGGCTGGATGTCTTCGAGGACGAGCCCAATGTTCATCCGGGTCTGATGAGCAACCCGAATGTCATGCTGGTGCCGCATATGGGCACCTGGACGAAAGAGACCATGACGGCGATGGAGGAGTGGGCGATTGAGAATATCCGTCAAGCGCTGGAGACAGGGAAGATGAAGAGTCCTGTGCCTGAGCAGGCGGACCTGTAGGGAAATAATAATAATGTATATAGGCTAGATCAAATGGTTAGATGTAAACATGGGAGGTATAGAGTTCGTCGTACATAATCAGACCCGCTACGACAGATTAATCTTATCGTCTTCAACCTCAACCTACACCGCGACACTCCCTGCCTTACAACATGGCCGAATACTGGAAGTCCGCAGTAAGTCACTCATTAACCTCCCCTTTGGCCTGAATCCCTTCCTGACAGCAGCCTAGCCCCGGCACTGGTGCAAGCAGTGCAAGATCTTCATCCGCGACACGCCCTTCGAAAAGACGCAGCACGAAGCAAGCGGCAAGCACCAATCCGCCCTCAAGCGCTTCCTCCGCGAAATTCACAAGGACAATGAAATCAAGACGCGCGAGTCGCAGCGCGCGAAAAGCGAGGTCGAGCGACTGCGCCAGTCCGTTGCCGGGAGTGGCGGTGACTCCAAGGCTGGTGCGCCGTCGCGGAGCGCAGTTCCAACACCCCCAACAGCGCGGAAACAGCCCGATCGACCCGTCAGCATAGAAGAGAGGAAGAAACAGATGGCGCAGCTGGCTGATATGGGGATTGCCGTTCCGCAGGAATACAGGGCTGATATGGCCGTGGCGGGCGACTGGCAGACCATGTCCGAGACCAAGATCGATGACGAGTCGGCCAAGTTGTCGGTCGGCGTGCGTAAGCGCAAGCTGGAGGGGCAGGAGGAAGAGGAAGAGGACGAGCATGCACCAGAACCGTTTGTGAGCAAGGGCTGGGGCTCGCGGATGAGAGTGTACCCCGGTGCCCAGGAGGAAAGGGAAGAAGACTTGGATGCTCTTCTTGCTTCGACGAAGGATATCAAGAAGACGAAGACTACGGCGGAGACAGAGAAACCGGCAAATGATGCTGCTGGTCCAGATAAGAAAGGTGATGGAGAAGCGCACGCGGATGCGCAGGTCCTGGTCCAGGCTAAGACACCGGGTGGATCGGAGATCGTGGAGCAGAAGACCGAAGAGGAGGAGGTGAAGGGAGAAGAGACTGCGCCGGTGTTCAAGAAGCGCAAACCCAAGGTCATGAGGAGATAGGTGGACTGCTGGACGTTTCTGCAACATTATTGCGCCGTCTACTGTCTATAGACCTAACAGACTTGTTTGATCCCGACCAGAAAGAGAATGGTCCGCCGAACACTGGCCGCAATGCTCACTTGCATTGCTACACCACCCGTCACACTAGGATACGTTCCTCGGATGAGACCCGCCGTCTGGTATCTATCTATCTTGGAACCCCTGAATGGGTGCATTGAGGATGTCTTAACAAGGCAATCGCTAGTTAACCACTCTGTAGATCTAGAAAATCATGCATCGTCTCTAGATCCGCTCTAGGATCGTATATAGTATAACTATAGTATCCTGAATCAATCCCAGTCAATACCTACAGATATCCACCTCCAATTTATTCCGTGGTGGCTGGATAGTCCTGGTGGCCACTCTCATACTCGCCGTACTACAATTTTTTTCCAAAGCGGAGACTCGACGGGAACAGAAAGAACAGCCGCATCTCTTCAACTTCGCATCTTCACCTCTTCCGCCCTCCACATTTCACCACCACACCATCTGCCCTCCACCCTCCCTCTCAGATTGTTCCTCTCGCTCCGAGTAAGTCTCTTTACCTCTAAATCCCCATGCGATTCCCCTCTATCACCGACGTGAACCCACCTCGATCGCGCGCCGTTCGGTCTGCCCGCGCCGCCCCCGACATTCTTCTCCCCGCTCCCTGCCCACCCGTGTTAGTGTGATCCAATACTCTCGACGCGTGAATGACTCCCTCCCTCTGGTGCGATTGCGTTTCTGGTCTTGCGGGGGGTTGTGAGCACGGGTGGTTGCTGTTGCGGTTACCCTGACAGAAAGGAACAATTTGCGACAGCAACCTTCACAACCCCAGCACACGGTGGGATTCAATCATGAAAATGCCCTAAGTGGATCTGGATGTTGCACTCAAGACGATCTCAGGCATGATCGTAGCCGCTTCCTCGATCTCTTGACCCTGCAATACACCACTGTTGCGAGACACTGAGGCATCGCATCATCTGAGCCCCTACACTGCACGGCTTACAATCCCTTCCCATTCTCCAAAGTCACTTGTTACGCACTGTTTGGAATGTGTCTTTCATATAACCTAACGCTAACGCATCTAAAAGTTTGACAGACCTAGGGAATAAATGATTTATCAGTTCCACCCCGATCGATCTGGCATGCTGTCTCTGTCCAGCGATAAACCACATCTCCTTTGATCCTGAAACCCGACCGGCGCACTTCCATTGACCCTGATCGGGAACCCTCACTTGAACGTCCTACACCACTTGGGAGGAGGCTGTGAGATCAGAAATGGTGGACCTGACAGACTCAAGCGCCCCTCCCGGCAAATCGACTCCCTCATCGGAGACGGCCAATGCGCCCGCTGCGGAGACTAGCCAGCCTCCAGTACAGTCTGCGGAAGAGACCTCGAGGGAGAATGAGCTCCCAGCGGAAACCCAGCAGTCCCCCACGGTGACCGAGCAGCCGGTCACAAATCAGCAGGCGACAGATGGAGACAACTCAGTGCAACAGACTAGCGAGTCTACGCCGGTGACAGATGGGGCCATACCCGCTGGTGGCCCGTCCGGGGCGACGGCCGAGTCGAGTCTGCCCGCGTTTGATACTTCGCTCCCGTCAGTGGGCTCAACGGCAGCAGAAGACCTGTCCCTTCCGGCCATTGACACAAATTTGCCGAGCCTGGACTCCTCTCTGCCGGCCATTGGAACAGATATTCCGACGATGGATGGATTTCACCATGACGGACAGGCCAACCAGCATGCGAACCCCGGGAACGACCAGTCCGGGCACTCCAATGGTCCAGGCTCGTATCAGCAACCATCCAATGGCGCATATCAGTATTCGCAGAGCCCTACGACACCGCAAAATGGGGGGCAGCAAGCATCGCAGCAGCATCAATTCCAGCAACAACCTTACCACCAACAGAGCCCGGATATGTACCACAACCCCGGGGGCTTCACTCCCGCCAACGCAAACCAGGGCAATGCGCCCTCAAGCATGGCCCCGATGGCCTCCATGGGCCAGTACATGGCTGGGTACCCGTCGGATGCCGATTCGCAGATGCGGTACCAACTGCCCGATGACCCGAGCAAGATGAGCAGCCGACACAAGAAAGAAGTCAAACGACGGACCAAGACTGGGTGTTTAACGTGTCGAAAACGCCGAATTAAGGTATGTGGTTGACTTATTATTAACTATTGGTGCTTGCGGCGGATCCTCGCTTGTGCTGGGAACCCCGCCAATCGTTTATCTCCCGCATCCACCCACTTGCGAAAAACAATGCTAATGCCGACCAGTGCGACGAAGGTCACCCTGTCTGCAGAAATTGTGTCAAGAGCAAACGTGAATGCTTAGGCTACGACCCCGTGTTTCGCCCTCAGGCATCCACCCCGTCGGCCATCCAGCCTGCTGCGCCTAATCCCCCGCCGTCGCTGGTCGTCAACCCCCAAGGCCCTCCCTCGTCCTCCACACCCTCCTATCCCTCTGCGCCTCCAGGGTACGTGCCTGCGACCTCGCAGCCATACACACCCGCCCTCCAGTCCCAGTCGCCGAGCACCTCGGCCGACCCGTACGACCCTGGGACCACCATCGACCCTTCACTGGGCGCAAACCATCCAACCAACACCGCAGACATGCAAAATTCAAACAACCCACGGTCTCAGGGCGTGGAGCCTGTTTACAAATGTGAGTGCTGAACAAAAAGATTTTCGTGCGCAGAACGACAAACTCTTCGAACCGCCAACTAACCTATGGAATCGTACTAGCCAAAAACCTTCTCATGACCGACCTGATCGCTCTCCGAGGCATTGCGCCTCCTGCTCCCCACCCCATTGGCACCCTTCCACCCGGTCGTTTGGAGGAGATTCAGGCCGTCTTCTTGGCCACATACGCCCCAGCGATCGACAAGTTTCTCGAAGTGAAGTGGTACTCCGAGAAAGCGCTCTCGACTCTGATGGCAGACCAGCAACTCATGGCGGACTATTCGGCGTTGATTGATGCATTTAATGGGTGGGACCTCAACGAACACGAAACCATCGCTCGCCTGGAGAGCTTTGAGGCCTCGGTCATCTGGCGGAGCATGAGTCTGTGCCGCCAAATACCAGACGCAGTGAACGGGCAATTCGGCACGGACTGGAATCTGCTGGTGGCATGTGCGCGCCTCAACGTGATCGAAGCTCTCCTGACATGGAACCACCTGGATCCCAATCCCTTGTCCCGGGACATGTTCAGGGTTGCGGCCAGGCCGCCCAGCCCGCCAGACCAGTTCATGCACCGCCAGCTGGATTTCTGGGACGAGATTGGCGAGTTCCTGACGCTGCACGACAACGAAGCCAGCTCGGCCAAGGAGATCGATGACACACTCTCCCGCTGCCGAGCCTTGCTGGACACGTACGAGAACCGCGATATCATCTACTCGATTGCCATCGCGCGCCACCTGGGTCAACGCTGGGCGGACTTTCCAAACACCTTGCCCAAGGTCGGTTACACCAACGAAAAAGAAGCCGGCACGAAGCTTTACGTCGCGCAGAAGTTCCTGGAAGATGAAGCCGAAGGAAAAGGCACCACCCAGATCTACAAACGCGTCTGCTGCATGGCCGTCCGCTCTTGGTGGTGTGCTCGCGAGTAAATGTTCTTCTTCTCTTTTTTGATACCTCAATATACCGGGTGGGTGTTGGGCGCCCGGATGTACCCACCATCTGGTTTTGATCCCAGAGGTGTCTCTTGCGTCTCGCGTAGATTAACTATGCGGGACAGCATAAAACAAAATAAGACTACATCATCATGGTCCAGGCGTTGCGTTTCGACGATTTCATGTTCTACCGGACGGTTTACCAGGGACTGCGCAGCGACCACGTGAGCGACTACGAACGGCGTTTCCGGCCTTTTTTCCCTTCTTCTACCCGTGCTTTTCTTTGTTTGTGTACATTCTCTTTTCTTCTTCTTCTCGTCTGGATGGGATCTCATACCCGCCTTGGCCTGTCTTCCGGGAGTTTGGCAGGGTTTATTTTCTTGCAATAGTTAGCTGGACAGACAATATCAAAGTGCAAAAAAGTTCAAATACCTTGATTCCTTCCTTGATTCGTAATAATGGCGACACGAGACACCTGGGTTGGTGGTCTTACGGATCCGGGCAACAGAGACTCGCAGGTAACCTTTGGGTGCGATTAGTATGATTCCAAGGCTGATCGCTGGCCCCTGAAAACCAGGTGCCAGCGAACTATTCATGTACAGGCCCCCGTACACCGCTCGTCTATGCGCTCGTACATGCGATCAGTGCGCAGCTGTGAGGCAGACACATATACCGTCACACCTCAACCCGGATCTTGATCTCCCCCGTTCCCACTCCCACACCCCCCTGGACCAAGAATCCGATATCCCGCGTTGAGTCCACGAGTTCAACCTCCCGTCTAACGAACCGGCCTGTGCCCTGAGGCGTCTCCTCAGCCTCGCCTCCATCCTCGCTACTCTCGTCCCAGTCCCCAGCGTCGCCGTCCTCACCATCCCCATCCCCATCCACAGGATCCCATTCATCCGTCTCCCAGACCAGTCGAAAGCTATACGGCCGTAGTCCGAAGAGTCGGGAGACGAGCGCTTTGATCTGGTACGTATCGAACGAGGAGGGGATCTCCTTGATGCGGATATCTGGGAGGACCGAGGGGGCATTCTTGGATACGTTATCATCACCTGTCTTCTCTGTCGAAGACACAGCAGTAGCAGTAGGAGCAGCAGTAGAAGAAGATGAGGGCAGATAAAAAGCCATCTTAACAAGTCTAGCAGCAACAGACCGCGGATGAACAATCCTTCCACTGGAAGAATCAGAAACCGTCGCGCGCAGGACACGCGGTTCGCCATACTGATCACAGAGAACAGAGTAGCGAGGATGCGCTGCGAGAACAGCCTGTTCCTCGTCTGCGGGGGTAGCGGAGAGTTCCTTGGCGATGAGCGAGAGGTAGTACATCTCCGCGTTTGCGCGGTCGTTGGGTTTGATGGGACTGTAGTTGAGGGTGGTCAGGGATGGCGGGAGGCGGGACAGTGTTAGCATGAATGCCTCGTCGACGGTCATTGGTTTTGCAGAAGATTCGGCTAGTGAGGGTGGGAGGGGTGGTTGCTCGTAGAGTGGGTTGCCTGAGAGGCGGAGGGTTGTTAGGCCCGGGAAGATGGTTGGGAGGATGTTGATGAATGTCCAGGTTGGGATGTTGTTGCGGGAGAGGTCGAGGGAGCGGAGGGTTGGTGGGAAGTGGAAGGATGGAGGTAGAGGTGCCTCCTGGATAGTGCCGATGTTGTTTCCCCGGAGGGAGAGGTGTTGGAGATTGGGGAGAGAGGTTAGATGGTGTAGGGTGGACAGCGAGGTGAAGTCGTTGTGTTCTAGTGTCAGGGTGGTGATGGTGCTGGAGGGAAGAGGTCGAGTTATTTCGACCAGCTCGTTGGCTGATACCGTAAGTGACGTGAGAACAGGGAATCGAGATGTCAACGCCGCAATCTATAATGACCTGGTCAGAAAGATCGGATATATTCCATGTTGGCCACTTACCTCGTCCCACGTCAGGAGCGTGTCCTCCAGATGCAGCTCAGTGATTCCCTCAAAGATGAAGCCTTCTTCCAGCGGTTGAAATCGATTTCCACTGTATTTTCAAATCAGTTTGGAATCCCATAAAGAAACAAGCTCGGAGAACATACCTCAACCTCAACCGCTTCAACTGGTTCAATGAATCGCAAATCTGCCACACGTCGCGCCACCGACTCAGCAAACTCCGACTAAGATCCAACTCGATGATTTTCGGACACGTCTGCATGATCTCTCGACAAGCCTGCTCCACCAGTGACTGATCAGGCTCGTAGGAGGGAAGCACCCCGACCACGCACATGCCATCCAGCAAGACGATGCGCAGCTCCGCCAGCTCAGCGAGCTGTTTCCTGATCTTGTCGAAGCCGACCTCTTCCACGACCTTGCCGCTAATCTCAATGGCATTCTTCTGCCCTGCATCACCCTCACCCTCTGCTGATGCGTGACGAGCAAGTTCCTGCTCGAACTCGGACGCATACTTGTCTCGCAGAGCCTCAACGAAGCCCCGCGGCGGGTCTGATGGCCTGGATGGGCGCACAAAGGACCCGGCTGTGGAGTGGTGGCTCTTGCCTGGGAGGGATACTTGTAAGAAAGGGGTTCGGTTCCTAGATAATGGAGGGTTCGACTCTTACAGGTAAAATAACGGGTGCCTTTATGCTCGCCTGCATGCTTGCCCCGGGTGGGATCGTCCCATTCGACGCCTAGCCAGTCGCCGGTGGTGCCTTCAACGGTGCCGACGTAGCGGATGGTGCAGCGATGGCCATCGAATGACCTGCGCTGACCGACAGACATGTTGACGAGCTGTTTTATCGATATAGAGTTGAGTCGCGCATCGAATTCATGGTTGAGACGCAGGATCCTTACATAAGCCACTCCGTCCACTTCTTCAACGGCGACTTTCTCTTCTCTGCTCTTCTTCAGCCAGCAACAGCACGATGGATTACCAGGTAGGTCCATATTCTCCTGTCTCAAAATATCTCAGTTTCTCTCTACAGCACCACTAACCCACTCTCCAGAACCGCGCAGGCTCCAAATTCGGCGGCGGCGGCGTCGCCTCCCAATCCGCCTCCAACGCCGACCGACGCGAGCGACTACGCAAGCTCGCGCTGGAATCAATCGACCTAGACAAAGACCCATACTTCTTCAAAAACCACGTCGGAAGCTTCGAGTGCCGACTATGTCTAACAGTGCACCAAAACGACGGGTCCTACCTGGCGCACACGCAGGGCCGGAAGCACCAAACGAACCTAGCCCGGCGCGCAGCGCGAGAGCAGCGCGAAGGGAAAGGGCAAGACCCCTCGGCGGTCCCGGGCGCGATGGGCGTGCAGGTCAAGAAGCAGATGATCAAGATCGGGCGGCCAGGGTACAAAATCACCAAGATTCGGGATCCGTTGACCCGGCAGATGGGTCTGCTCTTCCAGCTGCAGTATCAAGAGATCACGCCTGGCGTGCAGCCACGCGTGCGGTTTATGTCGGCGTTTGAGCAGAAGATCGAGGATCCGGATAAGAACTTTCAGTACCTCGTTGTCGCGGCGGAGCCGTATCAGACCTGCGGGTTCAAGTTGCAGGCGAGGGAGATCGACCGGCGCGAGGGGAGGTATTGGACCTGGTTCGATGAGGATAGTAAGGAGTTTTGGGTGCAGATTATGTTCAAGACCGAGCGCGAGGAGCGGTTTAGTGGTGTGCCTGGTCTGGCGCCGATGCGTTCTTGATCTTTGCTTTGCTTGTTTTCGGCATGGGTAAAATGGGAACCGGCGCTTTCTTGTGGTCTTCTTGTTTATACAATACCTAGCGATGGGCTTTTATTCAAATCGAGGAGAGTTAACAACACTCATCTTTTGTGCTGTAGTACTGCTGGTGGACTACAAGACCTCTACATGGCGGGGATAACCTGTCACTAAATGCTTTTATTTGTTCTCAAAGATCCCGCGATAACGATGCAGACTCAAAAATGAGATGCACGAGGGTCAAACCCCTCCTAGGACATGACAAGAGATGAAGTGAATGAAAGATCGTCTCACGCGAAAGATGCAGGACGTTAGATACCAAAGGGAAAACCAAAGATGGCGCTTCGGAGGTCATGATCAGCGGAAAACAAAATCGCGCTTGGAATGCTGGAAGACAATTCGTAGAGAGATATGATGATAAAAGAGGGCGAGCCCTGCCCACCCTTTCTTTCCAAGTGATGCATGCCTTTAACTCCCCTGGAACGCATTGAACGCCTTGTACGTGTATCCAATGAACGGCAGACTCATCTCGGCCTCCTGCGCATCCGGCATGGCGCGCGCCTGGGCGCGGTGGATGGCACTGGTGTCCTCCTGGGGAATCTCGTCGATGGGGAAGTACGACACGTCGATGTTGGAGCTGAGGCGCGGCTCGAAGGGCGCGCGGATTTTCCGCAGCTGCTCCCACACGACACCCCGGAAGAAGGGGTGGTTCTTGATCTGCGTCGCGCCGCCATGCTGGCCACCTTCGCTGCCGATACGGTGCTCGGGGTCGCACAAGAAACTAGATCCAGTTAGTCTTGTTAACAATATTTTAGAAGGTGGGGGGTCCTACCTCCGGATCAATGACTCCGATTCACGAGACAGGACCAGCTCCTCCGGGAAGTAAAGGCATTCTCTCCAGTTGACGATCTTGCGGTAGGTGTCGGTGGTGTCCTCGGCGCAGAACGGCGGCCAGCCCACCAGACACTCGAACATGATGGCACCCACAGACCACCAATCACACAGGTAGGTGTAACCCTGGCCGTTGAAGATCTCAGGGGCAATGTAGTCGGGGGTTCCGACAGTTGAGTACGCCATGGCACGGCGTGATTTCCGCCAAGTGTTGATCTGTCCACGGTTCGACACGGTCAGGTTAATGGCATCGTTGAAGTAGCCGGAGTTACGGTTCCGGTCCTTTGATGTCGAGTTCTTAAGCAGGTTCTGGTAGTATGCGTTATCGTGAGTCTTCTTGCCTCCCGTCGAGAGACCAAAGTCGGTGAGCTTGACGTGTCCGCCACGGTCAAGGAGAATGTTGTCGGGTTTAATGTCACTGGGAAAGTTATGAGCTTTGAACCGAGACAATGCAGAATGGGTATACCAACCGATGAAGGAAGCCAAGCTTGTGGACAGCTTCTATTGCCATCACCACCTCGGCCATGTAAAAGCGCGTGATGTCCTCAGAGAAGATCTCATACTTAATGAGCATGGTCATCAAGTCACCACCAGGCAAGAACTCCATCAGCAGATAGAGGTAGGCAGAGTCCTGGAACGAGGCATGCAGCTTCACCAGCCATGGGTTGTCCTTGGAGTCGGCCAGAATATCACGCTCGGCACGGACGTGGGCCAGCTGGTCCTTCTTAAACATCTCTGTCTTGATGAGAGACTTGAGGGCATAGATCTTTCCATCGGTCTTGCGTTGCACCAGCTTGACCTCACCGAAAGCACCCTTGCCAATGATCTTGATGGTTTGGAAATTTTGCGGGGTCTCCTTGGTCCGCAGGAACCGCAGGAAGTCTGACTCCCGCTTGGCCATTGTATCCGCATCCTGGCACTTCTTCTCGACGGGCACATTGGGTTCACGAAGAGTCTTATCAAGATCCACAGACCTATAGCAGACGAAAATTGTTAGACAGTACTCAAACTTTGACAGAACTGATACTTACCGCATGTTGCGATCACGGGCCCGCTCAATGTTTTCATGAAAGAATACTGTCACTAGTTCCTTTGCAGCTTTGCCCCGTTTGTGAACATTCTCCGAGTATCGCTCCGGCAAACGCTGCAAGTCCTCATTCTCGGCTGGCGGTCGGGGGCTGCGAGGCACCGGCGGGACAAGGTGTGCGGGCTGCTGGCCCTGAGTCTGGCCAGGAGAGCCGGCAGTGCGAGGGCGGGCAGGCGAACCCGCCCGGTTGAAGAAGCCACCACGGTTGGCGTTAAGGTCTTGGTTGGAAAATTGCTGAACCAAGCCATTGGTGCCATCATTGGGGTTGGGGTAGCCCATGCGGGACTGGTAGGCGGGCTGGGGCGATTGCAGTTGCTGGGCATGCTGCTGCTGGGCATACTGCTGCTGTTGGGCGTACTGCTGTTGCTGCTGGGGAGGGTAGGGGTTGGTCATGAAGTAGCCGGGAGCATAGGCAGGGTTGGAGGGGTCGACATAGTCCTGGGCCCCCTGAGTCTGGTAGATAGGCTGGGGAAAGGCGGACGGGGTGGTGGGATAGGCGCGGCTGTTGGGCCCCGCGTAGTTGTTGTTGCGGTTGTCGTACCCAAAGTTGAGATTCAGCCGGTTGTTGTTTTGGTTGTTGGGATTGTTAGGATCCATGATGGAAGCCAGAGTAGAGAGGGAAGGGAAAAGGGGAGGGGAGAGGATAGGAGGAAGAAGAAAAAGAAGCGATGGTTGACTCCTGAGCCACCGCTCCTTTTGCTCCCCGCCCTGCCGCCCGAGACAAACTACAGCAAACAATGGAGTAAGTATATGTTGGCCACCGTAGACTCGATACTATTATTGTCGATTGCCCTAATGTATAGTCCTCCATAAATTGAGACTACCTATTGATCTCGTCTGCCATTCACTCTAGCCCTCCCATCTGTCTTTCAACTCACCCCTCCTCAAGCAACATTCTGAGACCGGGCAATCCAGGGGGAGGGGCACGAGACTGGAGGTGATCAACAGATATGCTAGTCACATTGCGGAACAGACTGCTTAGCTAGAGCACAGTCCCTGTTATTCTATGTAGTCCCTGTATTGACCATATCGGGCAAGCAAGTACCAGTTAGTTATACTATGAGGCTATCATCGAAAACCGCACAATAGCAGACTATCACGTATACCTAAACCTGCACAGATGTTGTCTCTCAGCTCATACAAAAAAAAAAAAATATGAATATCAACTTCTGCTCGTGCATTCATCCATCCATGATTCTGAATCTTTTCTGTCGACTGAATATCACATGACCAGCGGATCAACCTGCTCCCGTCGGCTTCCTGAACTTTTTCCCTTCCAGCTGCTCAGGTCAAAGTACACTCCACAGCTCAAACACCAGGATGGCAGAATCCTCCTCCAGTTCTGCAGCTGGCTCCAGCCAGCCAGCAGCACCCCAAAAGCCGGGCAATCCAGCTTTCAGGATGATGGGTACATTGCGAACCAAACATCACTTCAAAAAAGAAAAACCGCTAATCGAGATGAATCTCTACAGGAATGCCCAATTTCCGCTTTCGCCTCCCCTCTCGCAATTGGATGATCTTCTTCACCATCACAGGCTCCTTCGCAGGCACCTTGATCTACGACCGCCGGGAGAAGCGCCGCGCGCAGCAGAAATGGTGCGAGCTCGTGGCCCACCTCGCCAAGGAGCCCTTGCCCATTGAGCAGATGCGCCGCAAACTGACCGTGTACCTGGCTGCACCGCCCGGTGACGGGCTACGGATCGCGAGGGACCATTTCAAAGAATACGTCAAGCCCGTTCTTGTGGCTGCTGCGTTGGACTATACCGTTGTCGAGGGAAGACGGGAGGGCGACGTGCGAGCTTCGACCGCGGAGAATATCAGGAAGCTGCGGCGCAAGAATGGAGAGTCGAGTTCCGTTGTCGAGGACGTTGGCGTTGAGCAGGTCGTTGCTGAGACGAGGAAGAATATGGGCATCGAGGATGAGCCAGGTCCCAAGGGAGATCTGGTTATCGGGCGACATACCTGGAAGGAATACGTTCGGGGACTTCATGAGGGCTGGTTAGGCCCGTTGGATCGTCCGCTACCTCCGACAGCACCAGAAGAGGTCCCGACTCCGGACGCTTATGCGTTGGAGGGCGCAGATGGCACCAGCGCGGAAAGCGAACTCCCAACAACCGAGCAAGAAAAACCGGACACCGAAAAGGAAGAGAAACCCTCCAAGTCCGCCGGTCCCACAGCTGCATACATCTCCCCCGCCGACTACTCAACCGCCAGCCTCCCGCCAACCATCCCCCAGTCCTTCGACAGCTCCGTCCCCGTGCCATTCCCCCACATCCTCGGCTTCCTCAACACCCCCAAGCGGATGTACCGCTACCTGACACAACGTTACCTCGCCGAGGACATCGGCCGCGAAGTAGCCGGGATCGTGCTCGCTGCCAGCGCACGCCCCTACCACGACGATGCATCCAGCGCAGACTCCAACTGGAGCGATAGCGCCAACATCGATCCAAAATCTTCTTTCGACAGCAATCATAACAGCAGCACATTCACCGACCTCGCGCCCCGCACAGCCGAGCAGCAAACCACTCTCGAGGCAGCCGAGCAGGAATGGCACAAGTCCGTGCAGAAGGAGAGTTCATTCGAACAGTCGGAGCGCGAATGGCTCGACGACGTCGTTCTGGACCCTCGCATTGCCTCGCGCATGCAGCGCTCCGTGCTCTCTGTTGATGACGAGGCTCGCTCGCGGCGCATCGCGAGCGGTGAGGAGTATATCCTCGGCGAGGAGCGGCCTGCTCCTGTGCCCTTCTGGCAGCGCATGTGGATTAAGTACGGGTATGGGGAGGATGAGGAGACACTTAGGCGGAAGCCGATCCTGGGTAATATCGATGGAGAGGATGTGGAGTAAGCATTCGGCCCTTTTGTGACAATATATAGACCGTGGACGGACGGTTTGGTTGGGGAGGTTGGTGTTCCCCTTTGGCATATCCGGATGTTCCTCCTCTCTCTGCTCGTTTGTGTATATTATTTTCTATGATATTAGAGGCGCTTATTATTGGAATGTATATGACAGAGTCTCTGCATTGGATCCTGCGCTGATACTGTAGTAGCTACTGAGTGCCTTTCTCTACAGCAACAAGATCCAACTGAACCCATAAATACTGGTACATTTCATGTCTGTTCTCTCTTACTAGATACCTTCACAGAGACAAAGCCATATAGCCATATATGATCTTCCCCATCGCTCCTCTCCCACGTAATTTTTCTTTCTTTTCTCGCTTGACACCACCGTTCCTCTACCCCGGTACTCACTCTGCCACCTAGTTAACCGACGCCAGCACGGGAAAACCTCCGCCAGAACATGCATGGCTGGCTATATATGGTTTGCCGAGTGGCAGGTAATCGTATGAAAATAATGTGGCCAGGCCACAAACAAGCCGGAGACCGGTTTACTCCAGCCGAAAGACAGAAGACTCGGGCCACTTCTTGCTCGCCTTCTGTGCATACGCCGTCTTATCGCTCTCCCACTTATTCAGCAGGTCCAGCGCGGTAACAGCTTCGTCGATGGAGATGCCCGGCAGATCGAGGGTAGAGAGCAGATCTTGCTCGCATTGGGCCTTGGATGCCGGGTTAAGAATCTGGCGGCCGTCCAGAGCGGCTTGCACGTGTGCCGCGCTGCCCTTATTGGACGAAAGGAAGGATTCGTTCCATTGCTCGAGATTCTGGGATTTCGGGAGCAGTTTGTCGAACTCGGCGTTGACGACCTCGGCGACTTGCGAAGGGAGAGGTTCCGAGAGGCTGTCTAGGGCCTTGCGGAAGCGCAGAAGCTGGAGGTGGAGGGTTGGGTTGGAAGGGTCGATGGCGTGCGCGGCTGAGAGGCATTTCACCGCGAGCAGGTGCTTGTCTGGAAATGATGTGTTAGTTTATGTCAATAGTCAAGGGGAGGGAGACTCGTTCAGAACTTACTTCTCCGGAAATGGACCTCGAAGCCAAGACATTGCGCCTCGATATTCTGGGAGCTGAGCTCCAGCAATGGGTTCAGGAACTTCAGAACATCCTTCAGGGGCTCCTTGGTCTGGACCAGAGTGTTGCCGAGTGGGTCCTGGTCCTCTTTCTTCACCTCGCCGTCGGCGCCCTTAGCAGTAGCCGACGCGGCTTTCCGGGCCTCGCGCTTGTCAGCCTCAATTTTCTCCAGGCGCTGTTGCTCCTTCTTGGCTTTCTTGAGGGCCTTCTTCCGTTCTGATTCATCGCTGGCATCAAGTCCATTGGATCCGCTCGGGATGGGTCCGTGAGCAAGATCCGGCTGGTCGTGCAGGAGCAGATACGCCTTGACGGCAGACAGGGCCATCCTTGCGTAAAATGGGTGCTCACGCAGACGATCTTCCCAGCGCACCATATCCACGTAGGCCCGGATCATACCCTTGCGCAGGGAAAAGCTGTGGAAGTCGAACTGGTCTTCTTGCCATGTCTCGAAGATGTTGTAGACCGAGTGGAAACGCTTGAGCGCGAGGCCCAGCTTCTTCTGTCGCAGGAAGGCCTCTCCGTCCTCGGTCAGGAACCACACGCACTGCATTTCGTGAAGATCGCCCAGCGGGCCACCGACGGTCTCGTTACGCGTGAACTTGCTCATGTTGTCCAGTGCCTTGTCGTTTTCGTTGTTACGGAGCTGGTACTTGGCTGCCTTGGAGTTGATATACCGGTCCCTGTCGTCCAACAGCCTGGCCTTCTCCATTTCCTCTGCTGCCTTCTCTGGATTACCATAGTGCTTCCAGATGCGCGCCTTGGTCATTTGATATTCCACAGCCTTTGGCGAGAGTTCAATGGCCTTGTCGACGTACTCCATTGCCTTGGGCAGATCGCGACTGAGGTAGTAGTTGTAGTGTTGAGCCAGGAAATAATAGCTTGAGGACATAAACTCGTTGTTGTCGCCATTCGATTCTGCGGAGCCATTGGACTGGGGAGCCTTGCCGGAGACATATCCCTCCACCAGTGTCGGCACCATGTCGCGTTTAGTTGGGTTGGTGTAAAGGTGCTTGATGTTTGCGAAAAGCGATGGCACGCCCTTCTTAAGCATGCGCTGCATGTATGCATCGGCCGCCTGCTTGAACTCCTCGCCTTGCAAGAAGTCCAGCGGAATGCGCCGAGCGGCGTCGCCGCGAGGGTACTTCTCCACCCACTCGTCGTAGAGGGCCTTTAATGCCTTGTGGTCGTCCTCCGAGATCCCCTTGGCCTTGATCAGGCCATTGTAATAGATAGAGTTCTCCGGATTCCGTTCCAGAAGAGCAGTGTATGCTGCCTCCGCCTCCGCCTTGCGGTTTAGCCGCAGGAGGTAGTCCGCCTTCATCTCCATGACCGCAAGCACATCGGTACACCGGTAGCCGACCTCCTCAAGGTGTTCCAAAGCCTTCTCGAGGTTCCCAGACTCGGCAATAATTGTGTTCTTGTACAGGACCGCCTCGGAGTTCTCCATGTCGGCGACCGGCTGCGTTTCCTTGAGGGTGTCCTCATACGTCGTCAAAACCTTCTGGGCCTCCTCCAGATCCCCGGCCAGGTGGTGCGCAATGGCTAGCGCGGTCCAATTCTGGCGGAATCCCGGACGAGCCTGCAGCATGGTGCTGCGGCTCTGGATGTATCCCTGGTAGTCGCGCATCTGCATCTGGAGCAGGGCCAGGTCGCGCTGGATGGGCTGAGACTCGGGCTCGAGGCGCAGGGCAAATCGGTAGGCCTTGATGGCCTCCTCGTAGTTCTTCTCGGCGCGGTATAGCAAGCCATAGACGTGCCAGGTGATATGCGACTTCATGTCGTTGCGCAGGGCCTCCTTGGCTAGAGCAAAGGCCTCCTCCGGCTGACCCAGATGGCTCATAATCAGGGCCTTCATTGCCTGCGTATCGCCATGTTTGGGGTTCTTCTTCAGAACCTGCTCGGCCGCCTTTATGCCTGTTTTGCAAGGGACGGGTCTGTGAGTGATCCGGGTCGGGGAGCGGCGGGAGGGAGCGACATACCTTTCTTGTACTGCTTCATCTCGAAGTTGCGGACCACCTGCCGAAACAGGGACGCATCCTTGGAGTTCAATGGTTGCGGCATGGTGGGCGATGGGCGGAAGTTGGAGTTGTGCGAGGAAGAAGACGAGGTTGGCTGTGTGTGGGGGGGAAGAAGGACTTCTGCCGCTTTCCGCCGATAAGATAGGTGGAACTCGACTATAGAGATCTTGTACTACTACGTATGCAGGAACTCGACGTGGTAGGCCCGATTGTAAAGACATTGTAATAAAATGATTGATTGTTTTATCTCCAAGAGATATACTGGATGTGGGGATGCTGAGGCCCTCAAGAAGGAAGATATTCCAGGTGTCTACTAAGTTAGGGCTACAGTGTACGGGCTATAGTGTATAGACTCAGGCAGCCAAGAAAATCCCATTCATCTAATAATACAACCTGGGAAGAACAACTGAATACAACGAACGAAAGAAAGAAGACCCTCGTTATCCCAAACTCCAAACAAATCAAACAACAATACACAAGGGCTGCCTGAATACAAGAACAACATGAATCCAAAGAGCCAGTACAAAACCCAGAAAGAGTGAGCAGGCGTAAAAGCAAACATCATCTGATTCTTTCATCACTTCTGCTTCGGTTGCTTATTCTTCGGACGGTTCAAGTAAGTCCGGTTGCCAGCTGCATCGTACGACCATCGGCCATGGTTGTTTGGGTTGGCGACAAAACCCTTGGGGACGGTGGGTTCCAGAAACTCGAGGGTCACCTGCGGCACGTTTGCAGGCTTCTGTACAGGCATTTGAATAGGATTCTGGGAAGGCATCTGAGTGGGTATCTGTGGGGCTGTCGGAGGTCCTGTCCAGGCCCAGCACAAAGGGTAGGGCAGGGGATAATAGGGAGGTCCCAGGTTCAACGGCTCAATATCATGGTCCGGGCTCGTAAGGACAGGAGCAAGAACAGGGGTGGAAGGAATCGGAGGACTCGGGGACTTGACTTCAGGGTTGGTCATCAGGCGCTTCTCGGGGCGGCGCTCCTCAGGATTCTCCTCGGAAGCCCGTCTCTTGCCCTTTCCGTTGTCGTTGCCGTTGCGCACAGAAGTAATGCTGGGAGAAGAAGGGACTGTATTCCCCGAGTGACAGAGACTGGGGGATGTGCTGGGTTTCCTGGCCGACGCACATCCATTTCCTAAAGTCGAAGTCAGTCCAAAACTTGTTGCAATGCAGGTTCGCCGCTGTTGCATACCATAGTCTCCAAGATCGCCGACCTGAAACGAACGCGATCGCGGAAGACCATCTTCATCGAACACCTTCGGATCGATCTCGTGCAGAATAGTGGAGCCCGCAGCCGGAGGTCCACCGTTCTCCCAGGTTTTGGGGTTATAATAGTCGAGAAGATGGGCGCTGGAGAGACAAGTGCCATCATCGGCCTCGAGCCAGTTGTCGCCGTCGATGAACTTGTCGAAGTCCTCCAAATATGCCGACTCGAACGATCCCATCTCGGCAGGAGAAGTGAGGCTCATGCTGAGGGTATCCATGTGGTTTGGATGCATATTTGAATCGTTGAGGAACATGGCTGTCGTGAAAATGATGGAAAAGAAGGTATATACCAGAAAGAGTGATAATTAACCCAAATGCGGACCTTTTCCTGGATGGACTTCCTGGAGGGGCGAAAGGTGGGTTTCGAAAATGAGAATGCACCGGAAAGCAAAGAGCGAGATGACAGTGAATAAAGGGTGGTAAGGTCTGATGATGAGAGCAACGAGGGTGATGAAGGAGAGAAGAGGAAGGACGAGTGCAGTCTGGGGGCGACCCGGATTTACGCTGTCGATGAGTATGGCTCTCGTCGCATTATGATGTCGATGTCGGGACCGAATTGGGAGGAATTTGCAGTTGGATGCTGGGGATTTCAACTGTCAACCACGGAAGCACCGACAAACTCCCAACAGACCGACTGGCGATTCTCCTCTTCCGACTGAAGAGCCAAAACGGACCAACCGTCCCTTCCCTCCACAGCGGCCTTGCCCGGCGTCCACGCAGAAAGAACGACCCAGGATGCAGTAAAACCAGGTTTCGTAGCATGTCTGCCGATGCCCAATCCAGGCACATTGAGTCAGCAAAACCCCCAAAATAAGCTTGGATCAACTTACAGCAGAGTATGGAACAGTTGTATGGCCCAGGTGCTCGATATCAAGCCACGCCATTTTAGGCAAACCAGATCAGACGGTTGTGCGGATTCATGGTCTGGCACACTGTATCGACAGAGGTAAGGGTCCACTTCATCATCCGCAGAGACTCGGGGGGATTGCAGTTGAACCATGGCAATCCACTCTGCCAGAGAACCGCATTTCTCCTGAATTTCGTCCTCGGCCTTGCTTTCGGACAATATACTGCCCTGTAGATTTGGCGTGAGAACGCGCCGCTGCTCAATGCGGAACGGTGCGCAGTCCAGCCACTGTGGCTGCAACTTGTGGATGGGCTTTTTATCTGCGTAGTTACCAGTATCAGCCCAGTTCCTGGGGAAACAAATTCACAACAGAACGTAGACCGCACCCTCTTTCGGACTCGGCGTTGAGTCTTCCAAATCACAAAATAACCAGGCCAGGGACTGATTCAGGACGTTCTTGAAGGCCCACACGATTCTCTCAAAGCCCTGCTTGCCATGGAGCATGGAGGGTAACCGCAAATTCAGCTGCACCACTATTCGAATCAGTCGTAGTCCGTGATACGACCGTTTGTTGGGACCTACAGTATCTTTCCTTTCCATGTTTCCTGCCACCACTGCGACACGGCTTGCCTGACAGCCCCGTCCGCTCGAAAATCTCTCTACCAAGCTCAATTTGGAGAGTGCCTGGTTTGGATTAGTCGTGATGATACATCCATAGAACCAAATCGCACACACCATCTTTTAGCATAAACACGGTCTCCGATCCGGACCGGCCCTCAGAGATCATGAGAACATTTCCTGGACATGATATTAGACTCGGTTTGTCATGGCAGTCTTTGGCATGGTATCCACATACCGGCTTTGATATACGTGTTGAAGAACTCGTGCTCCAGCAAGGCCGATGGTGGCATAAACACCCGCGCATACTGGGGATTGGCAATGCGGGCATCCAGCGCCGCCTGTACACTCGTGTATGCTTCTGCTGGAAGGATGGCCTCCACCGTATGCGCGAAGGAATGGTTGTGAATAGTCGAGAAGGGGGATTTCGTGGTGGGGATCTGCTTGGGATCGACCCAGGCAGGGAGTTGAGCGACAGTGGTGAAGCACTTTTCACGCCGTGACGCGTCGTCTTCGATATCAAACATCGCGTGCAGGAGGAACGGATGGTCCTGTGTATGCTTGGTGGTTGCGTAGGGAGGAATATTTTTCTTCAATTGACGTGCGATTAAGCTCGGCCGCTTATCAGCGCGATGATCTCAAGATCTCAACCAGACCCTTCGGTCGGGCCAGATCCATGACTAGTAGTGATGCAAGTCAATCCCCAAATTCACGGTCATGCCGACACATCTATTTTGTGCATTGGTGAGAGGGCAAGGATTGTGGACGTACAGTGGGTGCAGAGACGCAGGTAGCTTGCCCGGATGTGTTTACGCTCTGTTGATGACTATAACAACAACACGATACAAAGATATGTAAGTCAATTCCTCCAGTTAACTAGTTAAAATATCACACATAACATATCTATTTCTATAATGAAAAATCTCCATCTCGAAAAACTATAGTTCTGCCTGAGGCACCTAAATCTTCTTTCCGCCCTCACCTCCGCCGATTGTCTCTTCTCCAACCACCACGCCAGCAAGCTCCTAGAACTCGACTACCTCCACTCAGTGACCCTCCCCCCGGAGCATGCTGATGCGCCTGCCCCGCGCTGCCAATTGCCTTAGCAGCGACACCCCCAGCAGAAGCCGGTGATGGCCCCCGCCCCGCGCCGCGACCTCCTCCCCAAGGAGCTCTTCGCCTTTTCCTTCGGCAAGCTCAAGACCCAGAACTACCATGATCCGGCAGCGCGCGCGCCGGGAACTCACACGTAGGTCTTCAAGAATACCCTGTCTACCCCCGCTTCCCGCTTCCCCCAAGTCGAGCTTGCTTGCATATTGACCGATCGTTCCTCGTATAGCATCCGCACCCTCGCATGGAATCCCACCGGCCAATTAATCGCCACAGGCTCTGTGGACCGCACCCTGCGAATCTGGAACCCGGAGCGGCCTAATGTGCGCTACTCGACTGACCTGCGCGGCCACTCGGCCGGCGTCGAGAAGGTCGTCTTCAATCCCGTGCGAGACGCAGAGCTGGCGAGTTGCTCGACAGATGGGACGGTGCGGTTTTGGGACGTGCGCTCTAAGACGTGCGTGAGCCGGCTTGATATCGGCGGCGAGCCGTTTACGCTTTCGTGGTCGCCGGATGGGAGTACTATTATCGCTGGGAGGAAGGTGGGTGACTTCCCGTTTTGATTCCTGTCCGACCCAACGACAGAGAAACTATGAACGGACGGCTAACTACTGAATTTGTCCAGGATGATATTCTCGTCCCCATATCCGTCACATCACCCTCCACACCCAACATCCTATCCAACGGCGTCTCAGCCTCTCCCTCAACCTCCAAATCCAACGCATCAACCTACACAGCCCTCGAACCGCACCCACAAACCGTCCAAACGAACGCCACGACATTCTCGCACCACATCAGCACCCCCTCCTCCCCGGACCTGCACTTCTTCGCCACAACGGGCGACGGCACGGTCAAGATAATCTCATACCCATCCTTCGAAGTCCAACACACCCTAAACGCACACACATCCGCCTGCTCGGCCGTCTCCCTCTCCCCGCTGGGCCGCTACCTCGCCATAGGAGGCAGCGACGCACTGATCTCGCTCTGGGACACCACAGACTGGATCTGTCGGCGGACACTGTCTAGCGAGAACGGCGGCGCTATCCGTAATGTCAGCTGGAGCTTTGATGGACGGTTTATCTGTGGCGCGTGGGATGAGCTTGGGTGTGGTGGCCATGGGCTGGAGATCTTCCATGCTGAGTCGGGGGATAGTGTCTATACGGTTCCCACTTCGGGGAATATCAATGCGGGCATCCCTGCTGTGGCGTGGCATCCGTCGCGCTACTGGTTGGCATATTCGACTACGGCGGATGGGCCGGCGAGCGGGTTGAAGATTGTTGGTGCGGCGGGGGGCGGACTTTGAATTGATGGATTGGTTGGACTGAGTTATGGGTTCTCTGAAGTGATTATACAGTGTAATGATAGATGCCAATTGTTTCTGACGAATGATATTTTATCGGATATGGTTCATCATGAGAGAGAAGAAGGTAGTTGTTTCATTGCAGTTCATGATTATGTAGATGTAGATATAGTAAGTAATTAACCAGCATATCAACAGCAATAGCATCCATTCCTCGCCAACGGGACGAGAAGAAATGAAAATAATACCAAAAGGGAAAACACCATCCGGTCATGTATCATCACCCATCATTTTGCGCCGTGCTAAGAACCTAACCTCACTGCGCCGATTCCGCAGTGGTTGAGTGGAGATATATTGTTCCCAAATGAGCGCCATAGTTTCCAAATTAGTGCAGTACCAACAAAGTATCATTGTCCGGAATAACAACAGATCGGGAGATGAACGAGAAGAGGGGGGAAATGGAGGGAGAAAATAGAGAAAAGAGAGGAAGAGAGGAATGTCTGGCCTGGGAGGGCTGTAGGGTTGTGGTGACAGCTTCAGACGCAGACCAACCTCGGCCGGTGGATCTGGTGGGTAACAACTAATTTCTGGACCTTCCAGAGCAGAGCTGGTACTTGCAGTCATACACCTGAGGAACTCGGTAGCAGGGTCGATTGTATTCATGGCTGTTCGTGTTCAAAGAGACGAGGCGGGCCCACCAATTTCGGGGTAGTTAGTGGAGCTCTGGAAAAGACAGTTATGGTCAACCTTGTTTAGGTCATGACCGCCCATCTGACCAGGCTCACGTCGACCGCCAGTTTTCCCAACCGGTGGATTGGTCAGGTCCAGTCCCATTGAGAATATTTGCCCACTGGGCCTCGGTCAGAACTGTGCCAAAGTCCAAATTATTGTCTCCGTCCGCATCAGGATTCGGGGGGATGTCCCATCCAGAGGGCATGCTGAATGCATTAGCCACCCCCGAGGAACCCATCGAGCCTTCCGTGGTGCCTGGATACATTTGGCCTGCCAACGGATTCAGATTATTGGGTGCCTGGGAAGAAGGCTCAGTGCCAGTTGGCGAGATATGTACGGAGTTCGACGTGTCGGAGGACGTAGTAGTGGGGCCCTGGCTGGTGTAGTATGAATTCATATTTTGTTGCTTCTTGCCTGGAGAGTTGTTGTCCGCGCCGGTCATTGAGTAGGAGGTGTTGGAGGAGGAGTTCATTGTCGAGGGCGTGGGATGGTCGGACGGGGGGTTGTTCTTATCGCTCGAGCCAAAATCGGGCGAAAGGTCGACGTCCATGTCCAAGATCATTCCCGCCGCGAAATCTGGGCCCGGTTGAGTGATTGGAGGGAACGCCCGCTTTAACTCTCGTGCACGTTCTTCCGTAAATGCGGACATGGTATCTTTGTGTCGGCTAGGAAGCGAAGTTGTCATGCCATCATGTGCAGGATACTGGCTGGTGGTGGAATGCGGTCCCTCCTGCTGAAAGCTAGGTTGCGTGGGCTTGGCTGGGACGAATGTGGCAGGGAAATGGCCGGATTTATCTTTACAAAAAGATTGCTAAAGGGGAGGAAGGTCAGCTTCTTTTAGTATTTGGATAGAAACGCCCTCGAGACTGACCATTATTTGTGCAGTGTATTTGACGCTTTCCGTGAACGAAGGATTTATGGCTTGGATCCCAGTTCCTTCGAGATCAACATCCAGTTGAACAAGGAAGGATTGGGTCAAAGGGTTCTTCGACTTCATTGCGTTGAGTGCACCAACCACAAATTGTAGCGAGGACTGGACCGTCGAATCATCTGGCCGGGATTTGAGATATTGCACGAAAACACGCGCCGAGATGTATAGACAAAACGACATGAATGGATTCAACTGGCAATTATCAGCGTGAGCTATTTCTTGTGTGTGAGGCAAAACTTACATTCGTCAAGTCCATGTGGCTGATCATCTTCATGATACTCGATATCTGATTGGCAGCCACAAGACACCTGCGCTTACTTTCGGTGACAATCTGATTGGGCATCTTGTTCTTCTCGGCCTTGAAGATCGCCGCCTGATGAAGACAGATGGTCGACGTGTGAATGCTCATGTTGGCAAAAATGACATTGACATCCTCCATGCCCGTCGGGAGTCGAAGATGATCGGGCAGGGACAATGCGATATGAAGGAGAATATTATCATGGCTGCGATGACGCTTCCAAAACTCTCCATTCAGGTCATTATCATTGTCTTGTGGGCTGGGACGATGAATATGGAGGAAGTTCTTCCCAAAGAGAGAGGCCAACACCACCACGCATCCGAATGGGGATAACGTGGTGACGCCCTCGCCTGCCAGGATATCGGCAAGGCGAAGTGTTCGCTGGGGCTTGCTCTTGATAAAGGACTCTTCGGAGGCAGGCAAGTTTGTCATGATCTGTCATTTGCTGTCAGCCATCACTCAAAAAGAAAATACACCAGCTGGACAAGACTTACGTCTTGCTCATCGATGAGCATGGGCCAGCCGGTACCAATACTCGCATAGCGATCAGTGCAAAAGGCCATCCAGAATGTTCTTCTGCGTTCTTCGCGATCTGTCCAGTCTCGGGGTGGCAGTATAGTCTGTTTGACATCAAGATTTTCGCCATCCAACCGGTGCAATCCCATCATGAGTGCTAGCCGCGCGGCCTTGCCGACACTCAGCCATGCTCGTGGGAAGTAGATCATGCGGAATTCATATGTGCCAACGAGAATCCAGGTTTGACAGTGCCTCACACTGACCACGTTCTCCCCGTAGCCCTTCATCTCATCCATATCGGCATACTTGCGCGCTCGGTTGTAGAAGTGGACGTGTAGGAAATTATATTTGTCACTGACAGACGCCGCATGACACCACATAATGTATCGCAGACAGATCGGTGGCCGCATATGCGGCGCGAGGTTTAATGCCGCATAGTATCGAGGCCGGTGGATAATAGGCAGTATCGGGTGGACTTTCTCAAAGTAGATATGCTCCCTGGAAAGACGTTAACTCGGCTGTTTCGCGGGGTCTAGTGTTCAGGCCACATACAATTCATCAATCACGTCCTGCGTAGGAAGCGGCTCTTCCAGACCTAAGCTGATCAGGTCCCACGAAGGGTCATTGGGTATGCTCTGTGGTGCAGGGGGGAAAAACATCTGAGCCGGCTGCGATGTAGAGGCCGCATTCGAGGTGGGCATTGGTCCCTCCATTCCCTCTGCCAGTCCCGAGATATCAGGCATGGACAGTATAGACTCTTCATTGAGGGGCACAGTGAATGCATTGTCCTGAGGCTGCGGCACCGGCAAGGCTCGCTGGGTGGTGTCGGGCTCCTGGCCTTTCAGGAGGGTCTCAACCTGAGCTGTAGAGATGACGGCAAGGGTTAGAAATGACTTGCCTGACAAGCTGTCGCCAGGAATCGCGTACCTAATCGTGCCTCCAGCTGCTTGACATACCCCCCGCTTCGGACCGCTCTTTTTGCGCGCTTCGTCGTAGGCGCACTCGTGGCCCAGTCGCGAGCAGGTTCCACAGCTTGGTCGCTTACCATCGCATCTCAGTTTTCGTCTGCGGCAGACGACACAGGCGATGCGCTTGGAGCGAGGACCGGTGTTGCTCTCGCCGTGTTCGGCGGCGTCCGCGGGGGCGGCGTGGTCGGCCATCGACGCTGACTGGGAGAAGGCGGCAGATGAATACTGGGAAGGGTCAAGGGCGAACAGGGAGGATGTTGGGTCTGCCATGGTGGGCAGCAGGGGGCGAAGACGCGGGCGGTGACCGGAGTGATGAGGTCGGCGACGGCAGGCTTATCGGCGGGGAGGAATCAGGAAGACGACCAGCGAGGATCACGGGATCATGGGATCCTGGTCCATCCAGAGGGGAGGAAGGGTGGTGGTGGCAGTAGAGAATCCGAATCGATAATATCACGAGAAGTGGCGTAGTTGATACGAGTGAGAGATGAAGAAATCGAGTCAGAGCCAGCCAGTCAATGTTCAGGCAAGGCTGAGCCGTTCCGCCTTTGATGGTTGTACAACAGAGCTCCCCATCCTCGAACCCCCTATTAAGTTATGATTATTCGTCCGACCAGTTGGCAATCAGTGGAGAAACTTCCATCGTGTTCTTCAACCATAGTCATAAAACGTACACGCACGGCAGCGTTGCCTGGAGGCTTGGCAGATCGACACGATCGATCTAACCGAATACAGTATGCTGGATGCTACAGTGGTGAACTATACAAGGGTGGGCTGTACAAAAGGACCAGAAAAAGGAGAGACAGAGAGTACAGTATAATACAGATATCTAGTTGTATCCACGACGGCGTTTGCCTTGGTTGCGAGGCCGGGCATGCACCACCGCCTTGTTGATCTTCCACTTCGGGCGAGTCTTGTAGCCGGATTTGGTCTGCCAACAGTCAGTCAAAGAATCCAATCACATACAATGGGAAAAACACATACCGGAATACCCCAAGGGCTCTTCGGGTCCACATTACCCTTGGACTTGCCACGACCACCACCGTGAGGGTGGTCCATTGCGTTCATGGCCAGACCACGAACGGTGGGACGGATGTTGAGCCAGCGCGAGCGGCCTGCCTTGCCAATCTGATTGTAGTGGTAATTCGGGTTGCTGGCAACGCCAATGGTGGCACAGCAGTCCTTGTGGATGAGACGAGACTCGCCGCTCTGGAGGCGGATGGTGATGTGAGTGGCCAGGCGCTCCTGTCGTTGGCGTTCTCGCTGCGACAGGGGTTTCTTCTCGGTCTCATCCTCCTCGGGCGTCATCTCCCGGTTCTGCTGCTGCTGTTGGGATTGATCCCCCTTGGCGACGACGGTGGCATGGGTCCCCGCGCTCCGACACAACTGCCCCCCTTTCCCTGGCCGCAGGCCGACATTGAAAATCAAAGTGCCCACGGGAATCATATGCAGGGGGAGACAATTGCCTCTCCAGGCGGTCCGGGCGGCCAGCACACCAGGATCCACGGTGCCACCCATGCTCTTCCAGAGATCTTCCGGGATCCCGGACATGTAGCTCTGCACCACGTCTCCCGCACGCATTCCGTCGGCGGCGATGATGTAGCTCACTTGCTCGGTCTTTTGGTTACGGACCAGGGCAATATGCGCCGTCCGGCCGGGGTCATACTCAATGCGCTCCACGAGGTGCGGCCCCGGTGCCATGCGCAAGAAATCGACCGTCCGTATCCGACGTTTGTGGCCACCACCCCGATGGCGAACGGTGATTCTGCCCGAGTTGTTCCGGCCACCTTTGGCGTGGCCGCGCTTGGGGAAGGTCAGCTTGTGGTGAGGGCGGCCTTTCCACAGGTGATCATTGATGGGTCGCCGCAGATGTCGCACACCGGGTGTGCGAGGGGTATATTTTCGGATCAGCACGCCCGAGTCACTGCGGGTTGGTGGAGGAGCGAATGCAGCCGATTGATCGAAGGCCGGGGTGGACGGGACGGTCTCTTTTTGCTCGATGACTTGAGCGTAGCCGCGAGCAGGAATAGAGGGTAGACTCCTGAACGGCAGCCGAAGACTCCGCAGAGCCAGTCGGGGCTGCAACATGGTGGTGGAGGTCAGGATGTGAAGTGCAATTGACGAACGCACCCGTCGGTGTTGACCCTGATGATGAATGGCAGCAAAAAGTTCAGGACCGAGCCACAGTCACGTGGATCAGCCCAGCCACAGTCGCCGTGGCTCTTGTTTAGGTCACCTGACCTGGCCCTGGTTGCCCGGCAACACCATTGTTGATCGGGCGCACGATCGCGCTGCGCGTATCCATTACGGCACAGAACCTCATACCGCAGTAAGGGTAACTACCACGCCAGGCATCATTTGGCTGGTATCCCGCAGTAGGTTCATATCGATCAAATAGGAGAATAGACGTAAAGTTAGAGACAGAAATAATCGTACTCTCGGCCCTTTTCCCCGTTCATCATTCGGTCTTGTTGTACGCGAGTCTGTACTGGGTGGGCCTCTGTCCTGTTTTCCACGCTAAGCCAGTTTCCCCCCAAACACCCTCTCTCTCTCGCCTTCTCGCTTCCCTCCCCATCAACATCGTTTTCAAGCTTCCCTTCCGCTCTCCTTCCCTCCCACTTCTTCTTATCTCGTGTTGTCTCTGTTGCTCCGGACTCGACGCGTGTCTCTCTTACTCTTCCTTCCCACACAAACCCGCTTCTCACGCGCCATTCGGCCTATTAGATCGGGCTCTTCGCGGGTCTCGTCATCACCGTCAACATCACCTTGTATGTATTGTTGGCGTTAGCCAGTCATACCGTCCTCAACCACTCCAAACAAACTGCATCGACACCCTACATTGTAGTTCCTTCGGATTGAACTGCATTTTCACGCGTGGTACGTGCACCTCGACCTTCTCGTCTCTGTGGTGGTCTCTGTGGTATTTAGTCCCCACCGGCCCGTCGACCGGAATGCTGACGAGACTGTCTCCTCCGTAGGACAAGAATCATTATATTCCTGTCCCTTTCCTTCTTCCCCCTACGCGTCCTCGTCTCTTCTTTTCTCCTTGGAGTCCAACACAATGCCCCAGGTAAGTCACCCCTCGCTGTCTCATTTGGGACAACCCATTTTTCACCCTATGCAATTTTTTCCTCATCGTCCTCACCCTTCAAAACACAACACCCCAAGTTATCTTCCCCAAACTGACCCCAATCCAGGCCCGTAGCCTCCGCACCCGAGGCACGATGAATGAGAACGATGAAAACGGGCCTTCGACGCGTCTAACGCGGGCCAAGTCAGCTGCCCTCACCGACACTGGCGCCACCAAGAAGCCCCTGCAGACCAAGCGGGCGGCCACAACTAACGCCAATGGGCCCCAACGTCGAGCAATGGCTCTCAAGGATGTGAGCAACGTCAACAAGGGTGACGATGCTGAGACCAAGGTTGGAAAGAAGGGCGCTGTCAAGCCTGGCTTGACCTCCAAGGCGACCACTCACACTGGAGCTGTTCAGAAGCTCAGCCGTACCAACTCGTCCCGAGCGGGGCCTCGAGACAATGTTGCCAAGAAGCCTGCCTCATCCGACATCAAGCGTTCAGGGAGCGGACCCGGTGCCATTGGCAGCACAAAGAAGCGGCCGTCGAGCCAAAAGTCGATCCCGGAGGAGCCTGCGCTGGCTGACGAGCCCCCCGCAAGAAGCTTGACAGCAAGACCCCCGCGCCCGGGATGAAGAGGTTGTTACAGAGAGTGTCGCGTTGGCCCCTGGCGTGCCAGATCTGGATATTGAGGACCTGTACGACCCTTTGATGGTTGCTGAATACGTGGTTGAGATCTTTGATTACCTGAAGGACCTCGAGCTGCGGACATTACCCAATCCCGACTACATCGAGCACCAACCTGACCTGGAATGGAAGATGCGTGGTATCCTGGTCGACTGGCTGATTGAGGTCCACACGCGTTTCCGCCTGCTCCCGGAAACTCTGTTCCTGGCTGTCAACATCATCGACCGTTTCCTGTCGGCTGAGGTGGTGGCTCTGGACCGCCTACAGCTCGTCGGCGTGACGGCCATGTTCATTGCCTCCAAGTACGAGGAGGTCCTGTCTCCCCACGTTGCCAACTTCAGCCACGTCGCCGATGAGACCTTTTCGGACAAGGAGATCCTGGATGCGGAGCGTCACATCCTGGCAACCCTGCAGTACAACATGAGCTTCCCCAACCCCATGAACTTCCTGCGCCGGATTTCCAAGGCCGACAACTACGACATCCAGACTCGGACTCTGGGCAAGTACCTCATGGAGATCAGCCTTCTCGACCACCGATTTATGGCCTATCCGCAAAGCCAGATCTCCGCCGCCGCCATGTACCTGGCGCGTCTTATTCTGGACCGTGGACCCTGGGATGAAACGTTGGCCCACTACTCCGGGTACACAGAGGAGGAGATCGATCCGGTCTTCCGCCTGATGGTCGACTATCTCCACCGTCCTGTCTGCCACGAGGCCTTCTTCAAGAAGTATGCCAGCAAGAAATTCCTGAAGGGTGAGTATTCTATTGTGCCGTCCTTTGGTCATAACTAACGCGTCTCACAGCTTCGATCCTCACGCGTCAATGGGCCAAAAAGTATCACCACTTGTACATTGACAGCTCCCTCTCCGAACCGTACAATTCCATCAAGGACAGCGAACAGTAACGATGCCATTTACGAATGTGATGCTAGCCCTGTCTCTCGGCGATGCTGTCTTTTCACGATATCATCACTCGGCGCTCGCGACATGATTGAGCAGGGAACCCGTGTTCCTACATATTGTTGGCATTTCATTGTTGCTGGTATCCAGTACCTTCTGCATATTCTTACGATGACTTGGTTGAATTTGTGCGCGGTCGCATTTTTTTTTCTTCTTCAGTCCAAGGGGGGTGTTCGGCGCTCAGCCCTACGTGAACGGGGTTTTCTTTTTGCTTTACTGTCTTGTGTCTGCATGGGGCGTCTGTCTCTCGCCAGCCCTGATACCTTTTTTTTTACTTTCACTTCGTCATTCCTGTTGCGTATGACAGGCGTCGGACTATTGTTTTCAATGTCGTTTCGTTGTCTTCAGATCGGAATCTTATCTCGTTCCCGCCGTCGAACGTGTGTCCTACATGTCTCCCTTTTGGCAATTTTGGCCTCGGGGTTGGAGCATCCCAAGGCTTTTGTGTGTCTGGATTCTTGGAGGAAAGAAAGGAGGAACAAAACTGTTGGGTCAAGCGGTTCATGTTGGATGTTTCATCATTTCGGGCTCCCCTTGTGTGGTGTCTCTGGAGGAACGGCCAGGGGCCAGCAGTAATGAGTATTGGGGAGATACAGTCTTTTGTTTTTGAGTCTTTTATTTCTTTCATAGTCGGCTGCGCTGGATTTGAGTGTTTGGCGTAGCTTTGGATACAATTGGGTCTTCACTTCTATCTGTCTTGGCTTGAGAACATCGTGTACTCGTCTGTCGCGTGGTGGTTCGTAGAGAGAGAGGTGTATGACTTAGCCGAGGTTCACCCCATCATTTCCAACAACTACCGACCTGCAACATACTGGGGCTGTCATAGAATTAATCCCCCCGACAAACTATACATAACGATCTGTATAATATTCAACATGATATCCCCATCATGCCCCTTCTGCACGATCGCATCCTCCACCCCACCCATTTCTCCCACCACCGGAGCAGCAGAACCAACACAGCCGAGCACAACGAGTCCAGACACAGCACCAACAGCCCACCTGATTCTCTCGACAGAGCATGTCCTCGCCTTTCTGGACATCATGCCCCTGACGCGCGGCCACGTGCTCGTCACCCCAAGACGGCACTATGAGATGCTGGGCGATGTGGGCGTTGCTGTTGGGCAGGAGGTATGTATTACTACCGAATCTCATAAAGGATGTGATTTGATTTTATCTTTGGGATGATTGTTGTTCTTTTTGCTACGCTGTCAAAAGAAGGAAGTACTCAATCGCTGACCTGGTCTTGTTTCGTCTAGATGGGGAAATGGCTTCCTATCCTGTCAAGGGTTGTCACCCGGACTGTCTTGGGGGAAGATGCAGAGAAACATTGGAACGTTGTTCAGAATAACGGTACGTTTCTGTCTTTATTTTTTTGTTTTTTTAATCATATCATCTGGAGTATACACGAGATACATACCCCTTTATTTCCACGCAACACGGAACACGTTATATCATAGAAGAGATACAACACACCCCTCAATCAGACTAACACACGATCAATTCAATCCAACCAGGCGCCCGCGCAGCCCAACAAGTCCCGCACGTGCATTTCCACATCATCCCTCGTCCCGCCGCGGAGGGGGCTTGGAATCCACGACTGAAACCGAGTTTCGCCATGTTTGGCCGCGGCCAGAGAGACGATCTCGATGATGACGAGGGGGCCAGTCTGGCGAGTGAGATGAGGGCGGAGCTTGCGCGGGAAGTGCAGCGCGTCTTTGAGGAAGAGGGGGTAGACTTGGGGCTGGATGATACGAAGCAGAGAGGGAAGTTGTGACTTGTCTTCCTCTTTGTCTTTCTTCCTGTAGTTGCAGCCATGCTTGTGTGTGTTTTGGTGAACTTTGAGTGGTCTGTTGGTTGAATATCCTCGTCTTCACTTTATTTGGTGCGTGTCTATATCTCCTGCTGTGGACGGTGAGGAGAGGTCAAGTGGCTGGAGCCAATTGACTCTGTCGTTGTTGGTGGTGGTCTCTCTCATGGCATGTGTGCCTGCCAGCGAAGACTTATTTTTTGGCGAAAAACTATACCAAAGAGTTAGATGGTCTGCCAAATCACAATACAATTCGAGTCTATACCTTCCGTCGGAATTCATTGAGATCATCGGCACTCATGCCCTGGCCATCAGCTTTGCTTCGAGCCAATGACAAATCCGACTCTTCTCCCTCCGGAAGACGACGGTATGTTATGAGTCGGCGAGACCCTAGCAACAAAATTAGCGCTGTAGAAGACCAAATGAAATTGGGGCATACAGTTATTAAACGGCTGAACAGAAACACTGAGCACCTCCAGATTCGGATGCATGGGAATCGGGAACTCGACGTCCTCGTCGCTGGCAGTTGGCATCCACATCGACAGACGGCCATCGTTGACTAGAGTCTGTGCAGCAAATTCCAGGATATCACTCTGCAGTGCCTCAAACCCGTACGGCTTTTTAGGAGCGATGTATCCCGGACGGCTGTTGCAACACCGTTCGTCAGCTTCGCTAAACCAGAAAAAGAGATCAGAAGAGGGGGAAAAACATACTAGTGAGCCGGAACACCATCAATATAAACGGGTTGCTTGCCGCGCCCGTCTTTCATCCCCAAAACCCTCAGCCCTTCACGAACGCCATACGGCGGATCACAAACAATCCCATCGAGGAACTGCGCTCTACGCAGCGGGCTATTCGTAAGATCCGAGATAAACGTCTCGACGAACTGGCTCATGAGCCCATACTGCCGAAAGTTGTGCAGCAGGCACATTCCGTCCTTGCGCTCATCCGCCTTCCCGCTGAAGGCACGACCATCGATATCCGACCCCAGCGTGAGAGCCCCGAAATGCGCAGCAGAGATGATAAAGCTGCCTGTTCCGACGAACGGGTCGTAAAAGAGCTTCCCCGGCGCGGCGTGCGCCATATTCGCCGTGACGAGACTCAGCTCGGCGTCCATGGAGGTCGTGCTGATATATTTTCGTTTCTTCAAGTCGTACTTGTCAACGGCACTGCGATTCCCCTCCGCGATCTTGCGGCCTAGATATATCTTCCTCGGTTCAGAAGACTGCGTCACGCCCTCAACTGCGGCGGCTTCCACGTCAGACACGTACTCCTCCATCACCCACCACTGCTGATCCGGATTCTTGAGCCGGATCGGGCCCGTGAAGTCGACATAGGAGAACGACTTGATTATCTCCATCTTGGCGGAATGGCTCCGTTTTCCGGCGAAGCACTCGACGTAAAATGCAAAGGGTGTCGTGTGGTACTGGGCCCACAGATGCGGCGTCCGGCGCTGCACGTCGGCATGCACTTCTTCATAGGTGCTGCCTTGTCCCCAGAGCTCGTATATGTCTTTGGAGAGAATGCTGCGCGGAATTAGGGCCCGCGCAGCTGCTTCGTCTTTTAGTTTGACGATGCAATATGGTGCCTGTGTGGATTGTATTAGCGCGGTTCTGGTTCAGGAAATAGATAACCAAGGTGTGAAAGGGGATAAATGAGAAATTAATGTTCGGACCCAAGTAATGGACAGAAAATATCGATGAGATTTATCACACGTACATAGTCGTTGTAGGAGATGATCTCCAGATCGATGCCGGCTAGAGTGGCCAGGGCCTGGATTTCTGGTAGTCGAAAGGACTCGTGCTGCTGCGCGAACCGGATCAGATACTCCATCCTGGCCGCAGACTCTTTTGCGGTAGGTATATTTCTTGTGTTTTGTGGGTTTGTGTTGGCTCAGATCACCCGGTCGAACACTGCCGGCGGGGTGTGGTGAGGTGGAAGTTTTTTGATTTTATTTTTCATCTTCGGATCAGACAGGATCTGGCAGCGCTCGCTTGGTTGACACGGCGTGGACTACTTTATTTCCTTTAATCCAATGACTTTTAATCTAATGAGCTTAACAATAATATTGATGCTCACCGGATTGATCGGAATTTGTATTTATTGGCAATCTACTGGGCCAATCGAAAAGACTACGTACCTCTCTACTACTACGAAGAACAGCACCAGACCAATAATCAAGACCTTGACTCGACAGCCAAATCTATAGATACTCATATCCAGAAATATACTCATATCCAGAAATTTCCCAGTCCAAAGAGAATAACAGAATACCCACCTTCGTGTTCCATAATCTATGCGCCATCCCATACACAGGGTAAAAATAAGTGAGGGCAATCCAGAGAAAAAGAAAACTCCAGCGCTATGCGCCAACCACCCGAAACATATGTCGTGACTCGTATCCCTCAACGGGAGTGACTTCTACTCTCTCATCAGCGGGTATCATATGATGCTGCAAATCCCAGCCGGCTCGGCGGCAGAGCTCCGATACGACTACGTCGCAGTCGCCCAGGAGGTCAATGTCGAAGCCGGTGTGCGACACAGGCTGGAGCGAATTAGTCTATGCTCATGATTGAGAGAGGGGATAGATGGGCGTACCGTGCGCGATATGTAGATCTGCGGTACATTGCGCGGCAGGATCCCGGGCACTTCTGCGACGGGAGCTACCTTTAACGAGGTGCCGATGACGATGACCAAATCGGCGAGTTCGCGATCGTGGTGCACGAGACGGCGACCGAACTCGTCTGGAAGATCTTCGCCAAAGAACGTGATATCGGGCTGCAGCGGAGGGTAAGTAAGCATGAAAGGCAGTTTTCAGAAGAGGTTGTTATCACCAACCTTCATCACGCCCGGAGTCGGAATCTCATAATCCTCCTCATCCGAGCTGTCGTCGGAATCCTTGCGGCGCTTCTGCTGCCCATTGGAACTCCGCTTGCGCTTCAATCCCTGAGGCTTCAATGCATCCTCCGCGATACTCTTTTGACAGGCGGTACATTCCGGGATAGTACCGTCCTTGATGTCATTAAAGATTGCATCGCCCGAGACCTTGAACTTGCATTTCATACAAGTTGCCGTCGCAAAGGATCCGTGACACTGTACAATCTTCTCGGGAAGAACCCCCGCGTTGGCCTCGATATTGTCGATGTTCTGGGTATAGTTGGTCAACAACTTGCCCTTATCCTGCAGCAGCCGAATAAAGCCATGGGTAGGCGAGTATTTCTTCTCCGTGGGCAGGATATCCTTGGCGATCGAGAAGAAGATGCTGGGATCTTCGCGGAAGATATGGATATCAAACACCTCTTGCGGGTCACTCAGTCCCAGATGTTCGAGCCGCGAGTAGAGACCCGTATCCTTGGAACGAAAGTCCGGGATCCCCAGGCTCGTGGAGATGCCGGCGCCGGTCAACACGATGACATTCTTGGACTCCCGGAGCAGCTTCACGGCATCGTCAATCGTATTATACTGCGGCAGCTTCGGCCGCCGGGAAAACTCCCGGGAGATGGCAATCGCCAGAAGAGGGTGGAAGGCCTCGTCGGGCGCGCCGTCCAGGAAGGCCGGCGGTACGATGCCAAATGCCGTGCACAGCTTCTTCGCCGTCACGGTTTCTCGGGCGATGGTCTCCTCCACAAAGGCCGCCTTGCCGATCGCATGCAGGCGCTGGCGATATGCCACTGCTTCTTCGAGGGTACATGCACCGGGCACTATTATCAAAGAACCAGATAGTTAGCGTGGGGGTGCGGTTCTGATGATGTCTGTCTCCGCCAAAGCGGGGGTTCAGGAAAGGATGGGAACGAGAGACAGAACATACCGAGCCCATCGCGAAGCTGGTCATCGCGCAGCAGCTGGATCGCCTCGTCGGCGTCGGACAGCGTCTCCCAGGCATCGGAGTCGTCGCTGTCCGTGTCCAACTCGGACGAGACCTCCGGGTCTTGGGCCGCAGCGGCCTCGGCGACCAGGTCGACGGTCTCGATCTCGACGACCGGAGACTTGAGCGCCTCGCTGGGCTCAGTGGGCGCCGGTAACAAGTCCATTGCTGAGGAAGGCGAGAGAGTTCAGGGTCTTTGTTGCCCATAAATTTGTATGGGAGTCGGGGGTGCATTAATCCGGGCCGAGGTCAGTGGCGAATCCGAAGTATACGGGGAGTATACAGGGACTGGTATACACTATTTTAAACGCCAGAGAGGTAAAAGAGGGAAAGTAGTATGTCTATGGTATCCTTGTTTTATGAATCCGCCATCTCATGATCCTCGTCCGACTCAACATCCTCATCATCCCATTCCTCATCTTCTCCCTCGTCCTCGCCCTCACTATCATCCATAACCTCCCCAAGCTCCTTATTCATCTCCTGCACCAGCTCCATCGCATGATCACGCAGCGGCTCATCCTCGTAGTCCAATAGTCCGTAAAGCTTTAGACTCTGCATGAGCCACTCGCGACTCGCAACCAGCGACGCATGCCGCGGGTTCTCCGCGTCTTCAGCATCAGCATCCTTGGGAGCCTGTTGCTTCTCCGCCAGCAGATAAAGGCACCAGCCGCCCAGATACCACGCCTCCACGCTCTGGTCATCTTCCAGAATCAGCCGCTCAAGGACCTCCAGCGCCTCCATCTCCAGCGTTACCTCCATGAGCAGCCGAGCCAAACTAATGCGCACAGCAAAGTCGGGCACGTTGGGGTCTTCTGGGGGTAGGTCTTTCCATAGCCCGATACTCCGTGTGAGCGCTGCTTGTGCGTCTTCGGTTCGTAGCTGTGATATCCGGATCGAAGCGAGGGTCTGCAGCACTTCTGGGGCGTCAGGCGTCACGAGGAGAGCCTCAGTAATGAGGGAATCGCAGCGCGATTCTGCATCTTCTTCCCATCTGGTACAAATGTTAGTGTGACAACAGAAAAGAAGTATGAGGGAAGCACATACGAAAGATCAGTCATGTAGATCTCCGACACGGCGCAGAGGGCATTCGCCAGTTTTGTCTTCTTTTCTTGAGCGTCCGCGACCTCTTCTGGTGCTGTTTTCCCTTCCAAGGACTGCAGGGTCTGTCGGAGGGACGACACGCCCTTCTCAAACCACTGCACGCTATCCTTGCCGCCCTCCTCGCTCAATTGAGCCAGCCAGAGAAATTTCTCTGCTCCTCCGCCCTCCGCCTCGGATATTGAGCCATTGGGATCCAATTCGACCGCGCGCAGAAAGTGCTGGCGCGCTGTATCGATCTCGCCCAGCTCAACGTTGATCTCCCCCAGTAGGTTGACGGCCAGTCGTTGCGCTGCACTATTCGCCGGCGCCAGATCCAGCGCCTGCTGTGCGACTTCAACTGCTGCGTCGGCCTGACCGGTTTGCAGCAGCACGCTGGCCTGGTCGAGTAATGTGGAGGGGTCGGGTTTGCTCATGGCGTTTTTGGAGACGGAGCCACCGGGGCTGAGGACGGATTGTGGGCGGGACGACTTGCTCTTCTTCTTCTGAGGCCTGGATTTTCCCATTGCCGAGGATCTGAGAATTGTGTAGAGAGGAGGAGGAGGGAGAAGCGATAAGAAAAAAAGTTGAAGCTGGCGATTGGTCTGTTTGACTGGTTTGCATGTGGGACCTTCTTCCTATCGATCCAGGAATTAACTACGTGCTTGTCTCTCTCCGTACTTCCCTTTCTTTCCCCCCTCCAAGTCGGGCGCATATTCAGAAAACATGGGCCGCGAGGACCAGGCCGAGGAGCGCGAGGTCCTCGACTCGATCTTCCCCGACGAGATCACAGGTGAGTTTCGTTCCGGGTCCGGTTACTTTTTGGTTTCGCCCGCGCTGACCGAAATCCCGCGGGCAGATGTGTCCGAGCATGCATACAGAGTATCAATCAGTCTCGACCCGCCCGAGTTCGATGGCGAGGAGGCCGAACGGCCCGTGATATACCTGGAGGTATCCTACCCAGAAGACTACCCGGATGTGGCACCAGACCTCAACATCTCCGCGCCGCCCAATGCCCCCAAGAACGACCGGATAGACGTTCAGGAAGACCGCGAGCGGCTCCTGGAGGCACTACAAGAAACCATCGAAGAGAACATGGGCATGGCGATGGTGTTTACGCTTGTGAGCGCGCTGAAAGATAGCGCCGAGCTCCTCATGGCCGAGCGGGCGAACGCCGCCCAGGCCATACAGCAGATGGCTGCTGCACAGGCGGAGGAAGAGGAGAACCGCAAGTTCCAGGGGACGCCGGTTAATCGGGAGACGTTTTTGGAGTGGCATGCACGGTTTAAGAAGGAGATCGAAGATGAGGAGCAGCGGCAGCGCGAGGAGAAGGAGGCCGAGGATAAAAAGAAAAAGGCGTCGGCGAGAGAGGAGAAGAAGTTGACGGGCCGGCAGTTGTGGGAGCGTGGATTGGCTGGGAAGGCTGATTATGATGAGGAGGACGACGAGGAGACGGTGTCGGCTGGTGTTGACAAGCTTAAGGTGGCTTCGTGAAAGACCATCCATAGACATGTTTATACGACCCATTCCATTACCCGCTATGAAGATATTTCTTTTATTCATGGGTTGTTACAGCTAAGTGGTACAGGACATTGTACATCGACCAGGTGAGAGGAGACGAGGGTCAGGCCGATGAGTCCTGGGGGCTTTCAACCCGCTGAATATGAAAGTTACCCGTAAATGGGCATGATGGTGGTACAGATCATGATCGAGCAGCTCATCATGACCATTGGTGTATGTTGCGACTTCTCTCAATCACGACCTACGCAGTCAGCTCGGCGCTGTCAAAGATAGACGAGGGCAAACAACTTGTCGACAATGTCTTTCCATTCCTGGATTTGTCGATGGGTGTATCCTCGTAATCGCCCTGACATTAAGGATGAGCTTGACCATCGCAATGAGCCCACTCCGCAGCTTGACCATGTACGGCCCATTGGTCCAAAAGTCTGAATCGGTGCATGCTTTGGCATGGGTATAGCCCAGGTGCTTTCCTTTCCTCATCCATGTCCACTGTGATGTGAATTTCGAGAATAGAAGTCATCCATCCTGGATTTGGCCGTTGCATCACATTGCCCTGATGCTCTCGTTGCATTTTGACAAGACATGAAAGTGTCTCATAGCGCTGTCGGTAAAGATTCAACGCGGAAGCAGGCGGTGCTAGCATAGCAGGCCACGGCGAATTGGCGTATCTCTCAAAGGTCGGAGAGACTATGTCTCGGACTGTCGTTCTCTCTCTTCTTTCTCCGCCAACTCCCGCTCTGCCAACACAATCTGCCACATCTTCTCCGCCATCTCCTTGTTCTTCATATCCTCATTTTTGGTCTTCTCTTTAACATCCCTAAACGCCGTGTAAAGCTCCTCAGTCCACCGGACCGAGTCTTCCATGTTGGTAATATCATCCCAAACGTCTTCATCCCCAGCGAACAGAAGCTCCACCTGTAATCGGTCCCGCTGATCAATCCATTTCTGACGCCTGTCGAGCTTGTTCCGAATCACTCCGCTAAGATTCCTCGGCTGCGGTTTCTTGAAGCGCAAAAACGGGACTCCGCGTGCACTGACGAGCACGGGGACTCGGCGCTTCCCGCTCACGACCGGTCGAGGGCGCAAGAAAATCGATTCGGCATCCGGATGCTGACGGGTGGTTTCGTTTTGCTTGCGGATCCGCTCTTGCTTCTGGACCTGTCTCGGGCCTAACTGTTTCGGCGGCTGTGATTCTGCCAGCTCTCTCTGCCTCGCGACATTGACGGCTCGGAAGGCCTTGATTTTTGCGAGAGTTGCTGTAATCCGGTCTTCGTCGTGCTTATTTCCTTTGCATGCGGAGTGGAGGAGGTCCAGCGCCTGACAAGAGACATGTTAGCCACATGCCGTGGAATCATAACTCGGAGGCGCGCACTGAGTAGCCTGTCTTCAGGGCGTTTCTTGTCTGGGAGGGACTATCAAGACCCTTGTATTGCCGAAACTTCTGCCGCATCAGAGACTTGGCCTCTCCCAGCCATGGCGCGTTACCGACGGAGGGCGAGCATTGTCGCAAAAGAGCTCGGTATAGAGCCCGACCTGACAAGACAAGATGGTCAGCTCAATGCAGACAATATCAAAAAACCATAAGACATACCAGCAAAGCGATGAACCCCCGACCGCTTCGGGACCAACACCTTATGCATCCCGGGGTGTTGCAGACTCGAAGAAAGCTGGCCGGGTGATCGGCAGAGAAGCTGGAGTGATCACGTGATGAACTTTATACTTCATTGAAAATACGATTGCGGCATAAAAATAAATAATGTTACATAGGATAGCAATAAGTGCATTAATCAAGTGGAATTGGGGCTTTCAGGAGAACCCGCGCCGGCGCTTGCTGTCATGCAGGACTGTACACGCTCTAGTAGAATCATGGGAAGGGGACAAGCAAAGAGAACGCAAAACAAAGCCGACCGTCATACTCCGGAAACTTTCCGTGGATTGGTTGTATATAGGAAATTCATGGCTCAAAAGTTCGAGCCTTCCGGAGGCTGCTGCAGCTTCTTGTTGTTGCCCATGGCCATGTACCTATCGAGCCATTAGTCTTGGGGGAGACTCGGGAGCTTGTGGTACGTACCGTCGGAGCTCAATCAGAACAATTTCCATGTTGTAGTCGCGCTTCCATTGAGCGAGGCAGGGAAGTTTTGCGGGATCGACCTAGGGAAATAAATCCTCAGTAAGGATCTTCTTGTGTATCTGTTAACATCCTGCTCGTACCTTGCCGCTCTGAGGATCCACGCAGGGCAGATTGACGCGAGAAACAAATTGGATGGTCGGAGGGTGGTCGGGGTAGTCGGGTCCGCAGTGGATGTTGACACTATATATCCGGTTCTCGTGCACGCTCTAGCCAGGGAGATAGGATCAGTTTTGAGGTCAGAGAAATAGTTCCAAGAAGAGACGAACGTGAGGTGGGCCGAGGATAGTGCCGTTCCAGTTGCTCATCATCATGTCCTCTCCATCCGCAAGACCGTAAGAGCACGCCTCTAGAATCCCAAGTTAGCGGACCCTGCCGAATCCCGCGCGGGTTCCTGGTGGACGGCCGAACCTGCACCCAATCCTTTCTCGCCCTTCTCCAGCTCCTCCAGGAGTCTGAAATTTCTGGGAATCTTGGCCGACATGATGTGGGCACCGAAGTGAGTAGTTTGCGTCGAGTAGCAAGAAGGAAGGAAGAAAGAAAGCATGAGAGGAGGGGCTGAGATCCATTAGTCACCCGAGTCACGTGTGATAAGTGCAACGCTTATCGAGAAGCCACTGGATCATTTGTTGTTGATGGACACGGAGACTCTCCAGCATGCAGTGGCCATGTCCTCCCAATTCTTGCAGACGGAGCTGGCGAACCTCGTCCAGGAGTCCAGAAGAAAGAATGCCGACCTGCGAAATGTGGGTTATCCCCTGCCCGCCACAATGGACTGCATACTAACCCCCGAGGAACCCAGGCTGCCGAGCAGTCGCTCAATGAGCTAAAGGCACTGCCTTCCACTTCGGAGGCTCAAATATCCGCAGGTTTGTGCATCCATGTCTGTTCTCAACTTATTCGACAGCTAACAAGCAGCTAGATCTGGCTCGCCGGCCAACCTTCGTCGACCCGTTCATCATTGCCTGCCATACGCGCCATGCGAAACTTGCGGGAATCGGCGTCATCTGTCTGCAGCGACTCATCGCGTCTCGATCGTTGCCGTCGGCTCGTTTAAAAGATGTCCTTGAAGGGCTCAAGGATACGACGAACCTAAGTAAGTGTGCCTGAATGTAGCCGAGCTCTGTGATAGCTTCTGACGCCGACTTAGGCCTCGACATCCAGTTGAAGATTCTACAATCCTTGCCGTCAATCTTGCAGTTTTACTCCAGTGACCTCAGTGGGGAGCTTCTCGCCAGCACATTGGAAATATGTGCGACCTTACAAGCCAGCAAACCCCTTTCAGTCTCCAGCACCGCGGCGGCCACGCTCCAGCAGCTGGTGGTGTCAGTATTCGAACGAGTTTCAACCGAAGACAATGCTTCCGATGATTCCAAAACCACCACAACCGTCAAGGTCAACGGCAACTCGATCGAGGTGGCACAGTTTGCGTTTGATGCTCTACAGGTTCTAGACGATCTGTGTCGCCTTATCGACGGCGACCAATTACGGTTTCTGCGCATCAAAAGCTTGTCGCCAGCTTTTGTACTCGAGTTAATTGAGAGCATTGTCACCAATAGCGGACGCCTGTTTGTCGGACACCCTGAGCTGTCACAAGTACTGCGTGTTCGGTTTATTCCACTGGCGGTCCGATACCTGTCCGAGAGACATCCCTTTGCTCAGACTATTCGAGTCGCCCGGATTCTCCTTGTGCTCCTCAAGCGCCACATGTCTCTTTTGACAGCGGAGTGCGAGATGGTGCTGGGCCTGATGATACATCTCCTCGAGCCCGATGGGACCAATCCCTGGAAACGAGTGCTGTGCATGGAAGTCTTCCGGGGACTGTACGCAGAGCCAGGAGTTGTGCGACAAATTTACTCGTTGTACGATGGAGTCGACGGCCGAAAGAATATCCTTCGTGATCACATGGCTTCGCTTGTTAAGCTGGCTTCCGAGAAACCCTCCTTGATCGGTGTCAGCAATCAGTCAACGGTTCCCACACGTGCCGACCATTCAAGATCAGCCACCGAGGACCAGATTACCCTTGAGACAGGTGGTGTTACCGGTGTCATCGGGACAACAGCGCCAGCGACCGAGACAAGCGTGTCCGGTATCAGCACCCAATGGAGTGTGCCTCGCACTGCATATATAGAACTTCTCGACAAAACGGAACCACCGCTGCCTCCGGACACATATATCTATGGCCTTGTCCTAAACTGTATCAGCACTTTTGCGGAAGGCCTCGCCAGGTTTATACTGCCCCTGACGGTTCCGGATTCAAAGCAAAAGCGCAAAAACCGATTCCTGACTCCTGACCAAGGACCCGATTCTGCCAGACCATCCCAGGAGCTTTCCAGGGCTGACTCTTGGAGAGTGCAGTCCAACGCACGGTCAAAGAAACCCCCTGTCCCAGTCAATCCTCTGGATTTGCAGTCGCACACTCAATATTCTGCCATCAAGACTTGCGCCTCAATAATTGATCATTGCTGGCCTGCGGTGCTCGCGGCTTGCTCGACATTCTTACATGCGTCACTGGACGATGAGTATTACCATAACCTCGTACGCGCTTTCCAGAAGCTGGCGCATGTCGCCGGTCTGCTCAGATTGTCTGTGCCCCGGGACGCTTTTCTAACAACCCTTGGGAAGGCGGCCATGCCTGCGAGTGTCGGTGGCCCAAAGTCACAAGCTCCTGGGACTCCCACTCCTTCTGGCTCGCAGCAAAGCGATAGCCCTCAGAGGAGACGAAAGAGTTCAGATCTGTCGCACACCAACTCGACACCAGCAGATTCTCTGGGAGCTTCATCTGTGGAAGGTCCTTCGGTGACCTTGAGTACAAGGAACCTTCTTTGCCTTCGGGCTTTACTCAACCTGGGGATCGCTTTGGGTCCAACTCTAGACCAGCCGGCCTGGTCAATCCTCCTCGAGACATTACAGTATAGTGGACTAGTAATTGGCATGTCCACGAGTGCAATGGTCAAATCGGCCAGCGGCTCTGGGGAATCTGCCCCAGTTCCGGGAAATGATGTGCCCACTGCTAATCTCGGGGCAGAGGTCATTGCAGTTCAGGCAGCATCAACAAAGATGTTCGAGAGCACCAGCGACTATCCTAGTTCCTCCTTCAGGGAGATTTTGCTTGCCCTGTTGAAACTCTCTGCATTCACTGAACAAGACGAACCGCAAGAGCCGGCAAGGAAGGCGTCGGACGCTCCCGGGTCGCCTCAATCCTCTCGAAAAGCTGGTCGCTTGCATCAAACCGCCCGACGTGTATCACACACCGTAGGCAGATCAAGGATGCAAGATGAGGAGCTAAAGTTCGTTCTGGAAAAAGGAAATGAGCTAGCCAAAGCAAATCTTGAAAGACTATCCTCGCTCGACGAAGAGGATAGTGCAGCCTGGCAAATTTTGACTCAAAGCCTCATTTCCATCTCGCCAAATACAGAGATTAGCCCCAACCTCCGCCTGCAGGCCAGTGGGATCTTGAACTCGCTCGTGTTCTTGACCATGAAACCAGGAGATGGAGCGGACCCGACGGTCCAGAACAAGATTCAAATGAGAAACTTGCAGACGCTCAAAGACCAGATTGCCTCGCTTTATACATCACATTCGTCTTCGGCCAAGTCTCTTCCAATCACCGTCATCGAGATCCACGAACATAGCCTGGAAGTTCTGGGGAGTATCCTGGAACAATATGCAGAGACCCTGGTGGACGGTTGGGGTCTTATCTTCGATCTGATCTCTGGTGTCTTCCACGGTGATCCAGAGACTGATCAATCAACTCCAGCCACGGCACGCAGAGCATCTGCTCTTCCGGCCGGCCCTCGTCTGGTCCGAGCTGCCTATAAATCACTACAGCTGGTCGCCTCTGACTTCCTTTCTCTACTTCCAGCGCCTTGTCTCCTCAGTCTCGTGAACTCCTTCTCTAGTTTCGCCTCCCAAACCCAAGATTTCAACATCTCTCTCACAACTACCTCTTTCTTCTGGAATGTATCTGATTTTCTCCAAGGGCAAATCGAGCGATTCTCCATCGAGAGCCATGTTGATGCCTCGGTCAGTGAAGAAGAGCTAGCCAATTTGGCAGGGGGCGAGGATCCTTCCGTTTCACGGAATTCACTCTGGCTGCTGTTGTTGCTGCGGATCGTTGATATCACGACAGATAGCAGGCCAGAGATCCGAAATAGCGCGATTCATACATTATTAAGGATCTTCGATGCTTATGGACAGCAGCTTTCCCCGAAGGCGTGGCGTCTGTGTCTCAACCGAGTGCTTTTCCGGATGGTCGAGGAAATCGAGACTGCGCTGTTCCAGTTCAAGAACAGACAAGATGGCCTGAAAGGCGAGGACCTCAAGTCGTGGGTGGAAACGAGTGTCGTGATGATCAAGGGGGTTTCGAGTCTGATGACGAATTTCTTTGAAGCGATCGTTCGCGATGAGAAGTTCGATCATTCCTGGAACCGGCTTCTGAAATACCTCCAGGCGTTGGTCGGTCTGCATCTGCTAGAATTCAGCGAAGCAACGTTCTCCAGTCTCTCGGAAATTCTTCTCAGGGCACAGGATTCGATCAGTAAAGATGCACTTCGATGTGCGTGGCACCTTTGGGCGGATGGCCACCCAGCCGAAGACCAGGCCATGCTGGAGCTCGACCAACCCAACCAAGATGCCGCAATGGCCTATTTGCGTACTTTCCAGCAAATCTACCGTCTTTACAAATTCCATCTAGATGCGGAGCACATCGAGAAGGTGCTTCAGCATCTGCGTCTGCTCATCTGGAACTCTGTTTGCCCACGCTACTCTCCAGACGTGGATCGCCCCTCGGCCGTGCAAGGGCTGGTGATGGAATGCATCAAAACTCTCTGTCGAGAAAAACACGACTCACAGCCAGCAATCTTGTTGTGTCTGGCCGATTTGTCCGATTCGGCGCTATCGAAATGGAGCGTTGGTGCAGACAGCAGAAGGCCGGCGTTTGTGGCATTCTCCAAAAACGCCATTGATCTCATCAGCTGGTACATCACCGAGTTTGGCATCAAGAAGGACATCTTCTCCAATGGCGCGCTTGCAACGGCTCTCGAACGCCTCAGTGCCCCGATCATGCAGAAGTACATGTGGCAAGGAAAGGACCGCGAACCCTTCCTCTGGCAAAAGGCCACAACCACATCTTTGAATGTCCTGCAGGTGGCAGTCCCCTACGTGGAAAAGCAGTACACCGAAGCCAATCAACACGAGACATCCCGGTTCTGGCAGTGTGTCGTCGATATCACCCATGGCATCGTGTCAGCCCGCGGCTTCCAGGCGCAGCAACTGTCCAACACGCGCATTCTGGCCGATGAGTCCTTCGACATCTCCGCCTTCACTCGGCTGAAGACACTCATCCTCCCATTCCTAGGCGCCCCCGCCATCCCAGACTCGATCCGCCGCGACTTTGCCTGCGCACTCTTCCACTCCTCCTTCATCTACGCCCCGCAACGCTTCGATCTCCCCGCCGCCCGGATCGAGGAAGCGCCTCTACAG